CGGATGGGTGGCTAGGTGGGTGACTGGGTGGGTGGCTGATTGGCTCGACAGGTGGCTAGGCGGGTGGTTGGGTGGCTGATTGTCTCGGCGGGTGGCTAGGCAGGTGCCTGGGTGGGTGGCTAGGTGGGTGGTTGGGTGGCTGATTGGCTCGGTGGATGACTACGCATGTGACTGGGTGGGTGGCTGATTGGTTCGGCGGGTGGCTAGGCATGTGACTGGGTGGGTGGCTAGGTGGGTGGTTGGGTGGCTGATTGGCTCGGTGGACGACTACGCATGTGACTGGGTGGGTGGCTGATTGGTTCGGCGGGTGGCTAGGCATGTGACTGGGTGGGTGGCTAGGTGGGTGGTTGGGTGGCTGATGGCTCGGTGAACGACTACGCATGTGACTGGGTGGGTGGCTGATTGGTTCGGCGGGTGGCTAGGCATGTGACTGGGTGGGTGGCTAGGTGGGTGGTTGGGTGGCTGATGGCTCGGCGGGTGGCTCGGCAGGTGACTGGGTGGGTGGCTGCTTGGCCCGGCTGATTGGCTTGGCGGGTGGCTAGGCAGGTGACTGGGTGGGTGGCTAGGTGGGTACCTTGGATGGTGGCGCAGTGGTGACTCTGGTGCCTCACAGCAAGAAGCACCTGGGTTCGATTCCCAACTCGGACGCCAATTTTTCTGTGAACGTTGAATGTTCTTCCCCCTTACGCATGGGGTTCCTCCTGGTTCCTCTTCCCACGGCTAAACCCGCACACAGTGGAACCGATAATGGCCAAACCACATTCCCAAACAATCCTAAATGCACCTGCAAATTACTCAACAGGGATTACACGGCAGTAGCAGCTGGAGCAGCAGCAGCAGCAGCAACATCGCTTGTCCCACAACCGCGATAACCTTGGCAAGGACCCTCCTTAAAACAGGTCTTGAGACTCGAGGCGGCTTTCCCTGGGTAAACAAGCGTCATCATAATCGTAGTGACAACTGGTTGGGAGCTGGGGGTGGGGGGCATGGTCGAGGCTAGTCGTTGAGGTCAACGTCTATTTTGATCCGCGTGGCTTCGTGTGCACGTGGCCGCGCTGGCCCGTTATGGGGGTCAGCGTGGAACCGTTGGCAGCGGAGGGCCGGGAGAGGTGGGGGGGTGGAGATTCACCACGCGTGGCATCCACTGCGATGTACAACCCTCGACACGACGGACTGCCGCCGCCGCTGATTTTACTGCTCATAGCAGTGACAGCATCGTCAACAGCATCATCATCAGCAGCAGTAGCAGCAGCAGTAATAATAATAAACACGTGGTTATTTATAGGCGGGGAGGGTTGGGATGAGTGTGCCGGGATAGCTGCCACGCGTCTGCGAGGCGCGTCTCCAGATTGACGGATGTCTTTTAAGCACGGGAGGAACCCTCGAGGCATGCTCGTTACATAACGACGTTGCTCAGAGAAATAGAGGGAGACCAGTCTCTATGCCTCATCCTCCTCCTCCTGCTGCTGCTGCTGTGCATGCCTCATGTTGTTTATGTGCAGCAGCGGGTGTGATTTTTCCTTTGAGGTTGGTTGACGAGCCAGATGATTGTGCGACGAGTCGCGGAGTGGCGCGTCGCTTCTGCGATGCCTCATTCGTGTCGAGCTCCGCGGGAGTCTGTGGATCTCAGTATGAATCTTTAGATCTCTTTACGAGTCTAAGGGTCTCGATGTCTCTGATGTGAGTTTATGGATCTCTATGCGAGTCTATTGGCCCCAGTGCGCATTTACAGATGTCTTATCTTCTTTGTACGGCCATGAATATAGATCTGTGCCAATCTACGACTCTCCTGCTGCCCATCACACGAGCAGCAATTGGGCCATTTGTGCTCATCTGCCGATTACAGCCCTGCAGAGAGCCAGAGGCGGAAATTCCACATTACAAAGCGTTGCTCGTTTTATCGGCCACTGAGGGGGGAGGTGTGATTACGATGACGACGATGGGCCGAGTGAACCTCCCCGACCAGGATGTCAACTTGCTCTCGGTGTCGGCACGTGGGGGGGGGGGGGGGGGGGGGTATCCACGCGGGGTAAGAATTCTTCTGTATATCGTTTATTGTTAAATTTGAATCACAGTTCCTATGATCACTGCTACACTGTTTTAGAGCTTTATTTTGGTGATTTTTGAAAAGTTTTGGTTTAGCCATGTTTGTTTGTTGTAGTATAGAGTTAGCCTGATAACTGTAATCTAAATTGTCTTATGGTTGTTATTGTTTGCCTTGCATCCCACTGGGATTTTTGCACACAGCGTTGAAATACGGTGTTTTTTCTGGAAGACTTTGCTGTTTTTTCCTGGATCTTTTTGTTGCGTGTAGTCACTTTAAGATGTTTCTTGTTCACGTTTTTGTTTTGTTGCGGTTGCACCCGAGTCAAGAGCCGCATGGCTCACGGGGTTATACCTAATACATGAAACTGAAAACATAAACTGCGGCACGCCCCTCCTCTTTGCCGAGTCCATCCATGGCCGAGTCCATCACAACCTCGCGGCTTCTGAGAACGCGGGCCCAGCGGGAAGCGCATTGCGCCGAGGCTACGCGATGCGAATCCCAACGGCCGTCCCCGATTAACAAGTGGGGTTTGTCTGTGCGCCTTCTGCTTCGCAAGAGCCCGTGGCGTCATCTGCAAGAGGAGGCCGTCGTGTGCCGCACGGCGTCATGCGACCAAGTTTGAGGGGGGGGGACAAAATGACGCCGCAAATCACTCAATTGCGGATCACAAAGACAAAGATCCCCCGTGTAGCCTCAACAGACTGTAGGGGCAAGTGCTGTTAGCGAGCACCTATGAAGGCCGGAACGGTACACGAATGGGGTTGGGTGGCCAGCACCACGCCCGACCGCATTTGTCTCCCCAGTGACGATGTTTACACATCGCACCGATACTCATTAGAAGCTGAGTCGACCTAGGGGAGGCCCATGACCGGTTCAGATAATCGCCACCGTTGTTGGCCGCGAGCGGGAATCGAACCCGGGTCGTCGGGTTCGTAGCGCTGCGCGCTAACCGCTACACTACCGCTCCCCACACACACAGCAGTAGCAGCAGCTACCATTCCTCCCCTCCCGGCAGCAGGCTCATGCCCGTTCGCAGACCGAGTGCCGAGTCGCATTTTCTCCGTGCAGGGACAGCTGCCACTGCGGTGGCGGGGGGGGTGACCTTTCAAACGCGTGGAGATGCGACGCCCGTGCGTATATGAGGGCGCGATATCGAACTCACGTCGGCTTCATTGCTTTACAAGCGGCCACATCTCCGGAAACTCAGCGGTGCCAACTTGGTGTCTCCGACACACGGCCCTTATGAACGCCCGCCTCTAGCCGGCCCCCACGGAGCCAGCTGTCCACCTCGCCGGCCTCCCCTCCGAGTTAAATAAAGGACATCGGCGAGGAGGAGCGGAGACGCGGCCGCGAAAAGTTCCATCCTCTGGTTTCACGCTCCGGGTCACGTTGCCTGCAATCTCGGGAGCTGAATCATCGTGCCACCGGACGTCCGCAAATCTGGCTCGGGGAAAGAAGAGACCTCTCCCCCCCCGCCCGTCTCCCCCCGCCCTCGTCTCATCTCCGTCGGTGGCCCCAGGCCAGCAGTGGAAATTCCACATTCCTGCTGCCGGGTTGTAGGGTCGGCAGTTGTTTGCAGGGTGCAATAACAACCGATGACTGCTGCTAAAAGTGCTGCTCATGGACACGACCTCGGAGAGATGGTGTCGATTGTGATTGATGGTGTTGTGATTGATGGTGTTGTGATTGATGGTGTCGATTGTGATTGATGGTGTTGTGATTGATGGTATCGATTGTGATTGATGGTGGTGATTGTGATTTGTTGTATATGTAGGTTAAATTTTCATAACCTACATATACAACAGATTGATGGTGGTGATTGTGATTGATATTCGTGATTGTCATTGATGGTGTCGATTGTGATGATTATGATTGATGGTGTCGATTGCGATTGATGGTGTCGATTGTGATTTATGGTGGTGATTGTGATTGATGGTGGTGATTGTGATTGATGGTGTCGATTGTGATTGATGGTGGTGATTGTGATTTATGGTGATTGTCATTGATGGTGGTGATTGTCATTGATGGTGGTGATTGTGGTTGGTGTTGATTGTGATTGATGGTGATTGTGATTGATGGTGTCGATTGTGATTGATGGTGGTGATTGTGATTTATGGTGGTGATTGTGATTGATGGTGGTGATTGTGATTGATGGTGGTGATTGTCATTGATGGTGGTGATTGTGATTGATGGTGTCGATTGTCATTGATGGTGCTGATTGTGATTGATGGTGGTGATTGTGATTGATGCTGATTATGATTGATGGTGTCGATTGTGATTGATGGTGTCGATTGTGATTGATGGTGGTGATTGTCATTGATGGTGTCGATTGTGATTGATGGTGTCGATTGTGATTGATGGTGGTGATTGTGATTGATGGTGTCGATTGTGATTGATGGTGGTGATTGTGATTGATGCTGATTATGATTGATGGTGTCGATTGTGATTGATGGTGTCGATTGTGATTGATGGTGGTGATTGTCATTGATGGTGTGGATTGTGATTGATGGTGTCGATTGTGATTGATGGTGTCGATTGTGATTGATGGTTGTGATTGTCATTGATGGTGGTGATTGTCATTGACGCTGTCGATTGTGATTGATAGTGGTATTGATAGCTATCGATCGTGTTACATCGTACAAATATTTGGACACGCACACGTGCACGCAAAGATCCCCCGTATAGCCTTAACAGACTGTTGGGGCAAGTGCAGTAAGCGAGCACCTATTGAAAGACACGGCACATGAGGGGGTGCGTGGCTAGCACCACGCCAGGCCGCCTTTGTATCCTTAGTGACGACGTATATACATCACATCAGGTACTAATTTCAAGCTGAGTTAACCTAGGGGAGGCCCAGGATCTGTTCAGATAATTATCGTTACTGGTATTGGCCGTGAGTGAGAACTCGGGTCTCCACACGCTCACGCGCACACAAGGCACAAGTGAAGAGGCCACGTTAAGGACACCTTCCGTTTATTTAACCGTGCGGAGGTCCGCTGACATTCGTGGTCTCGTGCAAGGCAGGCCAAGGTCACTCGTCGTTAGTTCAGAGGGGGCGGTCGTTATAATCGACGCCATCACCCTCGTCGTATGTTCTTACAGTCGCAGGTCGTTAGTAGTTTTTGTTGTTGTTGTTGTTCTTTCTGTGGGCTGGAGGGATCATTACGAGTTAAAGGCACGGCCCTGCAACTGCTCACACACGCCTCCTGCTGGCGGAAGGGGGACTCCACCAGAGGTAGCTCCAGAAGGTGGTGTTTTGGATCAATGTGCCACTCTGACAGAGGTGGAAGTACCCGACGCTTTACCCCCCCCCAACCTCGCTTGCACATTGGACCTGCCGATCGACTGCCCATGATGAGACCCGTCCGCACCGCTGCGTTGGACGGATTGCTAACACCACCGATAAAAATCACCGCAGCCCAGATATGATCCTTGTGAAACTCAAATCGAGGTGTCCATTGTATCGATTCTGCTGTCCATCCAATAGCCATGTTAACAGTATCGATTCATCGAGGTTTAATCGCTGCGTCTATACATCGGCAAGGAGGGGGGGGGGGGGGTGGGGGGGGGGGGGGAAGAGAGGGGACTGTTCGCGCATTGCCCACAACCCCCTCCCCAGAGCCGGAGCGCGGTGCGTGCCGTGAACGCGGTGCTCGCACTCCCTCGCTAGGTCTTCCCCCACGCGCCCCCGGCAAACCACAAAGCAGTCGAGCAACGGCTGACGATCGTGGTGCTGATGAGCAGGCGAGGGAGAGAGTGGGCGTTTAGTATAACATTGTTTGACACTCCCCCCTTTTTTTCCCCATTGGCCAATATCTTGCATGAAAGACGATTCGCTCGAAATCCGTTTTAAAATCGCATTACAGCGCCTGTTGGCACCAACCAACCACGCCGAGGTTCTACGCGGATCACAGTGCTGGTGGACCGCTGCCCGCCGAACATCCGCGACAGAATTGCTCGAGCGAATCTCCCGCAGGTGGATGTCGCTGCAACCGGTCGCTGCTCGCAGGCGTCGATCCTTTAGGAGATTTTGTATTGCGATCATTCAGATCCTCGCGGGGGAGGAGCTGGCAGGAAAGGGGGCGTGGCTCTGGTGTTGTGGGGGGGGGCGTGGCCAGACACTGCAGCCACGCCCAGACACGCCCTTCGTCGCTTAACTACTCGCTCAGGCGCGGACAAAGCGGTCGCAGGAGATTTAAGTTGAGCATATAATACAACGGATCTGGTTTGCGCAAACGATTGTTAAGGCGTGGAACCGACTGCACAACACACGGAGAACAGGGGGGCGGGGCGGGGGGGTGGGGGCAGGGAGGGTGGAATGTCACTGGCTCCCATTACGAGGTCGCCAGGTACAGCGTCTTGCCTCCGAGCGCCAGCAAATCAGCCGAGTCCTTGAGCTCTGCGAGAACACAAGCAGCACAACAACAACAAGGTTAGGGCAACCGGCATGAGGCAAAGGCGCAGGCTTGCAAAGGCTAGCTTAAGCCACTGCTGCCGAAAGGGGCCAGCAAACGGAGGGAGCTTTACAGAGCTCTGTCAGAGGGGGGTACTACTTTAGCCTACTCTTCCATGCTAGCTAGACGTTTTGGACGAGGTGGGAATACCCACACTTTACCCCACCACGCGCAAGCCACCTGCCGATCGGCCGACTGATGCAGCCTTTAATCTCCCGATGAGATAGAAGAACCTTGCACCATCTTTCCAAGGGCCGCGTCACACGGCCTTCATCCAGCAGCGGATCGACAACACGCTGATGGTAATCATGCAATCATCATCATTATCGTTATTATAACGACGATGACGATGATCACATGCTTCGCGAACGCTGCGTCTCTCTGTTACTGGAGTCACCAAGCAACACAATCTATTTGGGACAAACGAAGGCAAAATAAACAAATAAATGATCTGCGATTGAATCGCGACCCCCATGGCAATTCAATCAATAACAGACACACGTTGGGGGGGGGGGGGGTTAATCAATTGGCAAATTATCACGTGCCTTGTGAGCAGTGACAAGTTTTGTTCGCTCATCAGTGGCGGTTACACGGACGCACTTGGCCCCCGCCATAGTAATGTGCAACACGAGACCTCCACGCCCGTCACGTGCCAGTGCTTAAGGAGTGCGGCGGCGGCGGCAGCGCGCGGGGAAAACGCATCCACTCAGCGCTCCGGGACATCGATCAGAGCAGAGAGCAGCGCACTCCGATGGGGGGAGGGGGGGATGTTGGAGGGAGGTGGGTGGGGGGGCAAGAGAGGGGGCTGCTCGCGCATTGCCCACAACCCCCTCCCCAGAGCCGGAGCGCGGTGCGTGCCGTGAACGCGGTGCTCACACTCCCTCGCTAGGTCTTCCCCCACGCGCCCCCGGCCAACCACAAAGCAGTCGAGCAGCGGTTGATGATCGTGGAGATGATGCGCAGGCGAGGGAGAGAGTGGGTGGGCAGGTGAGTGGTTGGGTGAGCGAATGGGTGAGTGAATGAGTGAGTGGACGCGTGGGTGAATGAATGGGCGAGAGGGTGGCAGAGCGAGTCTATGAGTGGGTAGGTGGGTGGGTAAGTAAGTGGGTGCGTGAGTGAATGGGTGAATCAGTGAGTGGGCAAGCAAGCGAGGAGAGTGTGTGGATGAGTCGGCAAGTTGATGAGTCGGCGAGTGAATGAGCGGACGGGTGAATGGGTAGGTGAGTGAGTAGGTGAGTGAGAGGGCAAGGGAATGGACGAGCACGTGAACGGGTGAGCGTGGGAGCGGACAGGCTTTCAGATGATTGGATGAGCCAGGTGAGAAGGCGAGTTGGCGTGCGTGCGTGCGGACGGGCGGGTGAGCGACGCTCGCCGTGGCGGAGCGTGGCCGGGAAAGTGCGGCGCCACTTTCCCTGCCTCCACCGCTGTCGTAGTTGCGGCGAGCGGAGCCATTAGGATGCCCGGCGTGGTCGGGATTTGTGCCGAATCGATCGGCCGGCACTGGGAGTCTCCTCCTCCTCCTGTTTCCTCTTCCGCGGCGGTCGCGGCCGTATATCGTCGCGCCGGACCGCATTTACAAGGGATTACCGCGCGTGGGAAATCAAATCAATAAAAACTCGCTGGGGCCGCATCCGTGGCACTAGGGCTGCGCTGCTGCCTGCTGCACCGCTGCCTGCTGCACGTGTTCGATTCTTCTGTGCTCCCATACGACCCTGAATCACCTGGGAATTTCAACCTCTGTAGGCCCCGTCTCCTTCATCTTTATGCCTTGCCCTCTTACTCCTTAGGCCCCATTCCTTCTGGTGGTGGGGGTAGTGGTGGGTGGGGGCGGTGGGGGTAGTGCTGGGTGGGGGCAGTGGTGGGCGGGGGCAATGGTGGGTGGGGGCGGTGGTGGGTAGGGGCAGTGGGTGGGTTGGTAGGGGTTATGGTGGGTGGGGTCAATGGGGGCAGTGGTGGGTGGGGGCAGTGGTGGGTGGGGGCAGTGGTGGGTGGGGGCAGTGGGTGAGTTGGTAGGGGTTATGGTGGGTGGGGGCAGTGGGGGCAGTGGTGGGTGGGGGCAGTGGGTGTTGTGGTGGGTGGGTCGGTGGGGGTTGCGGTGGGTGGGGGTAGTGGTGGGTGGGGGTGGTGGGAGTAATGGTGGGTGGGGGTAGTAGTAGGTGTAGGTGGTGGGGGTTGTGGTGGGGGCAGTGGTGAGTGGGGGCAGGAGGGGTAGTGGTGGGTGGAGGTGGTGGGAATAGTGGTGGGTGGGGGTAGTAGTAGGTGTAGGCGGTGGGGGCAGGAGGGGTAGTGGTGGGTGGGGGCGGTGGGGGTTGTGGTGGGTGGAGGAGGTCGGGGTAGTGATGAGTGGGGTGAGTGGTGGGTGGGGGCAGTGGGGGTAGTGGTGGGTGGAGGTGGTGGGGATAGTGGTGGGTGGGGGTGGTGGGAGGAGTGGTGGGTGGGGGCAGTGGGGGTTGTGATGTGTGGGGGTAGTGGGGGGTAGTGGGGCTGGAGTGGCCTCGACATTAGGAGCGCCACCATGACCCCTGTGAGGCCGGGACAGAGCGGATGCCGAAACGCTCTCAGGCCTAGCGGCGTGACTAGCCGACGGCTCCGACGACCAACGCTTCGCTCCCGAAGAAGCCCACGGGCTCGTCGAGACAAACTTGGGGCGTCGCAGCTCACGACGAAGCGCAGCGATACAACCCGAAACCGCGGCCGAGGGCCACGGTGCAGCTGCGGCACCACCGCGAGATGGATCCCCTGGCGAGGGATCTCGAGAGGTGGTGGCGGCGGCTTTGAGAGGCATTCATCCAGCAGTGGACTGAGCGCGGCGGCCGATGATCGGCTCCACGGTTATCATCATCGTGGTCGACATGCGAGCGCGTGACGACGACACCGCGCGACGAGGCGTTTGGGGAGGCTGACCGCTGGTTCGTGCGGCGTCGACGAAGAGGCGGAGGGTGCGACCGCGCAGGGAGAAGAGCACGGCCGCCTGGTGGACGAGCGCCGGCACGGCGAGCGCGGCGTCGGCGCCGAGAGGGTTCCGCAGCAGCAGCGTGGCCACGCGCGCACTCCCTTTAAAGCACACAAACAGCACGTGGGTGCGTGTGTGTGTGTGAACGCACGCATGCGGGAACACAGACACATCAGCGGCGTGCGTACTCGTGCGCACACCCCTTTTAAACACACGCGCGTACGTGCGCGTGTGCGTCAACGCACGCACGGATGCTGATGCATGCGTCGAGGAGCTTCTGTTCGCGTGAACACGCGTGCAGACACACAGCACCAGGAGGGTACACCGTTGGTGTGGGGAGTGCGCCAACCACTCCAATGCCGCTTCCGACACAGACCTCCCCCACACTGACACACACACACTTACAAAGATCGCCGTACAGCCTTAATCGACTGCTGGGCACACGAGGGATTGAGTGACCAACACCACGCCCGGCCACCATTATTTCACGACTGCTGATGTTACACACCCTGCACCGGGCACTCATTTAAGGCTGAGTTTCTGGCACTGTTATTGGCCACGGGATGGGAATCAAACTCGGGCCGCCAGGTTTGTAGGGCCACACACTACACTACCGCTCCCTCGCCACATACGCACAGGTACGCGCGCACGCACGCACGCCCGCGCGCACGAATGCCACCGCGCTACGTCGCACCTGCATTGTCGTTGCTCAGGAGCTGCACGTTGACGTAGGGACACGCGGGCTCGTTGGCGACCCCCGGTGACTCCTGCCCCGTCGGAGCCTGCCCCTCGGCCAGCACAAGCACAGTCCCACCGCTCAGCTTGCGCAGGTCCGCCTCTGCCGTCAGCTCTGCTCGGGGGGGGCGAGGAGGGGGAGGAGGTGGGGTGCAGCGTTAAGTGTCCCCTGGCCGTCGGGAGCGCTTCCGCAAAACTGGGGCAACGTCGCAGTGGGATATTCATCGGAGCGCTCGCATCGCACGAGAATGTCTCCGGTAGCCGGCAACGGTGGACAGAGACGCGTTGCTGATCAGCTCTCCTCCACACGAAAGCGTAATGAGGATAAGAACGATGAGGGCTGTGCACTGGGCGTGGAGATGAAGGCTCTTGACAAGAGTGGAGGAACGAGTAGCAGGGAGGCAGAGTGCATTCAAGAGATCTGTGCTGTCACCCCCATTGGTCTCGTAACCCATGGCTCTGTCGATCGTCGGTTCTGTTGCTCGGCCAATCGGACAGCGCAAAGATCTCGCCTGTTTTCCTCCCGTATGCCGCCGGTTATGGGCGGTGCCCGGTGATATCACGGGCATCGGCATCAATCATCATCGGCCGCGTCGCATCGGGCGTGGCTTGCAGGGGGTCTCCCACCTTCGCCTTTACAAGGGGCCTCCCCGAGTGATAAACCTGCATAACAAAGTCGCCCGTTCCGATTGCGGATAAAAAGGTGTGACCTTTGCCCCGGGGGTTGGCCGGGGCGACCACCTCCGCGCCACTCACCGGCGCCCCCGCCGAACAGGCGACAGCCACCGACCCCGGTGAGGTGCTCCGCCAAGCGCCGCAGTCCCGCGTAGCCCAGGGGGTCGACTCCACGAGGGTTCTCCAGCAGCGCCACCCCCACTGTTGACGCCGACGCACGCGCAGACAAAGGTTCCTCCCCATGTGGCATCAGACAGACGGCCGGGGCAAGTGTAACGATGACGACAATTATTTGTTTTGATACGGGCCGCCCCCCCCCTAAATGCAGGGACATCTCATAACACGTTTGAAAGGGCACCCCCAGTGGCAGCTGTCCCCGTGGGCACCAGGTGACTCAGCACATGGGCATTAATCTGCTAGTCGGGGGCGATGATTGCTGCGTGTAATTCCAATCGAGTGATTTTCAGTGGAGTTAGGGAGCACCTATTAAATCCGCTATGGCGCACGAGGGGGTGGGTGGCCAGCACCACGCCTGGACGCCTTCGAGTCTCTCGTGGCGATGTTCACACACTGCACCAGGTGCTCATTTAAGGCCGAGTCGTCCCACTGACATTGGTCACGAGCGGGAACTGAACTCGGGTCGCCGCGTTCGTAGCGAACGTGCACAAACCATTAGACTACCGCTTCCCATTCCCCAAACATACACACACACACACACGCACCTCCGATTGGCACGCTTGGCTACGTACTGTCCTAAAGAAGTTCAACATACACACGTACATCCACATGCACGCACGCGGCCATGCACTCACAACAACCACGACCACGCGCACTCTCTCTCACTCATCCACCCACGCCGCGCTCGCACATGAAGATCCATCTTCCCGCCCTCCCCGAGCGACGGGGGGTGGCGAGCGGTGCTAAGGAGAGCGCGTTGTGTGCACGCGAGCGAGCAAGCCAGCGCGTGCGGGGACGTGAAATGTATTTACGCTCAATAGCGCCTGCGAGGGGCATACGTCTCTATTACCACGACACGCGCCCGCGGGGAAGACCACCACCGCCGCACACACACGTATTGGGGGTGGGGGAGGTAGGGGTAAGCGTTCACCCCTTTCCGCTATCGATCTCGCTGACCGTGAGCCTTCAGCCCAGGGAAGGTGGCTCGCAATACCGGGCCTTGTAGGTGCGAGGGGGGAGGGGGGATCGGTTGATGCTGTGACATCCGATCATCGTGGCGTGTCGTCACGAGCGTCATTTCACCAACGCCCCCCCACCGGTGCCGCAGCGCCGACGGGTGGAAGATCTGCGGGGCCCGTACAGGCTTCCCCCCGTTCCCAAGGTCCCCCGTCCCGTTCCCTCGGTCCCTGTCCCGGTCCACCGGCCCCCGTCCTGGCACCCTTCGATTCTCGCCACGGACCGAACTTACCGTCGCGAGTGCCGCTCCGCACAAACTGCAGGTTGACGTAGGCGCAGGCGGGGCCGATGGACAGAGCCGACAGGAGGCCCTCGTTGTCGCTCCCTCGCACCAGCGCCAGCTGCAGGTCCGAGCCCTTGAGCTGCCGTCACCACCACCACCACCACCACGGCCGCCACCACCATCGTCGGAACAACCACAACGACAATGACAGCGATGAGCACGCGAGAAGAGCGACCCATCTTTGGCGTTGCACAACACCTAGTTTTTTTTTTTATAATCCGGTTGCGCTGCTATCATCGTCGCATCATCATCACGAGATGAGAAAATCCGCGAGGAAAGCTCGCAGAGTAGCGCAACCCTCCGTGTGTCAGAGGACGTCCCCGAGGAAGTGACCATCACAGAGCTGCCTCTGAGGATCCTTTTTCAAGTGACTTATGGTCCACACGGTCGGGGAGGGAGGGAAGTTACAGTGAGGGAAAAAAGTATTTGATCCCCTGCTGATTTTGTACGTTTGCCCACTGACAAAGAAATGATCAGTCTATACATTTAATATGTAGGTTTATTTGAACAGTGAGAGACAGAATAACAACAAAAAAATCCAGAAAAACGCATGTCAAAAATGTTATAAATTGATTTGCATTTTAATGAGGGAAATAAGTATTTGACCCCTCTGCAAAACATGACTTAGTACTTGGTGGCAAAACCCTTGTTGGCAATCACAGAGGTCAGACGTTTCTTGTAGTTGGCCACCAGGTTTGCACACATCTCAGGAGGGATTTTGTCCCAGATCTTCTCCAAGTCATTAAGGTTTCGAGGCTGACGTTTGGCAACTCGAACCTTCAGCTCCCCCCACAGAGTTTCTATGGGATTAAGGTCTGGAGACTGGCTAGGCCACTCCAGGACCTTAATGTGCTTCTTCTTGAGCCACTCCTTTGTTGCCTTGGCCGTGTGTTTTGGGTCATTGTCATGCTGGAATACCCATCCACGACCCATTTTCAATGCCCTGGCTGAGGGAAGGAGGTTCTCACCCAAGATTAGACGATACATGGCCCCGTCCATCGTCCCTTTGATGCGGTGAAGTTGTCCTGTCCCCTTAGCCGAAAAACACCCCCAAAGCGTGCTTTCTTGAGCAGGGGGACCTTGCGGGCGCTGCAGGATTTCAGTCCTTCATGGCGTAGTGTGTTACCAATTGTTTTCTTGGTGACTATGGTCCCAGCTGCCTTGAGATCATTGCCAAGATCCTCCCGTGTAGTTCTGAGCTGATTCCTCACCGTTATCATGATCATTGCAACTTCACGAGGTGAGATCTTGCATGGAGTCCTAGGCCGAGGGAGATTGACAGTTCTTTTGTGTTTCTTCCATTTGCGAATAATCGCACCGACTGTTGTCACTTTCTCACCAAGCTGCTTGGCAATGGTCTTGTAGCCCATTCCAGCCTTGTGTAGGTCTACAATCTTGTCCCTGACATCCTTGGAGAGCTCTTGGGTCTTGGCCATGGTGGAGAGTTTGGAATCTGATTGATTGATTGCTTCTGTGGACAGGTGTCTTTTATACAGGTAACAAGCTGAGATTAGGAGCACTCCCTTTAGGAGTGTGCTCTTAATCTCAGCTCGTTACCTGTATAAAAGACACCTGGAAGCCAGAAATCTTTCTGATTGAGAGGGGGTCAAATACTTATTTCCCTCATTGAAATGCAAATCAATTTATGACATTTTTGACATGCGTTTTTCCGGATTTTCTTGATGTTATTCTGTCTCTCACTGTTCAAATAAACCTACCATTAAAATTATAGACTGATCATTTCTTTGTCAGTGGGCAAATGTACAAAATCAGCAAGGGATCAAATACTTTTTTCCCTCACTGTATTTCCCACCTGCTCCGCCAAACGAAAGCAATGTTGATCCTATTGCACGAACATACGATTTAATTCTCACAGCTGGAACTCTTTATCTAGCAGCCCCTTCCGCGAGAGTCCCACATCCATTCCGCATCCCGGCGCACGACCGCGACAGCGCAATTGGTATCGGCGTTGAACAAAAAACAAACACAGTTTATAAATGTATAGATTTCCACGCTCGTGATGCACGGATCGAATCGCACGCGCGAAAATCAATAACTTCCCGTTCGCGTACGATCCGTGTGATGATGATGACGATGACGGTCAGGAATCATAACAGGGCGGGCGCCCAAGCAACGGAACGCGTCCGGGAGGATGTCCCCCGATGAGATGGGAGTGAGCAATGAGATCGACTCTCGTGCAGGCAAATGTATGGATCGTCTCATTGTAGGTCGTGAATGGTGGCAACTTGGGGGAGGAGGCCTTCATCCAGCAGTGGATTTTTATGGCTGCTGATGACGACGCGTTGTTGTGTAACGGACCCCTGCTTGCAATACCCCTGCAGCCACTAGACGCGCTACATTATCCACAATGCACAGAGTTATCTCTATTTATATATTTTTTTCGAATTCTTGTGCTGGATCGCGACCCTGAGTCGTGACGGTGGAGGATGGCGAGCGAGGTGGAATCTTAAGCCCCCTTCTCATCACCACCACCGCCATCTGGCCTAAGCGCTCCCCTGCCGCAAACTAAATTTAACATGGTGTTTTGTTTGGTGCAGTCAATGGTGACCGCGCAGCGACCGTTAATTCGGGGCAGCACACAGGCCCGCTCAGTCACGGGCGGGTACAAACCCCCATTCCAACACGCGTGTCTTATCGGTTAGTGAATCTCCGGAGGCTCCCTTACGGGTAGCGATGACGATGCACTTTATTTATCCAGGAAAGCTCGAGTGGCAAGACTGCTTTTTCAGGAGGGTTCTGCCACACTGGAACGTTTGGTCAATTCCGTAATTAAAGTGCAGTGGAGTCGGTGGTCTCAGCACGGCCACCAATGACTGCACAAAAAACAACAACTGCTATCATATTAAATGTGGTTTTGTACTTAATACGGCAAAATTCCAGCTAACCACCGCAACCACCACCACCACCACCAGCACCTCCGTCACAACCACCACCACACCATCATCGCTGCCTTCAACACCACAACCACCGCCAGCGATCGCCGCGGCACAGAGACGGCCGCCCCTGGTCGGTAGGCGGATGACAGCTGGCCCGCGGTTCCGCTGCCGCCGACAGTCTCGCTTGTCAGGAGCGCGGCACAGACGCCCCCCTCGGGTCCCGTTTGCGCCGCCAGGATAATTATTGCCGTTGAAATGCCGCGCGCAGCGCTGCCAAATATATATTTTTTGCTCCACGTTTCACCGTCGCAATTGTTAAAAGCGTTCCAGGGAGCTGTGACCTAAACCAAATGAGCGGCTCTCTCGCCTTGCGGCTCCGGGAGTTGCGTTGCTCATTTTCGGATTAATCCAATTCACTCTGGAAATTGGGCCTTGACGTGCCATGCATGTGGATCTGTTTCAGATTCATCAGAAGGTGCGAGGTCACAGGATTCTGAACTTGTGAAACACTAAACTCACCCGGTCATGGCACTCAGCAGTAGGCTGAGTGGAACCGCGATCGGATCGTTGCAGCTTCAAATCCCAGTTGCGGGTGGGCGGGGGGGTTTAACTCGGCCAATCATCCCTCCCCCTCCAGAGTCGATAAAATTAGCACCACCGTAGGGGGAAGTCAATACTATGTGGATCCACCCCATTATGGGAATGTGGAAATTCCACCGCCGGCTCCGCAGGGCTGTACACAGCAGATTGAGCGACACGCCGTGTGTCCCAGCTGCTCACCCCGCCACCCTGCACCCCCCCCACCTCCCGCGAGTCTGGAGGTTGGTTTGTAACGAGAGAAGGGCAGTTCCACAAGTCAGGGGGGAGCATCGCGGCCAACCCCGCTGTCGACCCTAGCAGGGGCCCCGTGCCGCCCCTGGTTCACGGAGTCTCCCCCGCCAGTGACGGTGGCCGAGCTGAAGAATTCTCCGTGTGACACTTTATTTAGTCTGCGCGTGCGTCAATGTGCACGCACGCACGTGGGGGGGTGAGGGCGCAGTGGGGGACACAGTGGGCAGCACAGTTGGCGGATCTGCCAGTCATCTCGGTCGGTTAACCCCCCAAAGCCCGGATCTGTCCCGTGACCTCCTCCTGCCAGCAGCAGCGATCCTTCCACGCTCGACGGCCTCAACGTGCACCTAGCCTGCATACGCGAGTCTTTCCGCGTGCACATGTACCCCTCTATCTACCAAAAACAAAGATCCCCCGTATAGCCTTCACTGGCTTTTGGGGCAAGTTCTGTTAGCACCTATCTATGAAGGCCGGCACGGCACATGCGGGGGTAGGTGGCCCAGCACCACACCTGTCCGCCTTTATCTCCCCTTAGTAGCAATGTTTGCACACTGCACCAGGTACTCATTTAAGTCGCCGCCCTCACCCACGCTCACCTGCATGCTCTCCTCGATGATGCGCTCGGCACCGGCACGCACAGGGAAGGGCAGCAGTGGAGCCTTGATGGTGGTGCACACAAACTCCCGGTGTCGCTCCACCACGCCCGCCAGGTAGTCCCCGCCCGGCCCAACCGCGTAGTACACCGAGATCTCGTCTGACGGCACCAGGTGCGCCTGTGGTCACGTGGGGGTCACGTGGGGGTCACGTGGGGGTCACGTGGGGGTCATCCGGCAGTCCCCCGTGGGTCACTCGTCGGTCACCCTGGGGTCGCCCGAGGTTCAGTGGGCAGTCCCCCAGCGCTCACCCGGCAGTCACCCGGGGATCAGAGGTCACCGAGGTCATGCAGGGGTCAACCTGGGGCTACCCGATGTCCTATCCCCACAGGTACAGCTCCCCCACAGAGACAACACAACGCTGCTCTATTCCTACATCTGCAGTGACGTCTCAGCCCCCATCCACCTCCATCCCCCCACGTGCCTGACCCCCTCATGCCCCCCCAACCCCCACAACCTTCATAATTTCCCCCCCCCCCACCCGATTTGTACACTGCTCCTGCTGTGTGGGTCACTCGCCTTCTTGCGTAGCTTCTGGATGCGGTTGACGACCTCTCTGGCAACGCCCTCGTCCAACATGACCTGGTCAGGGGTCACGTCCAGCAGGATCAGCACCTGGATGAGAGGGGGGGAGGGGGGGGGTGCACACACGTCGCTCGTCAGCCACGCCGCATCTACACTGCTCCCCCTCCGTGCCCCCCCACCCCCAAGTTCCAACACCGAGACCTCCGCGTATTGATATTCACGATACCAACTTGGAACGCACGCCGCCACCGCACGGGGTCTGCTCCTCGCTCTCGCACAGAGAAAGGGAAAGGGTGACTCAAGAGGTGCCAGGAGGAGGAACCACAAGGCAGCTGGCCACTCTCCCAAAGCTCTGCGGTCCTCTACATATTAAGGTGTGATCGGCCAATTAATGAGTGTTTACGTGCAAAGGGAACCCGGAGCACATGGATATTTCCTCATTTCACCACACGCCTTGTAGGCTCTGAGTCTTTGAGCCGCAGCGAACCAATGATTGCGGTGATTACATGTTACTAATGTCCGATGTGGCTGTTGCTCACAATTGCACAAAACAGAACCTGGAGAAACCCTCGCGCACGAGAGGGAAATGCCCCATCACGTACAGGAGGGACGTGTGGAGTTCACATTTATGCTGTGCCACATTCTGTTGGCAGAGCCAGGGCGGGCTCTCCTCCTCGACGCCCACGGCGATCCATTGACCCTCGCCGCTGCCCCCACAGCGCTGCACATCCTCTAGTGGAGGGCTCTTCTGCTAGGCAGTGGTGTGAGGGAGCACTCGTAGGGCAGCACCTTGACCTTGCTCAGATTAGTTAAATCAGATTAATCGACTCATTGTCCCAACTCTTCTGTTCAACAAACTCTGTTTTCATTGGCCAGTCCCAACTCTGCCCCGCCCCCACCCCCCCCCCCCCCATAAAACCCCCACATCACGTTGGCACAGCCGTTGGCACAGCTGCCCGTGTCGCTGGTGACAAATTTCGATACCAGTCACCGGTGGCGCACCACGGCGTCCGATAATAACGATGCCTCCGACGTCGCCAAGCACCCCCCCCCCCCACCCGCCCGTCACCTCCCATCCAGCGGCGCACGTGGGAAAAGAGAGGGGTGGTTTTTCACATTTTGTTTTATTTACTCGGCGACAACTGCCCCGGCGCATCGCGGCCTTAATTCCGAGCGACGGTCGTTCGGCGACTAAAGGGTCAAACACCGCCCCCAACCCCCGGCACCGGTGTACGCCGCCCCAGGGGGAGCGTGACCTCCGCTAAGTATAGCCGGGGCGGGCGCAGGGAGGCACGAGGTGCAGCGAAGGAGGTAATGACATTGGGCGAGAGAATAATCACGAGCATTGACCTGTGTTCTCCCGCCGCCTGCAGCCGCCGCCCGGCCGCGGCGCCCGCACCTCCGCGGCTCCGCGGGCCCAGAGGAGGAAAAAATCCATCACGCGAACACGCGCGCGAGCGCACGCGCGCCACAACTCAATCGTGGACGGGCGGCGGGAGTCGTTAACCCGTTCCTCGCCACCGCCGACGCTCGCGTTTTTTTTATTTTTCCACGCGCGCCGAGCGTCTGCAAAACTGCTGAGCGAGGCAGCCGCGCGGCCGCTCGGGAGGTCACGAGACTCGGAGCCGCCGCCGCTTGAGAGCCTGGGTTCCAATCTGGGTTGCAGCCGCTTGCCTGCGAGCAAATCGGGCTCTCGTTGAATTTTATTCTGTTTTTAGAATTGAAAAAAAAAATCAAATCTGGGTGGCCGTCACGCGACGGACCTCGCTCTCGCGTGCACGGCGGGTGGGGCAGCGCTGCACTCCACAGCACGCTTGGACCGTGGCGTCACTTGAAGAAGAGATATCTCAGAGGTGGCTCTGCATTGTCCGCTTCCGCAAGCCGCTCTCCAACCCGACATCGATCCTCCGTCTCGTGACTCGAAGCCGACGTCACCATCGGGATAACAATTGGCTAAATAAATACCAATAAAGATTTTTTTTACATCGTAATAACTAACGAGCTGTTAGCTACGGATCACGTTGGAGGAGGAGGGGTGTCACGAGGTAGCCTGGGTTCACGCGGCCGTCCGTACGGATGACACCACCACCACGACGACGAGATGGTGGTTTACGGCCACTCTGGCAATACGCTGACGGACGAGGGCCTCGCCACGCTGCGGACCGGTTCAGTTTCCAAGTTGAGACCTCAAAACGCTAATTTGATCCCCCCCCCCCCAAACCCCCCGAAAAAATGGTGAAACATTGCCCGCAGCACCCTCCTGAGTATCGGCCTTGAGATTCACCAGACCGTGTTGTGGGTTGACGCGGGGGGGGGGGGGGGGGGGTGGGGGGAGACGTTTCGCCCACAATTGATTTGTAACAGGCGGCTCAATCGCGCGAGATTGGTTGCGCTCGTGTCAAAAACCCTGCACCCCCCCCTCCGTGCACAAACAAAGACAAAGATCCCCCGTGCAGCCTTTACCAGACCGCTGGGGCAAGTACTGGTAGCGAGTTGCACCTACGAAGGCCGGCACGGCACACGAGTGGAGTTCGTGACCAGCGCCACTCCCGGCCGTCTCGGTCTCCCCAGTGGCAATGTTTACACATCGCACCAGGTACTCGTTTTTAAGCCTGAGTTGACCTGGGGGAGACCGAGAACCGGTTCAGATGTTGACTGTGAGCGGCAATCGAACTCGGGTCGCTGGGTTCAAAGTGCAACGCGCTAACCACTACACCACTGCTCCCCCCTGCCTGCACGCATACACACTAAATCTGATGTATATCATTACAATATTGGTATTATATTTTCTCTCCATTGTTCATTGATTTCGGTTTACATTTTGTGTTAAAAAGGTTAAGGCGCAGCCCAGCAATAGCTCACTCACACGCCACTGCCGGCCCGTAGGGGCCCTCCTCCACTGGCGCCAACTCACCTGTGGTATTTGGCCGAGCCTTGCACGCTGGTCAGACGTGATCCGAAGAGGTGTGGTCGTACCCACACTTTACCCCACCACAGTTGAGCAGGTATACCCCCATCATAGACTAATTGTGGTTGTACCCCTTAACACTGCTGGGTGGACAGTCGGTGGTGGAGGGGAGGATTTAATGAACTTGTTCCCCCAAATTTTCAATTGCCATGCCGGGAGGCGGAATCGAACCGGTGATCTCTGGATCGCAAGTCCGGTTGGCACTGCTGACCCGTTACAGCGCCGTGGCAGCAGCCCAATATATGTTTCCCAGCTTGTCTCCATTATAACGGAGCTTGCGTGCGACCCAGCACCGTGGAGGTAAAAGGCCAGTCAAGTGGAGGCCGTCATCCAGCAGTGGATTGAGAGAAGGGGCCGTACGCACGCGGGCGTGTCCGTGTGGCCGTGAGACCGCGGGGGCCGCCGGGCTCCGGGGAGAGGGGGCCACTGTTCGATTCCTCGCTCCCACTTCGCCTGCAAATCCCGCGCAGCGGCGGGATTATTCTGCCGTTAGATTTCACTTTCTCGCAATCGATCCCGCCTCCGCTGCGCTCTTAAATAAATAACCGGTGCACACCCGTACATTTACCCGCAAATTGCTCGAATTGCTTGCCTCCATCCGCTGCTGCATGAAGGCCTTCTCCCCAAGCCGCCGCCACCTCACACGGTCGACCGAGGGTGGCGGCGACGCGGCCCCGGTGGCGGCGCGCTCGCCGCTCGCTGCGGAGATTCGCGGTTCGATTTCGGTGGCCGCGTGGCGGTTTTAAACCATCACGCAAACTCCGGGTATCCTCGCAATCGCTTTTGGCTAACCATCGAACAGAGACGGTCAACTGGATCGCACGCTTTCAGATGCGCTTCCGCAGCCACTGGAGATATGCACTTCTAAATCACCTAGATTGAGAACGAATTTCTTTAGGACTGCTTTTTGTGCTTCCTTTGTTGTCCTTCCTCCGCACCTCCGATGAGCACGGTTGGCTACGCACGGCGTGAAAGAAGTCGAACAAACACACATCGCTGCGGTGGCGCTCACCGTGCCAAGGCGTTGCCATCCGCTTCGCTCGCAGTGGCCATTAAAGATGCCCGTGACGTCGTGGGCAAGAGTCTGGCCGTCGCGTGCCGACAAGAAGCCATGGGGCGGAGACGTCGAAGCGGACCTCGCGAGCGGACTGGCGAGCTCGCCGCGCGTGCGCGCGTCTCTCTGTCTCACCGTAGCCGGGGCTCGGGTTGAGGCTCCGCCGGCACACGGGTTAAGCGCGGCAGATCGTTCGGAAATTAAGCGATCCTTGGACGAGCGTGCGCGCTTGCTAATTGACTGCCTGGAAGTGGTGCTCGCCAGACGGTTAATGGGACAACGGACAATGACGGCGTGACGGGAAAAACAACGCACGCACGCGCAGAGGCGCGGAGGGGGAGCCGAGCGCGAGGCTGGATTCCGCGGCAATCTCCGTGGCTCCGTGCTGCACATGAGCCAGAGGGTTGAGGTTTTCCCGGCACCGGTTCGGGGCTGTAGAGGAATTTGCGCGCGACCTCCCGTGGGAGTCGGGGAGCGATGGGAAGGTGAGACGAGGTCACGACGCGGTCGGCGTGCGTGGGACAGCGCAGTTTAGAGACGTGAGGATGGGGTGGATGGCGAAATGGGTGGATGGGTGGGTGGATGAATTGGGTGGACAGAGATGCAGGCAGCTCTGTCCACCCAATTCGATTGGACTGGATATACAGACAAGCAGATGATACAGACACACAGAGTCACTCACAGAGATATATACACAGACAGACACACAGGCAGAGAGACACGCATAGCGATGGACACAAAGATAGACAGAAATGGACAGACGGAAAGAAAAAAAACACGCACATATACATACATAGACTGACAAAAGACACACAGACAGACACACATAGCCACAAATACAGAAACATATTGAACAGACACACAGACAGACGCAGAGAGAATGAGGTGTACTGAAGGTAGATGACGATAGAGGGGAGGAAGGTAAGTAGGGGTAAAGATAGGGTAGGTGAGGGTAGGGGAGTAGGAGAGGGGTGAGCAGGGTGAGCAGGGGTGAGTAGGGGTAAGTAGGGGTAGAGTTGTTGTAGGTGAGGGTAGGGGAGTAGGAGAGGGGTGAGAAGGGTGAGTAGGGGTGAGTAGGGGTAAGGTAGGTTCCGTGACAGCTCTCACTAGAGAAGTCCAATGTGAGCCAGCGTCACCACCAAACTTCAATAATTTTGAAAAATCATGACGCAAATCACTCAATGGGCATCAACCCAGCAACTCGTCGCCCCCCCCCTCCTTCCAATGGCAAAAAAATTCCGCAGGACCCTCCTAAAAATGAAGTCAAGAGACTCAGCGGGGCTTTCCCGGGTGAACACAAGCACAATAATACTCACAATAGCAACAACAATAGGAGTTGTAGAGCTGTGGCGTGGGGAGGGTTAGGGGAGAGGAGGGATTGGGGGAGGGTCGGGCTAGGGGGAGGGGCGGTGGTTCGACCTCTGACCTCTGAGTCCGAGTGGGTCTCGTACTGGGAGCTTGCACCGGCCCCCTGCTCGAACCTGTACATGAGCCGCAGGTCCTCTCCACGCAGCTCGTGCCCTTCCACCACGATGCTGCCTGCTCACGCGCGAAGAAATAGTCCGCACAACCGGTCAGTTCTCCCATGCGCGTGTCCGTGCCACCCTGTTTGTCACTGTACCACCCCATTCATCATCACCGTGCCACCGTGTTCATCACTGTGCCACCGTGTTCATCACCATTCCACCGTGTTCATCGCCGTGCCGCAAGTCTGTTCATCACCGCATAATCCTATTCGTCTCCGTGTCACCCTGTTAATCAGTTCCACCCTGTTCAGCATACCACCCTGTTCACTTTATACCACCCTGTTCACAACTGTGTCACCCTATCAAAGGGTATTGCTCGTAGAGCCAGAGTGGTGAAGTATGGTCAAACAACCTCCTTGACCGAAGCAATGGCATGGCAAAGCCTTCACCCAGCAGTGGATTGACCACAGCCCCCCCCCTGAGGGAGCAAATAAACAACACCTACACCCCCCATCTCCCCGTGCGCCCCCCCTCCTCCCACCTCCCCACCCCCACGACGTTGAGTTTAAAGGCAGGCCCAAACGTGGCACTGCCGGAGAAGGGAGGAGTGGCTGAGAGTTACCGTTCAGTACGGCACCGCAGTGGGCACCGGAAACAGTGGGCATGACTGTCATACAGAGGGGTCTCTGTGCGAGCCTTTGGGTCTCCTGTACGAGTCTACGAGTCTCCGTGTGAGCTGCAAGTCTGAGTCTCTGTGCGAGTTTATGGGTCTTCGTGTGAGCTGTGAGTCTCTAGATCTCTGTGCGAGCCTTTGGGTCGCCTGTACGAGTCTACGAGTCTCCGTGTGAGCTGCGAGTCTGAGACTCTGTGCGAGTTTATGGGTCTCCGTGTGAGCTGTGAGCTGCGAGTCTCTGTGCGAGTTTATGGGTCTCCGTGTGAGCTGCGAGTCTGAGTCTCTGTGCGAGTTTATGGGTCTCCGTGTGAGCTGTGAGTCTCTAGATCTCTGTGTGAGTTTATGGGTCTCCGTGTGAGCTGTGAGTTTCTAGATCTCTGTGTGAGTTTATGGGTCTCCGTGTGAGCTGTGAGTCTCTAGATCTCTGTGCGGGTTTATGGGTCACCGTGTGAGCTGTGAGTCTCTAGATCTCTGTGCGAGTTTATGGGTCTCCGTGTGAGCTGTGAGTCTCTAGATCTCTGTGCGAGTTTATGGGTCTCCGTGTGAGCTGTGAGTCTCTAGATCTCTGTGCGAGTTTATGGGTCTCCGTGTGAGCTGTGAGTCTCTAGATCTCTGTGCGAGTTTATGGGTCTCCGTGTGAGCTGTGAGTCTCTAGATCTCTGTGCGAGTTTATGGGTCTCCGTGTGAGCTGTGAGTCTCTAGATCTGTGCGAGTTTATGGGTCTCCGTGTGAGCTGTGAGTCTCTAGATCTCTGTGCGAGTTTATGGGTCTCCGTGTGAGCTGTGAGTCTCTAGATCTCTGTGCGAGTTTATGGGTCTCCGTGTGAGCTGTGAGTCTCTAGATCTCTGTGCGAGTTGAGCTGTGAGTCTCTAGATCTCTGTGCGAGTTTATGGGTCTCCGTGTGAGCTGTGAGTCTCTAGATCTCTGTGCGAGTTTATGGGTCTCCGTGTGAGCTGTGAGTCTCTAGATCTCTGTGCGAGTTTATGGGTCTCCGTGTGAGCTGTCAGTCTCTAGATCTCTGTGCGAGTTTATGGGTCTCCGTGTGAGCTGTGAGTCTCTAGATCTCTGTGCGAGTTTATGGGTCTCCGTGTGAGCTGTGAGTCTCTAGATCTCTGTGCGAGTTTATGGGTCTCCGTGTGAGCTGTGAGTCTCTAGATCTCTGTACGAGTCTACGAGTCTCCGTGTGAGCTGTGAGTCTCTAGATCTCTGTGCGAGTTTATGGGTCTCCGTGTGAGCTGTGAGTCTCTAGATCTCTGTGCGAGTCTACGAGTCTCCGTGTGAGCTGTGAGTCTCTCGATCTCTGTGCGAGTTTATGGGTCTCCGTGTGAGCTGTGAGTCTCTAGATCTCTGTGCGAGTTTATGGGTCTCCGTGTGAGCTGTGAGTCTCTAGATCTCTGTGCGAGTCTGCACGGCACAATGCAGAACTGCATCGCATCTTAATGCGACTGCATCTCAAGAGACCGTCGAGAAGCGGTGGGTGTGTTTTACTCATCGAGAGAGAGAGGCAAGCGGTCGTAAGGAAATCCGAGAGCCCTGGACTTGAACAGGGGCAGGGAGTCAACGGCACGGGTGGCAGTGGGGAAGGGCGCTCCAGAGGTTAACGAGCAGAGCAACGAACGGGCCCGAAGGTGGAACAGATTCGCGGGCGGTGAGGCGTGCACTCCGATCCACGCCGCTTCTCCTCTTCACACCCCACACCCCCCCCCCCCCCACTTCGTTCCTCCCCCCCCACCTTCTTCCTTCTCTAAACTACCCACCTCCCACCTCTTCTCTTCTCTCCCCCCTCCTCATCCCCACCTCCTCTCCGATGGCTCCTCTTCTGTCCTCATCCCCTTCTCCTTGCCCGCCCCCCATCCTCAGCTTGCCCCCCCCCCCCATCCTTTGGCCCTTCCTCCTCCGTCTGGCCAGCTCACAGTCACCCCCCTCCCTCCTGCCCCCCCCTCTCCCCCCCATGCTTCGTTCCCCCTGTACGACCACTGCCCCCCCCCCTCTCTTCCTTCTTTCCCTCCTCTTGACAAGCCCCCTCTGCTCCCCCTCTATTCCAATCGCTTCCCCCCCCCAACTGCTTTCCTCTTCCCATCACTCCCCCTCTCTCCTTCGCTCCCCCCATGCCACACTGCCAGCTCCATCTCTCCTCTGCTCTCCATCCCCTCCCCCACCCTTGCCCTCCCCCTGACGTGGGTATGGCAGCCCCGGGTGCCGGTGTTTGCGTAACGCAGCAGCCCTCGGATAGAAAAAGTGGCGGTGGTAGTGGTGGCGGTTGCTAAAAATTATCTGCGTGAATAAATAAATATATATACGCGAAGGCAACAATGACAACAACGCCGACCAACGGGGGCGATCGAGCTCAGAGAGAATCACACTCAAGGGAAATAGCAAACTGCCCTGGGACAGAGCACGTCCGCAGAGCTGGTAGTGTGTGCGTGCGTGGTGCGTGTGTGTGTGTGCATGGTGCTTGTGTGTGTGCATGGTGCTTGTGTGTGCATGCGTGCGTGTGTGTGCATGCATGGTGCGCGTGTGTGCATGCGTGGTGCCTGTGTGTGTGCATGCGTGGTGCGTGTGTGCGTGCGTGTGTGTGTGCATGCGTGGTGCTTGTGTGTGTGCGTGCGTGGTGCGCGTGTGTGCGCACGCATGCATCCCCTAGGTAGACTCTGAAATGAGTACCTGGTGCGGTGTGTAAACATCGCCACTGGAGAGACAAAGGCGGCTGGGGGTGGTGATAGCCACCCACCCCCTCGTGTAACACTTGGCCCAAAAGGGGATCTTTGTATGTTGCTTGCTAAACAATTTGCCAAATTCTATTACTTGCAAATTATTCAGTTGGGATCACATGTAACAATGTCATCACCACTGCCATCATCATCATCAATGCTGTCAACATCACTGCCACATCAGCACTGCAGGCATCATGACCGCCATCACCGCTGCCATCATCATCACGGCCATCATCATGATCATCATCATCGCCAACCCCCACTGCCTCTGCAAGCTGAGCAGCTGTGCTGAGTGATGCATGCAACCTCCGAGTGGACCTAATTGAAATATAATGCGAATGGCTCATTTGCATAAGTGACTTGATTGAGATGTAATGGGGGCCACTCCAGTCACGGGCGAAGTGACACGAGGCGCCAGCGACATTGTCGCGAGCAACGTCATCACGAGCAACCTCACCGTTAACAACGCCATCGCCATTAGGCACGTTATCACTCGCAACATCGGCAATCGCAACATCGGCAATCGCAACAGCGGCAATCGCAACATCACCATTAGCAACTTAGTCACTAGCAATATCGGCACGGTCAACATCACCATTAGCAACGTCATCACTTGCAACACCGGCACGAGCAACATCACCATTAGCAGCGTCATCACCGCCACAAGCAACACCGTTACCATCGCTCGCCATGAGCAACAACGTCGCATCATCACTGCGATATCACAAAGCCCAGCCACCACCACCCTTGCCCCCCACCTCCCCCCGGTAGTGCCACCCCACCTCACCCGTGCTCTGGAACTCCTGCAGCTGAGCGTCGTCCAGCTTCTGAATGGCAGTCATGACGGACCTGAAGGCCCCCTTGAGCCTCTGGCCCAGCACCATGTGGTCTGGCTCGGCGCGCAGAATCACGCCGTAGCGTTGCTTGTCGGTGGACGTTGTCAGAACCCGCACGTTCAGCTCCTGTTCGGGGGGCCGCGGAGGGGGAGGGGCGCGCGAAAGACACACACGCTTTAGGCATGCATCTCGGATTAAATCTGTCTCAGATTTTCGGATTGTTCTATCGTTTGCACACGGCGGCAGGAGCAATATAGTTCAGGAGCTCGATGCCAATGTGGAGGTCCGCTTGGCCATGACAAGAGGGCTTCAGGAAAGAGTTCCTGTAGTTTTGCCGTTGCTCTTCCAATGAAGGTGTGCAGATTGCAGTGGTTCAGTGTATGGTCTATAGTTTGGGTGCATGGCCACACGACTTTACTGTGGCTTGTGTCCTTCATTTTCCACTTAAGAAACACATGTTGCGCAACGGCCTGCTGTTGATGTTCTGATGGTTGCGATTGATGGTTCCACCACCGGCGTCGTAGAGGAGGAGGAAAGTCAAAACCAGGAGGAGGTGCGATAATGTTTGGGTCTTGAATGAAGAGGTGTTGCTCCACTCCGTTCGCCAGCAGCGTTGTTCCGGGTCTGGGTGGTGAGATTCTAGGACGGTGACGGCACGCTCGTATCTTCGTGCGAACAGAAGCGGCATCGCCTTTTGCCGCACAACGCCACCGCGCAAGTGGCGTCATTAGCAGTGATGTCATATCCTGCGACTTCGCACTTTTGGATTAATCGTCAATGTAAAAAAAAAAATTCACGAGCACAGCAGACGTGCACACGCGCAGCGTATATGCACAAAACACGCATAGCATAAGCGGCACATACGAACAGCATACACACATACACAGTATAGACACAGCATACACCCAGCACGCACAGCACACACACACGCATCACGTATGCAAAGCGCACTCGCTCGTGCAAACATTGTCAATTTCTCCGTCACCTCCAAGATGTACTTCTGCAGCAACTGGATGTCCTCCAAGGCCTGCGGATCCTGATGGATGACCACCACCTCCCGCAGGGGATACTGAGCACGCACACACACACGCACGCACACACACATGCACACAGAGGCATTAACAAGAGTAGATGCACACAAACACTCGCATTTGCATACACAAAGACAAATACACCCCCCCATAGTCTTTTGCACACACGCACGCACAAACACGTGTACATACACACACACGGGCACACGCACAGGGGCACACATACATGGTCACGCGCGCACATACGCGCACAGACACACACGGCCACATTAGCGCACGCACACACAAGCAAGTAAATGCACACACGTATTTGCAGGCACGTACGCACAAGAACACACAAACAAGGTCATACACAAAGGCACGCACTCAGACATGCGCAACAAAGATGTCAGCGAGCACCTATTAAAGTCGGCGTGGCACGCCATGGGATGGTGTGGCTAGCACCGCCACACACGATCGTCTGACGTTTACCCACCACCCCATTAATGGCCGAGTCGACCTAGGGGCCGCCGGGTTCATAATGCAAACACGCATCACCGCTACAAACAAAACAAGCAAAGATCCCCAATATAGCCTTAACAGACTGTTGAGGCAAGTGCTGTTAGCAAGCACCTATTAATGCCGGCGCAGAACACGAGGGTGGAAGGCCAACAGCATGCCTGGCCGCCTTTGTCTCCCCCAGCGCAGACGCTTACACACTGCTCCAGGTGCTCATTTAAGGCTGAGTGAATCTAGGGGAGGCTCAGATATTCGTCACCAATGCTAGCTATGACATTGCACACGCTCGCTCACACCACCCTCACTGTGCCGCATGAGTGCACGCGGCCATCACTGGGGGCCACCACTCAAGTGTCTCTACTGCCTCATACAAGACAAAGATCCCCCGTATAGCCTTAACAGACTGTAGGGGCAAGTGCTGTTAGCGAGCACCTATAAAGGCCGGCACAGCACACGAGGGGGTGGGTGGCCAACACCAGGCCCGGCCGCCTTTGTCTCCCTAGTGGCGATGTTTACACATCGCACCGGGTACTCATTTGAAGCTGAGTCGACCTAGGGGAGGCCCGGGGCCGGTTCAGATAATCGTCACTGATGAGTTCAGGGTTATGGTCAGGGTCAGGGTTAGTGTTAGGGGTGGGGTTAATGTTAGGGGCGGGGTTAGTGTTGGTGTTGGTCTTAGTGTTGGTGTTCGTGTTGGTATTAGTGTTGGTGTTGGGGTGCCACCTTGACGGGGAGCGTTTTGCGGTCGCGCACCACCCTGCCCAGCTCCACCACCGACTGCATCCGCGCCACGGCCTTCTCAATGCGCTCATCGATCAGAGTCTCCCTGCACACACACTCACACCCGCCCCCCCCCATACAGTTCTACCTCCTCATCGCACACCCTACTCATCCACCACACTGTCCACCTGCCATCCCTCCTTCTCAAGTATATATGATGGACTTCTTTCGCACTATATGTAGCCAACCGCGCTAAACGGAGGCCGGCTAGTGGGACCAGGCATCGGACAGTGGGGCAAGGGATCCCGTGGCGGGTTCAGCAACAAGTGAGGTCGGGGGTCGTGGTGGGGGGGTCAGGGGGCAGCACCTGGTGAGAGGCAGCATGAGGTAGTGGATGCTGCGCGTGTCCTTCTCGCAAGCGGAGGCCGGGTCCAGCAGGTGCCGCAGGTTCTGGTACATGAACTCCGTGATGAACGGCGTAAACGGGGCCTGCGCACGGGACGCCACCACACGCCACATGGTGCTCGTGCGACGAGCGTTTTCCACTGCACAACCGCGCCGCGCCGGAGCTGTGCCGAGCCAGCCCGGCGTGGCTCAGGAGGTGCCGGTGTTGTTTTTCTACCGCAGAAGCAGAGCCGTGCCGTGCCGCCGACGTCACACGCAACTGTGTGTGTGTGTGTATTGTTGTGTGTGGTGTGGTGAGTGCAGTACCATGAGTCGGCACATGGAGAAGAGGACACTAAAGAGCGTCTCCAGGGCTCGCTGGCAATCGCGAGCGCCACCCTCACCCTGCACACAGTGGCATGGGAAGTAGCGGGGGGGGGGGGGGGGGCACGGTTGGGGAGAGGGGGACACGGCGGGGAACACGGGGGGGGGGGGGGCCCAGAGAGACACGGAGAAACACGGGAGGCAATGGGCCACAGGGGGGTCACATGGGGGTCACAGGGGACACACACACACACACACGCATGGATGGGTTCAATGCGAAGTCACCGGTCGAACAGAACAAAGCACAGCAGCGGCGGCCCCCCATCTCCAAGAGACCGCTCGGCAGGCAGGGTGAGTAGGCGGGGGGTGGTGGTGGTGCAGGAGGCATTTGAAAGGCTCTTTCAGCCCCGCCACAAGTGGCCACCTTTACACCCAGCGGGGCCTTCGCGCGTACTCCACAAGCACGGTATTGTAAGTACAAAGACAAAGATGCCCGTGTAGCCTGCACAGGCTGCTATGCGGGGTGGGGACAAGTCCTGTGAGCAAACACCCCTGAAGGCCGGATTGGCGACAAGGGGAGGTGGTGGCGCGATTTGCACCATGCACGGCTACCTTTGTCTCCCGCCAGTGCTGATGTTTTTACACGCCGCAACAGGTACTAGTTTTTAAGGCTGGGTTGATCTATAGGAGGCCCAGGACTGTCACTTGCCACCGATGACAGCCGTGGCTGGGATTTTAATGCGGGCTGCCGGGTTCGTAGACTAGTGGCGCTGACAACTGCGCCACCATTCCGCGCGTTTAAGCAATGCTAGTCGCATGGCAGTCAAATCGATGTTTTTAATTCTCATAAATGTAATTTATCCATGTACCATGTAGGTCACTGGTGATCGGGCTGAGCCCATAAACTCACTGCACCTGAGAACCCGGCTTAATCACAGGCAGTGGCTGTAACCCGGATTTGAAAGCAGGATCTCAGCGAAACTGGCTCAATGCTTTGACCTTCCGAGTCACCGGGCCTTCTAGCTATCTCGACTCTACGAAATAATGCCTAGGGCTGTGCTGGCTCAGGATCTCCGACACGGCCATAATTAACCTCTCCCCTACCCCGACCCCTGGAGGGCGCAGGACTGACCTTGAGGCGCCGGCGGTTGGTGCGGACGTACCAATTGGTCAGCATGTCAACGAACTTCACCAGACGTGGCACCACGGTGTAGAGCCGGTACGCTGGCAGGTGAGGCACACACAGTACACACACCACGCGCAGCACACATAGCACGCACGCAAGGCACACACACACACACCGAAGGCAGCACATACACGCGGCACACACGTGGGACACACGCAGCACGTTAGCCTGGTAGTGGTGGTGCTTTAGAAGCGACGGTTGGTGGATCACCACCAGAAAAGCATTTGAAGCTCCCAAACCCGCTGGGAGAATGGCAGTACAGCAAGTAGGTTGAACCCACCTGTGCGGCGGAGCTTTGAGTGACATCTCCCCTGCACCCCTGGTGGGTTTTCTCCTTGATTTGAAGCTTCCGTGACTGCAGGAATCCACACTCTTTGGTTCTTTCGGTAAAGTCACGTAGGTAGAAAATAAAATGAATCGTGACGTTTCGGGCGCAACACAAGCGTCCATCATCAAGGTGGGAAAGCGTGTTAGCGCCCGAAACGTCGCGATGTATTATTTTTCTACCTACGTGACTTTACCGAAAGAACCAAAGAGTATGGTTTTCTCCTCATATTCCGGTTCCCTTCCACAAATCCAAATAAAACCCTAACGAGGCCTGAAACGCTTCGCCACCCGAGCCACTCATTCGACAAACGGGGATGTGTTCTTCTCGGTGAAATATTTTAATTTCCAGAATAAATACATGTTCCCAATTGCTCAGAGAACGGTGTCGGGTGGTGGAGGGTTCACGACATATATTTGGTCAACAACAGACGAGTGCGGCCTTTGCTCGTTAGCGCATCAATAGGGAGGCCAAAGAAGTCGAGTCACATTTGTCGAGACCATGACAGGGCCTGACCTGAAATTCAATTGCGCATCGCCACGTTGGCTAGTCGGGCCCGCTCCGCCTTGCCTTGTATCGAGCAAGCGTGACCTTTGCCCTGGCTCGCACGAGGTCTTGAGCCCAACTGTGCAGCAGTGGCCTTCTTGACAGGGCTGGCGGTGAATAATGTTATATAGACAATGCCGCCGCCGGCACCCGCAGACAAATAATTAAACACACGGCATCACTGCTGCTGCTGTTACCGCTCCCGTCGCTGTTGTCGAACAGCAACGCTGCATAAGATGAAAGCAGCGCACGGTATCGGCTGGGGAGAGCACGAGGAGCACGGAACCGTGGGAGGGCGGTGGGAGGGGGGCGGTTTAAATATCGCGCTTCAAAACCTCGGAACAAAAAAAAATCCGTGGCACCATCCGTCAGGTTCCCCTGCCATCGGGCCCACGCTTCCCCCGCCATTATTTATTTTGTGTAAATCTCTTCTCCGCTTTTACTTCGCCACGGCCATTCATAATTAAACACCTCCCCCGGCAGTGCCTCCGCCGAGTGGGAGCTAAGCCAGGGGCTTCTATGGAGGAGGGCGAGGTGCGTAGGTGGCAGGTGTTGCCTCCGCCACTGCCAACACCCCCACCGCCAATACCACCAGCCGCTGGCACCGCTGCAACTTCCACTATCACCACTGCTGCCCTCATTACCATCGCCACCACCGCCACTGCCTCCATCATCAGCATCATCAGCATTATCCACGACCAATCACTACCACCACCACTGCCACCACCACCATCATCACCGCCATCCACGACCACCGCCGGGAGTTCACATCCGGGTCGGTGGGGTAGACTAGGCTCATCAACCCTCAGTCGGCAGTTGCCAGAATGAATTCCACTTTGTGGGGAAGTCAACAGTGGTTGTCATATGGGTAGACTCACCCCTGTCAAAATAATGTGGAATTTCCACCACCAATTTAGAGCTGTAAACAAGGTGAGCACCAATGCCTCAATGCTCACACGAGCAGCAACACTACTCCGACATTCAACAATACACTGCCCGACGGACAATGTGATTTTGGGCAGTTTTAACCGGTTAGGAGTGTAGAGGCGAAGGGGCAGTTAGTAGGGCAGAGGCGAGGGGGCAGTTAGGAGTGTAAAAGCGAGGAGGCAGGTAGGAGGGCAGAGGCGAAGGGGCAGTTAGTAGAGGCGAGGCTCACCGGCCATCTCGGTCTTAAAGAAAGCGATGAGCGACTGGGCGAAGGATATGATCCACTTGTCCATGATGTTGTCGCTCGGCTCGGCCGTTTGCTCGTTGTAGAGGAACGCCAGGCCCTCCTCCTGCCATGGCAACAACAACAATAGTTTCTACTTGCAACGCTGCACCACAGCCGCCACCTCCGCACAGCATCCGCTCATCGCTGTCGTAGAGAGAGGACGACTCGGAGGCGCCAGGAGCAGGGACTACAGACGAGCGGGGAGGCACCAGCAGCAGCCACGCGGTGGGCCGGCGCCGTCAATTGCCCAAGCTTTACGGTCCTCTAAATATGAAGGTGTTATTGGCCAATTTATGAGTGTTTATAACGCCAATGATGTCAACATCAACACCACCACAACAGCAGAATGTCAATACCAGGAGACGTAGATATCCAACACGAACATCAACAGCAATACCATCAACAACGATAACAATGACCACAACAAGGGTCTCCGCACTGATATTAACACGTTAGCACGCTGTCGTGTTGTGATAGTACATTTCCATGGTGCTGTGTTGCCACGGGAATGTATCATCATGGTGCCGTGATGCCGTAATTCTGCGTTGCCGTGACACCGTGTCACCGCATCGCAACGTTGCCATGATGTTGCCGTGACGCCACGACACCACGTCGCCACGTTGCCGTGACGCTGCCGCTGCGTTGCTAAGGCGACCCTTACCCTGTGCAGGCGGTCCACGTTCTGCACCAGGAAGCGGTAGGCATTGTACCAGGGCAGGAAGACGTCCTTGAGGACATCCCGCACACCCTCCTCCTTGAAGCGCAGGTTCTCCGCCCTCACAACGGGAGAGTTGATCAGGTATAACCTGCACAAAAAGACAAAAGATCCCCCGTATAGCCTTAAAAGACTGTTGGGGCAAGTGCTGTTAGAGAGTACCTATGAAGACCGCCTTTGTCTACCCAGTGGCGATGTTTTCACACACTGCAGTGCTGATGTGGCAGTGATATTGGCAGAGATGATGACAGCAGTGATGATAATGGCTGTGATGATGATGGTAGCGATGATAATGGCAGTGGTGATGACATTGTCACGTGTGATTCCAACTGAATAATTTGCAAGCCAATTTTAGAATTCGGATTTTTTTTTTAGCAAAAAACATAGAAAGACAAAGATCCCCCATATAGCCTTAACACACTTTAGGTCCAAGTGTTACACGAGGGGGTGGGTGGCCATCACCACCCTGGCAGCCTTTGTCTCCCCTGTTGCGATATTTACACATCGCACCAGTTAATAATTTCAGAGTCGACCTCGAGAGAGGCCCAAGACCGGTTCAGATATTCGCCACCGGTGTTGGCTGTGAACGGGAATCGAACTCGCGTCGCCGGGTTCGTAGCGCAGCGTAGCGCTAACCGCTCCACTACCACTCACAACCTGCACACACACGCGCACGCACAGAGATCCCCCCCTGTGTAGCCGACACAAGCTGTCGGGGCAAGTGCTGTTGGCTTGCACCTTTATAGGCTCCCCAATAATGGGCAGCGGCAGCACCGCAGGGAGAGCCTTAGCAGGACTCGGCGGCAACAAGGGATACTTCACAGGAGTCAGGGTTAACCCCCTCAAAAGAGGGAGGAGAAGAGGCGGGGGGGGGTCAGCCAGACCCCAGTAGGGCAGGGTCAGCAGCCCGCACCTCAGGGCATCAGCGCCGTAGCGATTCACCACCTCCACCGGATCCGGGTAATTCTTCTTCCTCTTGGACATCTTCTGCCCGTCACTACACGCAAAGACAAAGATTCCCCACGAAGCCTTTAGCCGACTGTTGCGGCCAAGTGTCGTTCGTGAGCAGCAGCACCTATGAAGGCCGGCACAGCACACGAGGGGGTAGGTGGCCAGCACCATGCCCAGCCGCCTTTGTCTCACTAGTGGCGATGTTTACACACGACACCAGGTATTTTATTGAGGCCGAGCCGACCTAGGGCACCCGAGACCGGTTCACATATTGTCACTGTTGTTGGCTGAAAGCGGGATTCGAAAGCGGGATTCGAACTCGAGTGGCCGGGTTGGTAGTGCAGCGCGCTAACCACTAAACTGCTGCTCCTCAAAGCTCCACAACACACACACACACTTATACATACATATGTGCATGTGTATATGTTTGCATATGTTTGTATGCATATATGTACAATGCATGTAATTCATGTAGACTCTTATGGAATAGGAAAACTCATGCAGTCAGGAGCATCATCATCATGAGCAGCAGCAGTATGAGTACCATCGTCATCAAAATAATCATCATGACCCCCAACAGCAGTTTCAAAAGAAAGATCGTCATCATCAGCAGCAGCATCTGCACAACTATCATCTCTGTCGGCAGCTTCATCATCATCGGCATTAACATCAGCAGCCAAGTAATCATGATCATCATCGTCATCAGCACCGTCTGTATTATCATCAGCACCACCCAATCCCTCACACCCACGAGCACCGGCAAAGCACCGCGGTTCCGAGCGAGCGGAGCGTGGACGCCAAGTCTCGGCGTCGCGTGCTGCTCACGTTCGTTTCGGCAACGGACTCCGTCTCGCCGCTTCTCTCGCGCTGAACACTTCGTTTTCCAGCGTTCGCGCCCTCATCTCTCGTCACCCCGCGTCTCCCACACACGCAGCTACCTCGCGTCTCCAAGGCGCTCACCCAGTTACATAGCAAGTTAACATTCCCACACACAAATTGCCACCACTACTGTTGCTGCCTCGGTTACTGTCCCTGTGAACTTCACTCACTGAAACCTCCTCCCATATTGAGGACTCGGCCTGCACCAGACACTGACTGTTGCGTCTAATCCATCGCCACAACGTGTGCAACCACCACGCTACAAGTCACAACAACTCACTCACTTGTTCACCTCGCCCACCCATTCATTCACCCACTCAAAAACAATTGCCATTCGCTACTACGGCGCTTGTTCCTGGCTATGTGCATTTTGAGGCCACGTGCAGTGTCCAAGGCTTGCTCCCCCCGCCTCCCCATCCCCGTCGCGTGTATATTTGTTCTGAAGCAGAGTTCGCAGAGACGAGAGCCACAGATCGAGAACGCCCGTCCGGATTTCGTCTGCCTCGTGGTGGCCGGTGATGCCCTCTGGTGGAGACCCTCTGCTACTGCGTGCGGTGATTGAGAGCAGACCTGGTCGTCATCATACCCCTCCCGGCAACTCGCGATTTAGAGTCGCAGTGGAGGATCAATCAATCACTGGTCTGAGACCCCCCCCCAACTCGCTACGCTTGAGAACCTGGTTTAATAACTGTGGTCACGTGACTGAAACCCAGAATCGAACCCAGGATCTCAGCGGTGCCGACTCAGGATCTCTGACCCCTGACCCCACAGGCTCCTACCCCACTCGCAGCGTGTATATTTATTCTGTAGCAGAGTTCGCAGAGACGAGCGCCACTGATCGAGAGCGCCCGTTCGGATTTCGTCTGCCACGTGGTTTGCTGTGGCACCTCCTCTCACCGGCCACGGCACAAGCGAGCCGAGCGCCGGATGGTGGAGCGGGTGCAGTTTCAACGACAACTACAGCCCCAAACCCCGACTCCAGCCCCAACCCCGACTCCAGTCCCAACCCCGACTCCAGGCCTGACTATAGCCCTAACCTTGACTCCAAGCTCACATGCTATCAATAGGGCTGGTGGAATCACCACGGCAGCAGGACTACAAAACGCACCCCCAACTTGTGCTTCATAACACAATGGGTGAGGTGGCAGGGGTAGCGTGGTGGATGTGCGCCAAACAATCCGTAGGCCGTGGCAGCACGTGGGTATTTTTCATTATCGCTCGCTCACACCTGACTCTTAACCCCACGCGCTAATGGGATCGCCGTGAGATCTCTCCGGCGCCGAGCGGCGGTGGCAGCGGCGTGCGCTGCCCCCCTCCCACGCTAGTGTCATCGCCGGCAGATTTAGCGCCCGATCGTTTCGCGCCTGGATCGCGGGTGGGCGAGGTGGGTGTGTGTGCGCGCGCGTGCCAATTATTCCCCGGGGCCTGGGAGCTCGTCAGAAAGACCGGCATCGCTCCAATCATCGGGGGCCGTCGTCACAACCAGCGTGGTTGTGGGGAACTCCATCATCATCACCACCACCAGCATCATCACCAAAACCAGAGTTGTCATCATCGCATTCACTACTATCATTGTTGTTGTGGATACAGTCACCACAACCACCACCACCACCATCATCATCAATATTTTGACCACCACAACCACGAACAGCACCATAATCGCCACCGGGGCAGCAGCGGCGTGGGTCACGGACCTGGCGAGCACCAGACCATTGACGATGACGTTCTTGAAGGGGGGCTTCCCGAACAGCGCCGTGGAGAGCACGAGCAGCGTGTAAAACCTGGCATGGGGATGGGGGGTGGTGGGAGGGGGGTGGGGGCAGGCGGAAACGGCATGGGGAGGGGTGGGGGCATCGGGGACGAGTGTGGGAAAGATTTGTCAGACAAAAAATTCCGGCACATGTCAAATCTGCTGGATGTTGACAGCATGGGCACGCAAGAGATAAGCATGTGGGTAGGTGGATTGATGAGTGGAAAGGTGAATGGATGGGTCGGTGGGCAAGTTGGTGAGCGAGCAGGTGAGTGAACAGGTCAGTGAGGGAGCAGGTGCATGAGCGGGAGAGTGAATGAGCGAGCGAGCGGGTTCAGCGAGTGAGCGGCGAGCAGGCGGGCGAGCTAGAGAGCGAGTGACTGGACGAGCGAGCGAGCGAGCGAGCGGGCGGACTCACCACCCGCGCGTCTGGTCGATGCCCTCGGCGATGAAGTCGGCAGGGAACGAGTCCTCGAACTGCCGGCGGTTCTCAAAGGGGTAGTGCACCTGGGCGTAGGGCATGCTGCCGCTCTCGAACCAGCAGTCGAACACCTCGGTCACGCGGCGCAGCACGCCCCTGCCCGTGCGCGACGGGATCGTCAGGTTGTCCACGCTGTGCCGTGCAACACAAAACACGCCTCTTTAGTCGCCCGGCGGTGGAGAAAAATAATAAAAATCACGTCAAACTGTCGCGCGCCGCCATTCGTACAGTAGACACACATCGTTCTCGTACAGAGAGAGGGGGGAAAGCAGCAGCCAGGCGGTGAGGAGGCGGCGCTACTTGCAATTGACCAAGCTCTGCGGTCCTCAATGTGTAAATGTGTCGTCGGCCAATGAATGAGTGGAAGAAGACCAGGGCACGTGGCCCAGCGGTGCCGTGTTCGCCGCATGTTGCAAAAGGTTCGCGGCTCGATTCCGCCGGCCGTCCTGGTTAACACTGCGGAGTGTGCGAACCGGAAAAAAAGCGACGAGCTCTCCGCTTCACTCACGGTGGATGTCAAAGATGCCAGTGACCTCATTCGCAAGAGTAGGCCATTGTGTGTCGGCGTCATGGTCCGCATTTTGCCAAATTTGTAAAATCACACCGCAAGGTTACTCGAATGGAAATACTCAGAGGCTGTCCCGGGGAACCAAGCAAAAAAATAACAAGCAACTATACCCACACGGCTGGCACGGCACACGAGGGGGTGGCGTGACCAGCACTACACCCGGCCGTCTTTGTCTCCCCATCATACACTGCACCAGGGACCCGTTTCATGCTGAGTCGACCTGGGGGAGAACTAGGAGTGAGTTGGGTTGGTGGCGCGATGCGCCAAATGCTGCACCACCACTCAACAACACCGATGATGGCTCTGATGCCGACAATCATGATGCTAATGGGGTTAACGACATGATTATGATACTGCCTATCATCGAAACATTTCAATAATGACGATAACGATGATGATAATCCTGCCACTGCCGATAACACCGGTAGTACTACCGACGATGCTGATGATGACGACAATGACGAAAACCGCCCCCAACGTCGTCACCAGACGTCGACCACCACCACCGCCGGCGCACGCGAGGACAACCTTGCACCTCCATTACTGGGGAGCACCCTCGCCATGCTTCCAAATCAGACCGCAGCGCGGGCGCCGTTCACCTCTCACGGTGCAGATCGGAGATCTTGGTGCCCGTCAGCGCCTCCAGCTCCTCGATGGATCCCACGCACACGACCTGCCGGAGAAGGGGGTCACGGGGGTCACGAGAGGTGTCAGCACAAGCCGCTCGCACAGAACGACACCGACGCGCCGCATGTCAGCGGTGGCGGTGACGGTGGTGGTAGTGGCGCCGCACGTGGCCTGTGATCCAGCACTGTGAAAGCAGCTAGGGTCGGTGGATCATTGCACAAATGGTGTGAAACTCTCTTCCCGTGGGTGTCGGACAACACGAGATCACCACCCCCCGCCAGCCCTCCCTTACACAACTGCCCCCTAACACCGCAAGCCAACCCTACGCTACGGAGTCCACCATTAGATTATCATTCTCTCTCTCGGTCCTCACCAACGGGGAACTGCAGTGTCACAACACCTCGCTCAGTTTGGTTGATACATCAAAGGTAACGGTTGGGCTCGGGGGGCGATTGTGGGTCGGTACCTCCTTCCTGTCGTCGCTGACCCACAGCGGGATGGGCGTGCCCCAGTAGCGGTTTCGGGAGATGGCCCAGTCGTGCGCGCCCTTGAGCCAGTTGGCAAATCGCTTGTCTCCCACAAACTCGGGCACCCTGCCGGCGCGGACAGGGCGGTGGCGAGCGCACCGGGACACACCACCGGGACAAAAACAGGAACACACCGCGGGACAACGTCAGGGCAACCGTCGCCGGCAACGCGGCTGCGGCAACTCGGCACGGCGACGGCGCAGAGCGACGGGGTTTCGCGTCTGTCCGATGGAAGCCGAGTGTCTTTGAGAGGCAATGTAAAGGAACGACTGGGATGCTGCTGAGCGCACCACCTCGGACGGTCATGTGCACCCCGCCAACAATGAGACGAAGCGGCGGGGCGGCGGCGTGTTACCACGAGAGGAGACTGCACAGCGACCATCGCCTGCGAGCAGCTGTGCCGACTCGGTACCCCAGTAGCAGGGATCACGGATTGGGAAAACTACTCGATTAGGATTACACATCATAGCGGCAATCATCGTGCTCCCCACTGGAAGAGTGATGCCCGTTTGTAGGCCACGTGCTAAATCACGTTGTGCCAACAGGCACAGCTGCCACTGAGGGTGCCCCTTTCAGATGTGTTGAGGTGAGATGTGAAGCGCCGCGGCATATAGGGGGGCGGCTCTACCCAATCAGTATCCTTGTCAATAGGGTCATAGGTCATAGGGTCATAGGATCATAAGTCATAGGGTCATAGGAACATCAGGGGGGTCGTAAGGGGGTCGTCAGAAAGGTCATAGGAGCATCACATCGTAGAGGGGCAGGAGACGGTGTGTAGAGGGCGTGGTGTAGAGGGCGTGGGGTAGAGGGGTAGTGTAGAGGGCGTGGGGTAGAGGGCGTGGTGTAGAGGGCGTGGGGTAGAGGGCGTGGTGTAGAGGGCGTGGGGGAGAGGGCGTGGAGGAGAGGGCGTGGGGGAGAGGGCGTGGTGTAGAGGGCGTGGTGTAGAGGGCGTGGTGTAGAGGGCGTGGTGTAGAGGGCGTGGGGTAGAGGGCGTGGTGTAGAGGGCGTGGGGTAGAGGGCGTGGTGTAGAGGGCGTGGTGTAGAGGGCGTGGTGTAGAGGGCGTGGTGTAGAGGGCGTGGTGTAGAGGGCGTGGGGTAGAGGGCGTGGTGTAGAGGGCGTGGTGTAGAGGGCGTGGTGTAGAGGGCGTGGTGTAGAGGGCGTGGTGTAGAGGGCGTGGGGTAGAGGGCGTGGGGTAGAGGGCGTGGTGTAGAGGGCGTGGTGTAGAGGGCGTGGGGTAGAGGGCGTGGTGTAGAGGGCGTGGTGTAGAGGGCGTGGTGTAGAGGGCGTGGTGTAGAGGGCGTGGTGTAGAGGGCGTGGTGTAGAGGGCGTGGTGTAGAGGGCGTGGTGTAGAGGGCGTGGGGTAGAGGGCGTGGTGTAGAGGGCGTGGTGTAGAGGGCGTGGTGTAGAGGGCGTGGGGTAGAGGGCGTGGGGTAGAGGGCGTGGGGTAGAGGGGGTGGTGTAGAGGGCGTGGTGTAGAGGGCGTGGGGTAGAGGGCGTGGTGTAGAGGGCGTGGTGTAGAGGGCGTGGGGTAGAGGGCGTGGGGTAGAGGGCGTGGGGTAGAGGGCGTGGGGTAGGGGGGCGTGGTGTAGGGGGGCGTGGTGTAGGGGGGCGTGGTGTAGGGGGGCGTGGTGTAGGGGGGCGTGGTGTAGGGGGGCGTGGTGTAGGGGGGCGTGGTGTAGGGGGGCGTGGTGTAGGGGGGCGTTGTGTAGGGGGGCGTGGTGTAGAGGGCGTGGTGTAGAGGGCGTGGTGCAGGGGGGCATGGTGCAGGGGGGCGTGGTGCAGGGGGGCGTGGTGCAGGGGGGCGTGGTGTAGAAAGTGTACGTGTGTGTGCCCGCGCACCGCACCACAGGCACTGGCTGTTGCACTCGACCAGCTTGTCCACCATGTGCTCCACGCGGACGAACCAGCTGGGCACCGCCTTGTAGATGAGCGGCGTGTCTGACCTGCGGACGCAGGGAGAAGGCGCCCGCCCCCCGGAGACGTTACCAATCGCGGTCGTGGGCACCCCCCGCTTCCGGCCACCCCCACAAATTCTATCCCGAGTGCCGTATTGGCGTCACGTGGTGGCGAGACAAAGAATCCCGCAGGGCAGCGCAAAATCCTTCGTGTTAGGAAAGGCTCGTGGAAGCGGATATCATGGAGCTACCGCTGAGACCCCTTCATGGAAAACCTAAAGGCAGATGGTAGAGGGAGACTGTCAGGGCAGATCTTGGAGGTCGCCGCATGTGCCGAAGCTCTGGGATCTGGCGGAGGAGGGTAGGGAGCCTTCGTAGCGATGAGGTTGCATCAACCTCTGAGATGTCTCCACGCAGGGGGACAGCACCCCAACACGCCCTGCTACAGGCAGTAAGGCTCGTCGTGTGACAGTCTTACCGGTACTTTTTGTTCAGTCACACTTGAGACCTGGCTTGAGACATCAACTCGCTACATTTCAGACCCCGATGCGGTTGCACGGCTGAAGCCCGGATTCGAATCCAGGATCTCAGTGGTGCTGACCCCACGGCCTCCCTCTACCCCTCTCACCCCCACCTCCGCGCCGCGCGCATTTTTTTCTGTGGCAGAGTTTGCAGAGACGAGCGCCACTCATCGACGGGCGCCCATCCGGATTTCGTCTGCCTCGTGGCGTTTGTTGTGGCACCTCCTCTCACCGGCCACGGCACAAGCGAGCCGAGCGCCGGATGGTGGAGGGGGTGCAGTTTCACCTACGACTCCGAATGCGCAATGACGATGTATGCTAGCCTCTAGGGTTTCCCCAGCGATTGAGTGACAGCGCCGACACACACACATGTAGCATTGCTAGGAAGGGGCGCGATGGCCCCGTCAGCACCTCCAACAGAAAGGGTAGCTGTGCTTGAAGGAGCTGGTGTGCACCAGTCGCCCCCGTTCCTTCAGCAACTTTATGATGGCCTTGTCAGCATCCTGAACAGACAAACGCACGCGCGCATGCGGCAATGTGCGCACACACACACGCATGGGTGAGCGGGGGGGGGGGGGGCGGGTGCACCACGCACTCACGGAGCATGGTTCGATTCCGAACCACGGCGAACATCAGTGTCGAGTGCGCGGTTGTGCGTGTAGCTTTTGTGGTTGTATGAATGTGTGGTGGCCACACTGCTCCCTCGTGTTCCGACCTTCATAGGTGCTCGCGAACAGGATTTGCGCCAACATCTTACGTAGGCTACAAGGGCGATCTTTGTCTATGTAAGTGCGAGTGTGGTCACATGTTTATATGCGGTTGTATGTGTGCTTACAACAATGAGCGGAGCACCGGGCAGCTAAAATGCATCACTTGGGTCTGTCCGTGACCGCCTGGCAGCGAGCTTTCAGCACTTTCGGCCCTTCACATGGCCTCAAAGTGCACCTAGTCCAGCACAAGCGCCGTGATGACCTCAACGCCACTTCGTGGCAAATGACGGCTATAGTTGTTGTGCGCATGCGTCTGTGTGTACGTGTGTACGGTTGTTCGGAAATTTGTTTCAATGGTCAGTCATGGATCTCCATTCAAACGAATAGGATTCGACTGATGATCCTTAAGGCCCGGTGGGAGGGGTCAAAAAGTGGAGGGGGAGTGGGGAGGGGGGGGATGGGGGGGGTCGAACCTTGACGTACTGCCCGGCGAAGTCCGACACATCGGCGGTGAAGCAGCCGGTGGCGTTGACTGGGCAGATGGGCACCGCGTCGCTCAACACCACTCGGTTATCCAGGCATATGCGGAAATCGTCCTGGGGGGGGTTGTGGCGTGGCGGGAGGAAGTGGGTGGATCAAACGCAGAATGTGGGACAGCGAAGGGATACAGAGGAAGTCGGGGAGAGAGGAGTTGATTTAATTTTAATTGTCTGGCTAGTGATGGACAGGTGAGGGAGTGCGTGAGTGTGGGTTGGTGGGTGGCTGGGAGGGTGGGTTCGTGGGTGGGTCGGTAGCTTGGTGGGTGGTTGAGAGGGTGGGCGGGCAGGGGAGGTGGGCAGGCAGGTGAGTGGGCGAATGGGTCGGTGGGTGGGCAGGCAGGTGGGTGGGCGAGTGGGTGAGTGAATAGATGGAAGAGTGTATAGGGGCGAGTAGGTGGGTGGGTGGCGAGCGGGTGGGAAGGTGAATGAGTAGGTTGGTGGGTGAGTAGGTGGGCGAGGAGGTGGATAAGCTGGCATGCACGGGGGTTGTCAGGTGCATCAGGTGGGTGGGTGGGTCCATGAGCAGCAAGCCAAGTAGGCGGGTGAATGGCTGGAAGTGCGAGCGGGCGAGTAGGTGGGTGACCCTCCCGGGTGCTGGAGGGCTGGCGGGCGACTCACGACACCGAAGTAGGGAGCCTGGTGGACGACCCCTGTGCCGCTCTCGCTCGTCACGTAGCCGTCGCACAGCACGCGGAATGCGCCCGGCTCTGCACGCTGCACAATAAAAAAAACACATAAGTGGACAACCATGAAGGACCACGTACATGCATGTACCCCATAACGCACCGCAGCATGCGCCCGTCCTTGTCAGGGTTCAGTCGGCGGCAACGACGCTACCTTCCGAGCGCTGCGATGCGGCGGCGCCACGCACGACACCGCCGCCGTGGCCGGCAAAAGCCCAACACTTTTGGCGCTGGTTTTTTAATCGCCGCGTTTTGGGCACGAACCCATTCTCGCAGAAAGTGGCCGGGTTTCCCCCAGGGTAACGCCCGAAGAGCAACACAACCCCGCACCGGAGTTCCGCTTCACATTGCATCGTCTTCAACGATGACGGTCGCAGGCAAATGATTGGCCAGCACCTGAGCACGCGCCGAATGGGAAACGAACCCATGGGCTAACGAGCCGAAGCCGGCACGCTGACCCTCACCTTCACGAAGTAATCGAACAGGGGCCGGTACCGCTTGTCCTTGAGGGTAATACCCTTAAACCTGCGTACACACGTGCGCACGCACACACACACGCACAAACTTATCATCCCAACGGTGCCGAGGACATAACGAAGGTGAACGCGCAATACCAACGGCCGTCAACGATGCACACGAACGCGCCGTAGCGGAGCACGGTGGATACCAAAGCGACTGCGGTGGTGCTTGTGTGATGGTGGTAGCGGTGGTTCCGTGGTGGTTGCGATATCATGGCAATACAGTGGAGGGTGGTAGCGATGTGGTGGTGGAGGTGAGGATGTGGTGGTGACACTGTGGCATTGGTGGCAATGTGGTGATGGTGGTGTGGTTGGTGGTGATAATTGGTAGCATGGTGGTGGTGGCACGATAGCAGTGGTGGCACGGTGGTGGTGGTGCAGTGGTGACAGCAAGGTGGTGGTGGTGGCGCCATGGTGGTGGGCACCACTCACTTGTCGATCACGATGTACTCGTCCTCCTGCTTGTACAGCGCATGCAGCCGCACCTCCATCAGGATGTACAGGTTCCCCGTCGCGACATCTACAGGCCACCGGCGGCACCATCGTGAACTGCCGCTCACAACCACCAACTCCCGTGAGCGACCGCTCACAAAATGAATCACCCATGCCCATCTGTCCACTAACACTTACAACTGTGAACTACCACTTACAACTTACTACCGTGCAAAACCGCAAACTACCGTGCAAAACCGCAAACTACCGTACACATGGTCCAGGCATGAGGAGCGCTCGCAGGGTTGATTCTGTAAAACTGTCTTTGCTCCACGAGACTGCTGGCCACAGAACCGGGGAGCGTAACGCAAGCGGCACTACCGCCCGGCGCATTTCACCGTGAGCGCGCCAACCGCCCGGGCATGACGCGACGGGGGCGGGGGGTGGGGAAGGGCAGGAGGGCCACTGACCTTTGACCCGGACGTAGATAAGTTCCGGGTTGATGCACACGGAGAGGTTGCTAGGCAAGGTCCACGGTGTGGTCGTCCACGCGATGAGTGACACCGACTCGTCCTCCAGCAGCGGGAAGCTCACAATAACCGCGGGGTCGGTCACATCCTGTCGGCCCCACCACCACAACCACAACTGTCAGAACCTCACCACAAACCACAACCGTCAGGACCTCATCACTATTCCTAGACTCATCATAAATGCACTATCACCACACCCGTCAGAATCTCACCACAACCGCCACAACCACGACCGTCAGGTCCTCATCACTACCACCAGTCTCCTCAGAAATGCACCACCACCACATCCGTTAGAAACTTAGCACAACCACCCCGCCCGTCACAACCACCCTGCCACCACCAAGCCCGAGATTCAGTGAAGCTAAGGAGTAAAATAACAACCATAATTCATAACCCTTCGTCGATGTACTGTTGGGTGCAGCCCTATCCACGCTGTGTGGATCATGGGGGTTATTTAACTGTACATCAACGGCCAGGGAAAGGAGGGAACAGCCAGGAACCGGTTCAGCAGCCAGGAACCGGTTCAATCAGGTTAGCCGAGGCCTGGATTAGAACTCGGGTCACTCGGCTCATCGCGCAAAACGCCGAACCACTACGCCACCGACTTCACGCCGACAAGGTGCAGCCCTGCAACTGCTCGCCTCTCGCCACCGCTGGTGGAAGCGCCTCCACCAGAAGGAGCTCTCGAGAGCCCCTCGGGAGGGTGTTTGGCCTACTCCTCCACACATCTCGGAAGGGTTGTGAGTACCAACACTAATATACCCCACCACTAATATACCCCACCACACATGACTTGCCAATCAAAAACAAGTGTCCACTATTAACGATATATAAATGGAAGGCAATGCTATTAATAGTAAAAATTAGCCATGGACAACAACGCAACTCGCCACAGGTTACCCGTCCATGTGGTGGCCGGTGATGCCCTCTGGTGGAAACCCTCTGCTACTGCGTGCGGTGCTTGAGAGCAGACCTGGTCGTTATCATACCCCTCCCGGCAACTCGCGATTTAGAGTCGCAACTGAGGATCAATCACTGGTGACTGGTCTGAGAACCCCCCCCCCCCGCCCAACTCGCTACGCTTGAGAACCTGGTTTATTCACGATGGTCACGTGACTGAAACCCAGATTCCAAACCCAGGATCCCAGCGGTGCCGACTCAGGATCTTTGACCCCTGACCCCACGGGCTCCTCCCCCCACTCGCCGCGTGTATATTTATTCTGTAGCAGAGTTCGCAGAGACGAGCGCCACTGATCGAGAGCGCCCGTCCGGATTTCGTCAGCCACGTGGTTTGCTGTGGCACCTCCTCTCACCGGCCACGGCACAAAGCGAGCCGAGCGCCGGATGGTGGAGCGGGTGCAGTTTCACCGACAACTCCCGCCACAAACCCCGCCCCAGCCCCAACCCTGACTCCGGCCCCAACACCGACTCCAACCTCAATTCTAACCCCAGCCACAACACTGACCCCCAACCCTGATTCCAACCCCGGCCACTCGTGATGAGAGATGCCCCTTGACTTGAGCGTGCTGAAATTATAAACGCAGTATTGCTGCCAGGAAGGACAGAATACCCCTGCCCCTCTTGTACCCGCTAAGCGTGACCCGGACACTCGCAGTGACGGGGTGGATATCGCAGTGGGTGTCGTGATGGTGGAAGTCGTGCAGCAGGTGGATTTTGTAACCACCCGCCCATGAACCGCAGAAAGTCAACAATGGTAAAACCTACAAACTCTGTTTATACAACCTTACAGGCAGCTATTTTTAATGTGTTTGTTTATCGCTACTTTTATGATACAGCTTTGCTTGCCCTGGAAAGCCTCACTGAGTCTCAGGACTCTTTTTTAGGATGGTCCTGCCAAGTTATCGCAGTGTGAGTGGGAGGGGGGGGGGGCAATGATCGCTAGGTGTATTGCAATTGAGTGACTTGCTGCTGTAATTTTTTTTGGAACTTGCTAAACTTGAACCGTGACGCCGGTGCACATCGGCCAAACTCATGTCGCCGCGTGGGGTCCCGAGACGGCGGCGCTGCCGCGTGCGGCTCTCGGCCTTGGCCCTGGGTCGCACCGCTGCGCATCGTCGGGTGCGACGTCCGACGTTTCGCTCGACAACGATGACTCATTGAGACCTCCTTTGCCAGTAACAAGATATAGGAATAGGTTTTACCCTTTTAACTGGCACAAAAACTGACACCTTTATTCAAGGCATCATGTTTGCAATAACCACAACCTATTCCTATATCTTGTTACTGGCAAAGGAGGTCTCATAATGTAAATGCTCACCCCGAGCCCTCAATACTCTGATAGTGCGCTGTTTTTGAGTTGTATGCCTTTTGGCGTCTTCTGGTCCAACACCGGTGGAGACTAAAGGGCTCTAAGAAAAGCCGTCTCGGGTGTGGACCAATCAAATTCAAGGACAGTGCATATTATTATCAGAGTTGTCTTTTTTGTTTGCATTTTGACTGCTTGTGTTGTGGATGCCTTGAATAAAGGTGTCAGTTTTTGTGCCAGTTAAAAGGGTAAAACCTATTCCTATAACGATGACTCATTTAAGGCCGAGTCGACCGAGCAGAGCTCCAGGACGGGGTTGGATATTCGCCACCGCTCTTGGCCACGGGCAGGAATCGAGCTCGGGTCGCCGGGTTCGTAGCGCAGGGGTTAGCGCTGCGCCACTGACACACACAACACCACCTGCAACGCGCCACTAAGTGGCGGTGATGTCACCACGCCGCCTGTGCCAGGCCAGGTGCACTTTGACGTCACGTGAAATATCGAAGGCTCGCGGACAGTAGGTCACGGGTTAACCGACCGAGATGACTGGCAGATGCACTAACTGCACTCCTACCGTGCTAACCAACATACACACATTCACAGACATGCTCACGCACGCTTCACCTTGTAGTTCTGGTTGGCCTCAAAGTTGGAGAGGGGAGTGGTGCAGGCCGTGGAGTAGGGCATCACCTTCACCCCGCTGTAGACGAACCCCTTGTCGAACAGCTGCCGGAACACCCACCTGGCCCCGGCACACACGTCCCCCCCCTCCCGTTAACCATGTTACCCAGCGGCCGCGTTATCCGCCGCCACGTACACGCACGCCGCGTCGCCCGCACGTGGGCACGCGGGGCGCTGGCCCAAACACACGGTGCCAGCGCCGAGCTGGCTCGCTTCTCACCGGCCGTGAGCACACGGCATCGTTAAGGTTGCCAAACGTCCCGGTGTGTTCATAATGGCCGTGGCCCTAGTCTCTCCCCCCATCCCCTGAAGATATGGTGAAGATCTACATTTTGTCCACGATTTTAAATGTTCAGTCGGTGTTCACCGCTGAGGGCGTGAAGGGTTTCTTTTTTCATTCCTGTTGCTCTATGCCCCCGGACGATATTGGCACGTAAAATAATGATTGGCTGCTCGATTGATGGCCTGGTGGTCAACTCCTTGTACGGGCAAAGGACAGGGCTACTCCAGCAGTGGGTGGGTCTCACTGAGCAGTGGGCAGAGGTAAACGAGCAGTGGGCATGGCTACCTGGGCAATGGGTGGGGCTACCCGGGCAGTGGGCAGAGCTACCCTGGTCAACTACTGGACATCGGGGAAAAAGAGCTTCATACCTCGTCGAATTTTCTCCAGGCTAAATAAATATTCTGATTCTGACACCCAAGTTAGTGGGGGCGGCATGAGGTGACAAGTGGGTCTGGCTGTGCGTAAGTAGGTGGGGCTGGCAAAGGGAGGAGCAGACAACTCACCCATTGCGTCCTGGTCAAGCCTCACACAAATGTGGTAGCCACAGGTACTGCTACTCACCAGACGGTCTCCATGAAGGATGGATAAAGCGTCTTGTAGTCGTTCTTGAAGTCGATCCATCGGCCCAGGCGAATGACGGTCGTCTATCGGAGACAGACACGCCACAATCGAACAACACCGATGCAAGCGACAGTCCTCGCCTTCATCATGGCACAATTTGGTGAGCCGACAAGGTGTGCTGAAGAACGTGATAACCCGCGCTTGATTGACAATGTTAATACTGCTCAATTTCCCCAACATTGTATCCCGATGGTGCTGTCGACATCACGTCACGAGGCGAATAACCCACTCAGAGCTCTCGCACAGCAGTCCAAACCCCGCTGTGATAGAGGATGGCCCCACTGTAGTGGATATCACAGAGCTACCACTGAAATCCCTTCAAGTGATCTTTGGTCCACACGGTAGTAGGCAGTTTTTTCTCACCCACCGATGTTATTTAGAGTACTGTTCATAGCATTGCAGTCAGAGATGGAATTTAGGCAAATTAAGTGCAGAACCAAATTTTATGCATTGGGGTTTTTTGTGCAGTCATTGGTGACCAGGCCGAGACCATCAACTCCGGTGTGGTCGCTGTGGTCGCTGTGGCTGAAACCTGGATTTAAACCCAGGATCTCAGCGGTGACGACTCTACGTCTCAGACCCCTGACCCCACAGCCTCCTACTCCCCCTCCTCGCCGCGTCTATTTTTGTTCTGTGGCAGAGTTCGCAGAGACGAGCGCCACTCATATACGGGCGCCCGTCCGGATTTCGTCTGCCTCGTGGTATTTGCTGTGGCACCTCGTCTCACCGGCCATGGCACAAAAGCAAGCCGAGCACCGAATAATGGAGCGTGTGCAGTTTCGCCAACAACTCCTGCAACAACTCTGACTCTGGCCCCAACTCTGACTTTGGGCCCCACCCTGACTGCACAGCCCCAAGACTGACTCCGGCACAAACTCAAGCCCCTAAACCTGCTATAAATTTCCAAATAAAGCCACTTGGTTGAGCTATCATTTTTGGCCAGGTCGCTTCTGAAAAAATAACTAATAGCTCAGTGAGCTTTACCTGGTAAATAAAAAAAAAAGTTTAGTTTGAGTGTAATTATACTTTTTAGTGATTTGTTTACCTTTCCCATAATTTGCACTCCTATTGTGTTTATTATTCATTGTTGTAACTTTCTGACCCACCCCTGCTGGATATCTGTGAAAAAGAGCTTCATAGCTCATCGGATTTCTCCAGGATCAAAAAAAGATTCGGAAAAACAAAAGCACACAGAGAGGGTAAAAAATACGGCGCTTACATTGTTGACATTTGAGGGAGAAGAGGTGAAGAATTTTTGAGTTGGTGGCTTGGGCGGAGGAGGAAGTGAGTGACTGATTACTTTCATTGTTGCATCACGTCCACATCACCTTGAACGCATTTGACCTTGCTGGACCTCGTAAGCTAAGCAAGTCTTAGCCTGGTTCAGTACTTGCATGAGAGACGGCAGCTTTGGTAGAACAGGGTTAGGGTTTGGCGACAATGATGATGATGGTGGTGATGATGATCATGATATCACTGCGTGGGTTTTCACGTGTTTCCGGGTCATAATGCCGCGTTCGGCACCATGTCCGACATTTTGTTCCACATGCTGCCAACTTCTTCTGGAACTCCCAGCACATGTGGCGTAACGTCAGACATTGTACCGAACCACACATGGTGCGACCTGTAAACACATCGGAGCACTATGCTGATGGCGCTGATTATGATTACGACTACGATGATGATGACGATGACGGTTGACCATGATAATGATGATCAGTGGTTCAGATGTTTGAGCCTTTGAGAATGTTGCCCTCCAATGTTAGCACCATGAGAGTGAAATGTATTCTCATGGCGTAAAATACAACACCTGACACATGTTTATCCAGGAAAGCCTCAGTGAGTCTCAAGACTTTTTCAGGAGGGTCCTGCCAAGTTTCGCAATAAGAGGTGAGGTTATTGCTATGTGATCCCAATCGACTAATATTCAGGTAATTTTTCAGTGTTGCGATGTTTTAGTCAACATCGTTTACATTGTGACTGTGTTTAGCTATGTGAAGCACCAGGGAACCTGGAAGAAACCCATGCAGAACAGGGGAAGAACATACATACTCCACACATTAGGCACCCGAGTCCAGAATTAAACCCAGGGACTTCTTGCTGTGAGGCGTGTCACCACTGCGATGCCACCCCGCTAACCTGATGAAGACAAATCTTTTGTCAGCACAGATGGCATCAATGTTGGATTTTGGCTCTCGCCTGCCGACAAGCGGTGCGCCCTTTGACCCGAAAATTCGTCGGCAGGTGCAAGAGGCCCTACCTCCCACTCCTTGGCGTATCGCATTACGATGTTCCGGCACTGATTGTTGTACTCCACGATTCCCATCTTGGCCACGTCCTCGGGGCCCTTGATGTTCAGCATCTTGTCGATCTCATACTCCTGCAGGGAGGAGACACACCAGCGGAGAGACAGCAGGAGAGAGACACCATCGTTAAGTGACGGTCGCAAAACCATCTCATCACCCGTGACCCTCGGGTAGAAATCCACGCCTCCCGCCACATGCTTCCCACCATCGCCAGCTGAGTCAGCTACAAGATCTCCTGCCTTCACTGCCTCAACTCCCTCCTCGACTGGCTTCCCACCGTCGAGTCGGCACAAGGTAGGCAAAGTGAATTCACAACGGAGGTCGTGACGTGACCATCGTGCCTCCGAGAGTAGCGTAAACTCACGACGGGCAAGCCATGGCAGTCCCAGCCGAAGCGGCGATCCACGTGGAAGCCGCTCTGGTGTGCAAAGCGCGTCACCACGTCCTTGATGGTGCCCGCCAGGATGTGGCCGTAGTGCGGCAGGCCGGTGGCGAAGGGTGGACCATCGTAGAACGTGTACCTGCATGCGGCACGCACGCGAAGGGACACCTTTCGAGTGCGACGGTGCCGGTGGGTCATCGACCGTGCGGCGGCACGAGCTGACAATCCAAGTATGGTTGTCACGCGATAATCTTTCACGATGCGATGTAAATAGTCACAATGCGACGATTATAATCGTGATATCAGTTTTCCAGTAACCTTGCAACTGAATTCGCCCCCTATGCCCCCTTGCAGGCCGGTGCCTCATTCACCTTTTGTCGCATAGGGTCAGCTGCCGTCGGGGGATTCCCTAGGGCAGGATACGAGGCTAGACTACACTACGGCAGTGGAATAGTGGAGACTAGCAGGAAGTACCCGGCTTTGCTCGGGGGAAAAATATATTTCAAAACTTGTCTTTTCTTAGAAAACATAACATATACGTACACAAATACTAAGCTATTGTGAAAGGCCGACGTTCCGTTTGTCTGTCCATTTGTCCGTCAACAAAAATAATAAAGAGCCTTTCAGAAGTCCTGAATCAAAAAGTTAAAGTGGGGGGTAAATAGTTTATCTAAAAGATTTCCAAAAATTGTTGCCTCCCCCCTCCAAAAATATCTTTACCCCCCCCCACACTTTTTATTTTGTCAGCATATATACCTACACCCTACATACAATAAAGTCGGTAGTACTTAGTGACTCTATAGTAGTATCTACTGACTCTATAGTAGTATCTATTGACTATAGTAGTATCTACTGACTCTATAGTGGTATCTACTGACTCTATAGTGGTATCTACTGACTCTATAGTAGTATCTACTGACTCCACAGTAGTATCTAGTGACTATAGTAGTATCTACTGACTCTATAGTGGTATCTACTGACTCTATAGTAGTATCTACTGACTCTATAGTAGTATCTATTGAGTCTGCAGTAGTATCTAGTGACTATAGTAGTATCTACTGACTCTATAGTGGTATCTACTGACTCTACAATAGTATCTAGTGACTATAGTAGTATCTACTGACTCTATAGTGGTATCTACTGACTCTATAGTAGTATCTACTGACTCCACAGTAGTATCTAGTGACTATAGTAGTATCTACTGACTCTATAGTGGTATCTACTGACTCTATAGTAGTATCTACTGACTCTATAGTAGTATCTATTGAGTCTGCAGTAGTATCTATTGACTATAGTAGTATCTACTGACTCTATAGTGGTATCTACTGACTATAGTAGTAACTGCACACATAGGGGTGGAGGTGGGGAGAAGAGGACATGACAATGTTCTTGATTTTTTTCTTTTTGGTATTTTAAACGCGAAGGAGAACCTCCCTCCCATCGCCGCTCATCAAGCTTCTTTGCGATGCTAGGGGCAACAGCAAGTCGGCATTTCCGCGCATGCTGTGGCGTGCCGCGATCAGCATACACTGTTACAAAGTGTGAATTTATTAGTTTACATTGGACCAAGGGCAAAAACAAAAAGCGCGTTTTCTTCTGGGGGCTTAGTTTGTTGTATCTGTGTACTCTTCATAATAAAGGTTTTTGGGTTAGATCGCGTTTATTTATAAATGTGTCGCAACCCTCCACCACCCGACACGGCCAATCAGCAAAAAAAGTGTCACGTTGACAAAAGACAAATAATTCACTACTTCAGCCCACCGGTGTGTTGAAGAGTTAATCCACATTTACAGTTTGAGTACGACGTTTCGCTGGTAAATACTTCCAGCATCATCGGGCAATTCGCCAGAATGGTAAAGCCCTAACCCAAAAACCTTTATTATGAATAATATTGGTCGCGAAAGCCTACGTGTTAAATCTGTGTACTCTGTTAAAACGTAAACCCAACAGTTTGTCAGTTAAAAGCGTTACAAGGATAGACATAAGAAGAGTGAGACAGACAGACAAAAAAAGGTAAGATGAGATGTGTGATGTACGGTGCCCTATACTCCCAAAACATTATCTTAGCGAGAAGGGTTGGTGGATCGCAAATGTGCCACGACGCATCAGTTAGTCGATTACAATCAAGTCTTACGCCGATGACAAACACACGTTGCAGCACGTCCACACCTGAGCCATCAGTTCCGTGCAACTCGGTTGCATGAAACTAAATCTCTTACAAGCGAATGTCTCTGCAACTGATTGCTGCTCGTGGTAGAGACAGACTCTGCTCTCAAGCGTCATGCTGCACGTCCACGAGCTATGACTGATCGTTTGGAATGACCACGAATCGTTTGTTATTTAACTTTCCTTTATTATGCAACTACTGGCTCAGATGTAGACAAAGTAGTTGCAGGCGATTTGCTGGCACGACTACTCGCCGACTGTCGATCAGCGTATGCGCGGTGAGAATGTGGCTCGCACTGCGGGCGTGACTTGGACTGCTTGAGGCTCTCCTGGAACGCATCCAGCTCCGTCCACAGCGCAAGTATTCGCTCCTCCTCCTCCGCGAAGTTGATCTTCTCGGGCACCGGCTGCACCATCTGTTCTTGAACGAAGCCGGGGTGGGGGGCACGGGGGGGGGGGGGGGGTGGGATGTCAGGGTGCAATCGTACGTTAGCGTGATGCAGGAGACAGAACAGCGGCCAAAGGCGCGAACGTGGCAGGGAGGATGTTCCAAAGGTGACGACCACAACATAGATGGAGCAAAGGGGGTTAAGGTCGATCTAAAAGCACGTGTGGTGATCCAACCTTAAAGAATTTGTCTCGGTTACAGCCCGTTTTGCTTCTTAGAACTGGCGAGATTGGGTGAATTCTAGGTGACTTGGGTTATAGTTTGATGGAATGAGGGTGCGATGGTTATGTTTAACTAAGAACAGAAAGAGGTTAATTCGGTGCAGAGGCTGTGCTTCTCTCATGTTTCTTTCGTATGTGTAGAGGTGGCCAGCAATGTTCCTGTGATTGTGTCGAGGTTGGGGACAGAGACCCATAAACTGATGTAAAGACCCACACACACACGGAAAAAGATCCCCCATATAGCCTTTTTCAGGCTGTAGGAAGTGCTGTTCGTGAGCACCTATGAAGGCCGACACAGCACAAGAGGGGGACGGTGGCCAGCACCACACCCATCCGGCTTTGTCTCCCTAGTTGCGATATTTACATAACACACCAGGTACTCATTTGAGGCTCAGGTCGGGTAACGAACCCGGGTCTCCCAAGTTCGTAGTGCAGAGTGCCAGCCGCCGAACTACTGCTCCCCATTGACACAGAGAACGATATACATACATACACACACATATATCCAAATATCGTATACAGACCCATAAACTCACACAGAGACCCATAAACTCACACAGAGACTCATAGATTCAGATAGAGAACCATTGCCTCACAGGGATAAAGACTCACATAAAGACCCAAAACCTTGCAGAGACCCATAGACTTGACATAGACACCCACAAATCACACAGAGACCTAAAGACCCTAAGTGTAATTCAGTGTGCGCATAATCACCGACCCAGTATGGTCGGGTCAACAAGTTGCAACAGCAAACAGTACAAAAAAACGATTGGAGTGCAAAATCGAGAAAATGGTAAGCAAGTCACTAAATAAAAATAAAATAATTTTATAAATCCTATTTATCAATATTGGGTAAGGCAGCAAAACAAGAACAAAACAGTCCCAGGCCACACCAAGATCGCACGCAGTCCCTCAATAAAATAGCACATTAAAATTGAACTATTGGTACACAGGTAATTATATAGACCCGTCGACTCACAGAGGCCCATAGGCGCATGTTGGGAGCGGGCAAGCGGTGTTACCGTGCTGTCCCATGCTCCAGACTGGTGAGCGCAGTGCCAATGTTGGGACTGCTCGTTCGTGGTGTGATGCTAATTGTCGGTCAGTGTTTTGTTGCAACGCGATTTGATACAGGTGTAGGGGGTGTCCGAGCCATCCTCACACACTCGCACCACACAGACACTGAAATCTCCGCTCTCACCATAGCACACACCAATCACACACACGGGAATAAATTAGGCGGGGGTCAGGGGCCGTCCATAAATGACGTCACGCACCTGGGGGGGGGGGTGAGACATTTGTGACGATGTGTGACGAGGGGGCGGGGGGTTTGAGAAATGTGACGTCACATCAATATGCGCAACTTTAAATAAATATAGACAACACGTTCTACTTAATTAAATAGACTTTTTAATAAATGTTTTCGCCTACATCAGAGTGCAGCGCCACATTAAATACGCACTACAATGACAATAGTTTAAAGCGATTTGAAGCATGTTTTATTTTCAAAATGGAAATATGGTTTGGGGGGGGCGGGCAGAGCTTTGTGACGTCATATTTGAGGGGGGGGTCTGACTTTTTGTGACGCCGTGTGACGAGGGGGGGGGGGTCAAAAATCGTCCAAAATCGCGTGACGTCATTTATGGACGGCCCCTCAAGAGTTTAGGGGCACTGACGTCACACAGACTTGGCGCGCGAGACAGAGAAGTGGATTGGGAAGGAGGGCGCAGATTGCGGGTTTAAAAGGGGATGTTAAACGCGTATTCGGGGTTGGTTTGAGGAGCGAGTGTGGTTGTAGTTTGAAGAATAAATTAGCGCTTAGTCTCAGACTCCTCTTTACAGGCACAGTAGCGCTGACGATGAAGAGCCTAAGGCGTTATTACCCCCTGCATTCCAAACCCATAATCAGCTACTGCCTATTAAACTCTACTGGGTTGATAAAGTTAATACCGCTCTGTGCCAAACTTAAGTTTGGAGTTGGAGACACCAACTGTTTAACATGAAAGCTTTGCTCATCATCATCATCGGCCACGGTCTATCCACTATACCTGTCAACCCATACGGTTTACCCCGTATGCTTGTGTAGTGGACTCAAACGGAGACTCCTCAGGCGTACTCTTGGAGGCAACACATTTATTAATCTAGATTTGAGGTTTTATTAACACGAACACGTTAACACGAAGGAGTAACTGCCCCTTCACCAGACAGTGCGCTGTGGCGGTGGACCACCAGGCTATCTACACTAATCACAACGGACCGGACCCCAACTCGGGTCCGGGTCGTCCTTGTCGTTGAGACTTTGTAGAACGTGGAACGTGGATGTGAAGTCTTCGGGATGAACAACAACCGCCGGTCCCACTGGAGCCCGGCTTGGGCTCGCTCCGCCCCTAGCTACGACCACCTTCTCGAATCCTCGAGAAGGATCTCCAACTGGGCACGTAAGGGGCCGTCCATAAATTACATCACGCGATTTTGGACGATTTTTGACTCCCCCCCCCCCACCTTCGTCACACGACGTCACAAAAAGTCAGACCCCCCCCTCAAATATGACGTCACAAAGCTCTGCCCCCCCCCCCCCATAAAAATAAAACATGCTTAAAATCGCTTGAAACTATTGTCGTTGTGGTGCGTATTGAATAATGTGGCGCTGCACTCTGATGTTGTAGGAGAAAACAATTATGAAAAAGTCTATTTAATTAAGTAAAACGTGTTGTCTACATTTATTTAAAGTTGCGCATTTTGACGTGACGTCACAATTCTCAAACCCCCCCCCCCTCGTCACACATCGTCACAAATATCTGACCCCCCCCACCCCACCCCCCTAGGTGCCTGACGTCATTTATGGACGGCCCCTGATCACCCCAGCCCCCCTTTGGGGGTCCCCGGGTAGATACCTCGGGTCACGTGTCCCTCGGGTTCAACCAGAGTGCCATGGGCCCCCTCTTGTAACCCCGTACCGTGCCGGCACTCTCGCCCTCTATCCTGTAAGGGCTGGCACTGCACGCAGAGCGTGGTGCCACGTCCATCGCTGTCCACCAGCGCTCACCAAGCCCCGCTAGGACCGTGACTGCATCCACACTGGGCGGTGTCTGCCTTGTCGATACATCGCCAGCCGGCGTCCACACAGTGACAGCCAACGATGATGTCACGACACTTGCACAGGGAAATTATTTTTTTACCTACGTGGCTTTACCGAAGAGAACCAAAGAGTATGGATCCTTGCAGTCACGAAAGCTTCAAATCTAGAAGGGAAATTGAGTTTTCAGGTCCATACCACGTACAGCCGTTTCAATACGGGCAAAAAAAATGTTTTTTGCCTATTTGTTTGTGTTTCTCCCTTGTAATGGGGACTTTGTAGGACGAACGTTGAAATTGATAAGGGGCACGGGGGTGACCAGTAAGGTCTGAATTGGTCTCTCACCAGCTAGGCGCTGATAAGGGGTTGACAGGTGTGTGATTGACACTTGCTCATCGTGATCGGCCATGGTCCATCCACTGCCGGACGACGCGACAACTTGTGCCAATCATCTTCGCCGGGGTGGGATACACGTTTCCCCCCCCCCACCTCCCCCCTCACTCCCAACAAATTCAATGGCAAAAGACGGCGATTAAAGTCACGAACCCTTTCGACCCCGACGCGACCCACGCTCATCCAGCCGCCGTATCCACTGCTGGATGACGACGCTCCGACTCACCTCCGCCGGGCGTCCTGAAAGCGAGTTAGGGGCCGTCCATAAATGACGTCACGCGATTGTGGACGATTTTAGACCCCCACCCACCCCATTTCGTCACACGGCGTCACAAAGAGTCAGACCCACCCTCATATGACGTCACCAAGCTCTGCCCCCTCCCCCCAAAACCATATTTCCATTTTTTATATATATAAAACATGCTTCAAATCGCTTTAAACTATTGTCATTGTAGTGCGTATTTAATCTGGCGCTGCACTCCGCTGTTGTAGGAGTGTTGTTATAACAATTCTATATTTATTTAAAGTTGCGTATTTTGATGTCACACATCGTCACAAATGTCTGACCCCCCACCCCCCCCCCCCAAGTGCGTGACGTCATTTATGGACGGCCCCTTAAGCACCCGCTCACTCCCTGGCGAAGTCACCGGCGGCACGAGCGACGCGTAAACACGGGGCCCCACCGCCACCCATCATCACTGCGGCCCGGGTGGCCGCTAAAGCGAGCACGGTTAACCGGTACCCTACGTCAGACAGTTGTCAAATTGAATGGATGGGTGATGGGGGGGGAGCGGTTCGTATGGGGGCCCCGTCCATAGCACCGTGGAATTATCTCATCGTTAACCAATCGAACAATTCACCTCGAGTCTTCCGCAGTCTCCGACTTGCTCTGCTCAAGCACGGAACGTCGCCGCTCCTCCGATGGGTCGAGACGAAGTTCTTGCCAAGGTCCCCTCGAGAGTCTCCACAACGCCGCTGATGAAACCACGAGGAAGCGGATCGATTCCCCTCGACTTACCGCAGCTCGCGATTCGCGCGTTGAAACGCATACGGGTAGGAATCGATTATCACCGATTGACTTTGAGTTCTGCATGCGCAACAGTTTATGAGGAATCGAGTTCCGATTCTAGCGCTTGTTGGAATCTACAACGCGGCGATTAATTTAAATGTTGGGGGGAGGGGGGGTGCGGCTTGAAGTCAGTTTTTTTATTTTTTAACACGGATAAGTAAAGCTCTCCTCGCCGCTCATTGGCTTGTTGTGCCCACGTGATCTGTACTAAATGTATCACCAATCAGGCGGCGCGCGCCTGCTTATACGTTGTATTTATTCCAATCAGAAGGCGTCACGACCACGTGTGCATACGTTGAGCGAATCTATTAAGCTGGAGAGTTTAAACAAAAATACCTTAAAACATTTATAGTTGTATATTGTATTTTATTGACGTTTATTTCGTCATGTTGTTAAGTGTAAACGTCAATTTGGGAGATTGTATATGTTGTGGCTTTGCTCTACAACACACCGGGCGTGCTGTATAACCAATTGGCACGTTCTGTTTACGCGACAAAAGTCACACAATTGTTTTATATTTGTATTATTTTATCGTTTCCCTTCTACGTGACTTTACCGAAAGAACCAAGAATAAATCACACAATCTCACGAATTATTAGGCCGCCTCGAGTGGTGGCGGGTTTAACGACATTTAATATATTTACGCGATCTAAGCGAAAACAACATGTATATTGGTCGCGAAAGCCTACGTGTTAATTTTGGGAGAAGTTAGGCTTTTAAAATATGGGGCCGTCCATAAATGACGTCACGCGATTTAGGTCGATTTTTTACACCCCCCCCCCTCGTCACACGGCGTCACAAAAAGTCAGACCCCCTCAAATATGACGTCACAAAGCTCTGCCCCCCCCCCAAATCATATTTCCATTTTGAAAATAAAACTTGCTTCAAATCATTTTAAACTATTGTCATTGTAGTGCGTGTTTAATGTGGCGCTGCACTCTGATGTTGTAGGAGAAAACATTAAAAAGGAGGTGTTGGAAAGTTGAAATTTAGCATAAAATTAACTTGAAAATATTCAACGTCTAACTAAAACTGCAGAAGTTCAGAATATTATCTTGAAATTCTCTTATAATTATAAAATATTAAAAGTAATTATAACTATAAAAATATACTTGAAACTTTGTAGAATAACGAAGCAAAATGGAGAGTACAATTATAACAATCACATTCCTTCCACAGAATGAAAAGCCCTGGTAGAATCATTTTAAATAAAAATATTTAATAATTATTCCAAAAAAATACAAAATGTATGCTTCTTCATTCTCCCATGGATAATCAAAATGCTCCTTCATGGAATAAATCAAAGGTGACCTTAGTAAATTTAAATAATAAAATAGATAATAATGAAAATCAAAATTACTATTGTGAAAACAATTGTATTGTTTTTATTTATTTAAAGTTGCGCATTTTGATGTGACGTCACTTTTCTCAAACCCCCCCTCCCCCCCTCGTCACACATCGTCACAAATGTCTGACCTCTCCCCCCCCCCTCCAGATGTGTGACGTAATTTATGGACGGCCCATTATCTAACCAAAAACAACCTGTACTATGTATATTGGTCGCGAAAGCCTACGTGTTAATTTTGGGAGAAGTTAGGCTTTTTAAATATTCGGTCTGCTCATATTCGTCATGTATCGTTAGTATGGCCAATATTTAATCCATGTGGACAATACCAACTTGCAGCAGTTGCAGCAACAGTGCCATTGTTCAGTTTCGAGGCCCTTGTGCATTTTGTTTTAACTGAACAAGAACTCGAAAGAGTGACCTAAGCTCACAAAAGTAAATAATTGAGCGTCACCGCGGTGGTGTCTATGCACGTGGCCTGTAATTATAATCTAGCACTGGAGGCAGTAAGGGTTGGCGGATCGCACAAACGTTTGTGAGACTCTCTATCCGTGGGCGTCAAGGAGGAGCCGTACCCTGGATTTACCCGGGAAATGCAGGTAAAGAAAAGTGTGGGATAATCTCCATCAGTTTAATACGTAGCTTTCACGACCAATATCCATAATACAGGTTTTTTTTGGGTTAGATCGCGTAAATGTGTCGTTAAACCCGCCACCACCCGACACAGCCAATTAGTAAGGTTTGTCACGTAAACAGAACATCCCCATTCGTTACTAGTGTAGTGTACTAATTCACAGACACTATTAGGAGGTAAACTAGATTCGAAGCTTTCGTGACTGCAGGAATTACTCTTTGGTTCTTTCTGTAAAGACCCAACGTAGTAGGAGGTACTCTCTCTTTTATTCCGGCCTTCACAGCCTTAGGGGATAACTAGATACCGGGTCGGGACAGCCAACATGCTGCCAGACCCACAGCTTAAAGATCACGACGACGATGGCACGACGAGTTCCATTCCAGATCGCAGGAGCCCCGACTGTGAGTCGGAGCTCGCATTTTATCCTGCCCAGCGTGGCCAAGCTCCGCCCTCGGCCCCGCGCCTCTCTGGATCCCCCAGAGGGCTATGTGCCTTGTCCACAGGTGCAACTGGTAGAACAAACTGTTACCCCTAATTCCATTGTCTAACAATCCCCTAGCGGTACGCGCTACAGTGACTCATTCAATGTCACTACACATGTGTAACTGAGTCGCAGACGTTGTCGTGGGAGCAACACGTTTTATTAAACTCTTAGCACAACATACTTCAGGCTATTAACACAACAAACTCTCGGGTGGTAACCACCAAACTAACCACGCTACGGTGGAACTAGACACGGTTCCACTATCCCGGTCCGGACCACAAGCTGGGTTCCGGACCGCGTGGCTGTTGGCTTCTTCAAGCTTGACCTGGATCTCCTGCCTCTCCAACAGTAAGAAGCCCGAGCCCCTCACAGGGCCCCCATTATATTGGGCTGGGCTGAGGCTGGCTCCGCCTCTTGCCCCGCCCACCTTCTCGATCTCTCTCGCCCTTGCCTGGAGGCTCTTGAGAGTTCTTCTCAGACCATATGACCACCCATTGGCCCCCTCCACCGGTAGTCCCCCTCCAGTATCATCCGATCACGTGTCCCCAGGTCAGCCAGAGTATCATGCCCCCAACGTAACCCCAGCTGGTTGACACTCTCGCTCTGTCAACGGGAGCCCGCACTGCACGCTGTGCGTGGCCAACGCGCTTAACCAACGCTCACCCAAGCCCCCACTAGGGCTGGTACTACACCCCGTGTCCGGGGTGTACACACAACAGTATACATCTCGCCGTGGCCTCGCAAGCCCGGCACCACTCAGTGGCATCCCCAGTCACTACACATGTATATGAACACTCATGAACTGGCCGAGAACACCTTAATATACAGAGGACCACAGAGCTTGGATACCGACTAACCGCGTGGCCACTGCTGCCTCCCTCCCCCCTTGTTTGTCTGTGGTTCCTCCTCGCGCCTTTGAGTCGATATCTCCACGAGAATGAACAAATACTTCAGGTACGTTACAAGTTGAACTTTTACGTCAAATTATTCAGCAGACAATTTTCTACATATATCTACCCCTCCAAATTGCTTATCGTTTCCTTTTGACGGAGTATCGATCTCTCGTCACACGTACGTTCAACCTCCATGCAGATTCAAAATAAACATGAGTTTTCAAGACCACTTTCCAAACTCGTGACCACGGCTGCTCAATTCGCTTTCAGTTGCGCTTGTTTTTTTTTATCCGGAGAGAACCCCACACTCGTGCGAGGAGACAACACGCAGAGCTCCGGGCATTACACACATTATATTATCAACCACTTCGTTAAGATGGGATAATGCGCGTGAAATTCTTTTAGAAAAAAAAAGTGGTTATCATGTCTAATTATTCACTCTATGGGCTATGGAGAAGGTCCATTGCCCAAAACGTTGTCTGTTATACTCGACAGTACTATCGATTGTTTAGCGTTTAAGATCCAGAAGAACGCTGGCGAACAGAGTGGAACAACGCGGACGTCCAGAATAATCACCTAATTCGAAACTCAAGCAACACGCACCTCCTGGCTTTGACATTCTTCTTCCTCGAAGACACTGGTGATGGACCATCAACAGCAGGCCGATGCACACATCGCTTACATAAATAGAAACATTTCAAGACAAGCCACAGTAGTGCGATTGTGGCCGTGCAACCCAAACTGTGGACCAAATATCAAAACCCACTCCCTATTTTTCAACCATGCACGTGGTTGTAATGTGCACCGATGCCTACTTTATTGAGGGTGATATCGGCACATAAAATAAACATTGATTGATGGTGGTACACACCCCGCACACACACACCACAGTGCTGCTGGCTGCTGCCATTCTACGCGAGAATAGAACAGTCGATGTGTAGTGTTAGTCCGTGGGTAATGTTCGTCTTTGGGTAGTCTTAGTCGATGGCTTGTAAAGTTAACCAACTGCGGTCTGCGCTTCTTCAACGGGAGATGAACGGCAGAAACTCCACGACCTCTTTTTCTCTCTCCTGAAGCCTTCGTCTCGTCGTGCCCAGCAGCAGCAGACCTCGACACTGGCATCCAACTCCTCAAGGACATACTCTATGGTCCTTTCGGTAAGTCACGTAGGAAGAAATAAAACAATCAAATCGATATTGAATCCTCACAAGGACGTATTGCTGCCATCACGCTCGAGAGGACAGCGTGGTCCAGATGTCTTGTGACCCCCAAATTCGTTTACCCCTAACATTACGTTTTAGAGAATTAAATGGGGGGGGGGGGGGGGGTCACAGGACATCTGGATCACCCTGTAGCTGGGGATGGGTAAGTGCTGCCCTCTACTGCGCAGACGCCAGCGGTGCCCGGGAAAACGATCCCATTCGCGTCGACTGCCCAGCATCCTAAGCGCGGGGTCGTTCGAAGTCCCCGAGACGAGTTGCGCTCAAATTCTACAAACGTTCGAAGCTGAACATTGTCAAGTAAAGATGAAATTAGAAGCAAAGCGAATCCCTTCGGCCTATTCACACGTATTTATTGAGCGTACACACCAAGGGGCGGAGCCAGGGGGGGTGACAGGGGTGACATTCTGCGTAAGTGTACGACACTGGGTCTGGCAGACTCCAGGCAAATGCATTGGCAGAGTGTGTCGCCAAACCGATGGCGCCTAGTTCAACAAGCCTGACTCCCTAATCATTCTTGAAATTAACATTTGTTGAATGTCACCCCGGCCTGAAATCCTGGCTCCGCCCCTGGTACACGCACTGCACCGATTAGCACGGTTGGCTACGTACGGTGCGAAAGAAGTTTAACATACAAATGCGAAGTACACCAAAAACATTGTTATCCTTAAACATCTCCCATGTACCGATGAAGTGGGGAGCAGGCCTTCATAATCCAGCAGTGGATTTATCACGGTTAAATGATATAATCAATGCCATCACTGTTCACGAATGGCTGTTGCGATGGGACAGATTGATCCATATCGGGTAATGAGTTATGGCCATGACGCCCCCGCATAGACAGGCGATAAATTACAGTATAACAATAATTATCAACATATTCGACAACAAATACTGTGTTGCCTTAAAAGGCAAAGTATATAACAAGCGACGTTTCGGGCAATGGCCCTTCATCACAGTGCACAGAGAGGCCAAGAAGATAGAGGACAATTGCCCGAAATGTCGCATATTCCTTTTAAGGCTACTTACACACATTGCCGGATTGAGCTAGTGCAGGGCCTGTAGGATATGTTGTAAAGGGGCCCTAAATAAAATAAAAACATAAATATAAAAAAAACATTTTTTACTTGCATAGTAAAGTAATTGTATTTTTTCATTTTCTATACGGCCGGATAATACGACAAATCGCTAACCTTAAACACGCATTCGTTCGTAAGAAGTTGAAGGCAGTATAATACGAAAGTAATAGAGCGAGTGCAGAATGACTGAACCGGAATTGATAGCTTGAAAGCATTGTCCTGAAATCTGGACTTAAAGCTTTCGTGACTGCAGGAGTTCATATTCTTTGGGTCTTTCGGTAAAGTCACATAGAACACATTTTTTAACATTTTTTTACCGAAAGACCCAAAGAATATAGCATTGTCCATGGTAGTGCATTGTCCATGATAGTGCGTTGTTTTTGTGCTGTTCGCCTTTTGGCGTCCTCTGGTCTAACACTGTTGGAGACGAGGCTCTAAAGAAAGCTGTCTCTGGTGCGGACCAATCAGTTTCAAAGACAATGCACATACAGTCAGAACATACTCTTTGGTTCTTTCGGTAAAGTCACGTAGGTATAAAAGAAAATAAATCACGATGTTTCGGTCGCAACACAAGCGTCCGTCATCAGTTTCAAGTTTTTCATTTATTAAAAGTTTCATTTATTAGGTATAGCCCTTTGAGCCATGCGGCTCTTAAGTCTGGTGCAACCGCAACAAACTAAATTTGAACATAAAACATCCCAAAGCGACGACGCGCAACAGAATCATCCTTGAATAAACCAGCAAATATTCCACACAAAAAAAACGTATTAAAACGCTGTGTGCAAAAATCACAATGTGGTGCAAGCCAACAACAACAACCATAAGACAATTTAGATTAACCATATTTTCGAATCACCAAAATAAAGCTATAAAAACAATGTAACAACAGTAATCATAGTAACTGTGATTTTAAATTTAACAATAAACGATATACATAACACGTACGACAAAACCTACAGCCATAGTTGGCAGCACGACACTCCAAGTGTATGTGTGAGTGAGTCAGCAGCAGCGTGAGTGTATGATGTGCGAGTCAGCGTATGATGAGTCAGTAGTAGCTTGAGTGAGTGTATGATGTGTGAGTCAGCGTATGATGAGTGAGTCAGTGTATGATGAGTCAGTGTATGATGTGTGAGTCAGCGGCAGTGTGAGTGTATGATGTGTGAGTCAGCGCACGATGTGTTAGTCAGCGCATGATGAATGAGTCAGTGTATGATGTGTGAGCGAGTCAGCGGCAGTGTGAGTGAGTGTATGATGTATGAGTCAGCGCACGATGAGTGAGTCAGCGGCAGTGTTAGTGAGTATATGATGTGTGAGTCAGCGCATGATGAGTGAGTCAGTGTATGATGTGTGAGCGAGTCAGCGGCAGTGAGTCAGTGTATGATGTGCGAGTCAGCCAGCACACGATGAGTGAACCTGTGTATGATGAGTGAATGGGTCAGTGGTTGTGCGAGTGTATGATGTGTGAGTAAGTAAGCGCATGATGAGCGAGTGAGTCAGTGTATGATGTGCGAGAAAGTCAGTGTCGGCTCCCTCTGCTCGCGCTGTCGGTCCCCCCCCAGCTCCGTCGCCCCCCCCTGGTTCGTCGCCCCCCCCCCAGCTCCGTCGCCCCCCCCCCCGGCTCCGTTGCCACCCCAGCTCCATCGCCCCCCCCCGGCTCTGTCGCCCCCCCCCAGCTCCGTCTGCCCCCCCCCTGGCTCCGTCGCCCCCCCCCAGCTCCGTCGGCCCACCCCCGGCTCTGTCGGCCCCCCACCCAGCTCCGTCGCCCCCCCCAGCTCTGTCGGTCCCCCCTCTGGCTCCGTCGGCCCCCCCCGACTCCGTCGACCCCCCCCCGGCTCTGTCGGCCCCCCCTCCGGCCCCGTCGACCCGCCTCCTTCGCCCCCCCCCGGCTCCGTCGCCCGCCCCCCCCAGGCTCCGTCGGCCCCCCCTCCGGCCCCGTCGACCCGTCTCCGTCGCCCCCCCCCCGGCTCCGTCGCCCCCCCCCCCCCCCCGGCTCCGTCGGCTCCCCCGGCTCCGTCGGCCCCCTCGGCTCCATCGGCTCCCTCCGTCGGCTCCCTTGGCCCCCTCGCAAACGGCCCCACCAGCCGCTACTGGGAGCGCGGCCCCGGAGCGCCCCGGGAGCGCGTGCGTCTCAGGCGGCCATCTTGCTAAGCGTGTGAGATGGAACACCACGACCAACATTCAATCCGTGTGACTTGGAATCGAACTCTTGAAACGATCTAGAAAGTTGCCCCTCGTGTGCGTCTTAAAATTACAACTTTTTTGCCCCCCCCCCCCCGGCCCCCTCACAAACGGCCCTGCCAGCCGCTGCTGTGATCGCACCCCGGGAGCGCCTCAGGCGGCCATCAGGTGAGAGAGCATGATCTGCTGCTGAGGCAGACTGTTTTAAAAGGTTTAAAATGGGTGTAGCCCAAGGGTCATAAAGAAGTGGGCGGGGCTAGTTATGTTAATGTGATCAATTAACATGTTAGTGGCAGAAACCGAGAGCGGCCTCCTCGACGAGGGCACGGAAGTGGCTATGTTAATGTGAGAGATTAGCATGATGTTAATGTGAGAGATTAGCATGATGTTAATGTGAGAGATTAGCATGTTGTTAACGTGAGAGATTAGCATGATGTTAATGTGAGAGATTAGCATGATGTTAATGTGAGAGATTAGCATGATGTTAATGTGAGAGATTAGCATGATGTTAATGTGAGAGATTAGCATGTTGTTAATGTGAGAGATTAGCATGATGTTAATGTGAGAGATTAGCATGATGTTAATGTGAGAGATTAGCATGATGTTAATGTAAGAACGGAGGGCGGCCTCCACGAGGCAAGAGCGTCAACGCAAGGGAAACACCGCAACAGTGGCCATGCCAGAACATGTCTTTTTTTCGTTTGCATGTTCACCACAAGTATAAGTGGTTAATGCAAATATGTTCTTTGGTTCTTTCGGTAAAGTCACGTAGAATGAGAATAAAATAATAAATTGATAAAATAAAATAACACAATAATATTCTCACAATATTGTGAGAATATTATTGTGTTATTGTTATTTTATTTGATCAATTTATTATTTTATTCTCATTCTACGTGACTTTACTGAAAGAACCAAAGAAGATGAATCATTGCAGTCACGAAAGCTTTAAATCGAAATGCAAATATGATTCCTTGCAAAGGTTTCAGTTTGGTGTTTTAACATCTGAACACCTGTTTTATTGCCCGAAGGGGGAAAACGCTATTAACATAATGTAATACTGGCAAAGGAGGTCTCATGATGCTTGAAGCATTTAGCGCGGGGGCCTCGTAAGTGCGGGGTGCGTAGCTACATAATGTAGCTCCTTATTCTTTGGGTCTTTCAGGTAAAGTCACGTAGATAGAAGAAATAAGAATAATAAAATAATACAAAGGAAAATAAAGTGAATAAAAAAATGTAGCTGCTTGTGCTACACACACACACAGCAGCCACGACGACGGTTGGCTAAATTATCGTTTGAATAAATTATATCGACGGTACCGCAACCCACCCACGTGCCGTTGCATGTTGTGTGCGCATATATTATGTTAATGAACCGATGTGGGGTGGGGGTAGGGGGTGGGGTAGGGGGTGGGGGAGACTCATTTTATTTGATCCCAGCTCCCATGGTAAACATGTGGCCGTGAAAAAAAGACGAGCGTAGTTGACCCCCCCTACCACTCCTCTCTCTCCACCACCCTCGCTGCTGCCGAACCATTTCGCTTTCTCCTCTTCTCTCCTCTTCTCCCACCGATTGACACCCCCGGCTCGTCTCGGCAGAAGCAGCAGCAGCAGCTGCAGACCCAGCTCATGGCCACCGTTCGAGGCCTGTGCAATGGCCTTGGGGACGTGGAGGAGGCGGACGACGGCGCTCCGTCGTGCCAGCTTGCGCAGGAGGCCCCGAGGTCCGCTCGCCCCGGCCTCAGCCCCGCCGCTCCTGTGCCGCCTCAACCTCCATCATCAACAGCAGCAACAACAACATCGGCGTCGTCTCCTCCTGCGCTGTCCACCATGGCGGAGTACCCCGAGGGTGGTGGTGGTGGTGGCGGCGGCGCGGCCTACGTGAACGGCGCGAGGCGGCGGTCAGTGGGCCACCACCCCTACCGCAACAGGGCCATGTCTGAGCCGGAGAGGTGAGCGGGAGAGATGTTTGGGGGGGAGTCCGAGAGGGTCTGGGGGTGTCTCGCTCAGCCATCGCCCGTGTAGTTGAAGCCCCCCCCCCTCCTCCTTTATAGCTGGACCCCTGTGGGTCGAGGGGTCTGGATGTCTACCCCTCCTCAACCACCCTTCTAGCTGTTACCCCTGTTGTATCTATGTTTAACTTCTTTCGCACCGTACGTAGCCAGCCGTGATAATCAGAGGTGCGGTGGAAAGTTAATAACACCCCCCCCCCTTTCTAGCCGGACCCCTTGCGGGTCTTGGGGTTCGTATGTCAGACAATGGACCCCCGTTTATTTCGGCGTAATGGATCTGCGTATGCAACCCTCTTTGATTTATGGGAACCCTGCGGCTGTAGGGGGTCTTGATGTTACCCCCCCCCCCCCCACGACTAATCCCCTTTGCAGCTGAGTCCGCGTGACCTTGCGGGGGTGGCGGCCAGGATCCGGGAGTCCACAAACAATGGGGGTTTGGGGGGGTTAATAGGGGATGTCTACCAACACGTGTTAGGCGTGGGTCTCTTGCCAAGGGGCGACGGGTGGTGGTGGGGGGGTGATTGTGCAATAACCCGTGGCCCAGCAGATAACCCCCTGTGCAGTAGTTTAGTTTGAATCACTACCCGAATTAATGCCATATCGTGTTTTTTTTCCCGGCCGGTTTGTTCCTTGAGAGGGGGTCTTTAGAGCTCTCTTCAGTGGGGGGGAGGATCTTCTGCCAGCAGTGGCGTGAGCAGGCACTTGCAGGCCTGCGCCTTTACCGCAGTCGTCTGTCCACGTGGCTCTCGGTAGGGATAAGACCACCTGTGGACCCCTAAAAAGGGGGAACTGTCTAACAATTGTTGTTACACGAAAGAGATCTCTCTATTCGTGTGACCCCTTGCGTGTTGGGCTTAGTTCGTTGCCCTGTCCCCGCACGGGTGGTGGCTACGTTCGGTGCGAAAGAAGTTCAGCATACAAACCGTCTCGCCAACACGCGTTCACCATTCACTCGCTGATTCATTCGTTCACGTGCCTTATTTCAAGCCAGGCGACAGCCCATTGACCTTAGCCGTCGCTTTCACGAGCTCCGTCGCTCCCAGGTGTTATGGCGCCAGCTCTTTGAGCAACATTTTGCGAATTGGCCATAACCGACCTCGTTTGCCGGTTTCAGCAGTGCCAGGGTTGCTGGGATTGGTTGTAAGCTTATGATTAAGGTTCAAGATGAGTGAATATTAGGATGACTTGTTATGTAAATGGATGTCGGGTGAGGCTTCGAATTCGTGCTCGTTAGGTTGTTACAGTTGTATGGTTTGGGCTAGGACTAGGTTTAGAGGTTAGGTTTAGAACTAGTATTAGGGTTATGTTTAGAGATACCGTTAGAGGGTTAGGTTTAGGGATTGGTAATTGGGGCGAGTGTTAGGTTTGGGGGTTAGAGGTGGGTTTTGTCCCGCTGAGCCAGTATAAAGGTTATAACTATGTCTAGTGGATACAATGGTAGTTAAGATTAAATATTTTTTTATTTTCTATCAACGTGACTTTACCGAAAAAAACAAAAATATGAATTCCTGCAGGAACGAAAGTGTTAAGTCAAAAGTACAATCTATGTTTACGATCTCTGTTCGCCTGCTATGCCTTGGGGCTTAACACTGAACACTTAGGAACCCTTTGTGCTGTAGTTTGGCACCGTGAGCCCCAGTGATTGACATTAAACCCGAATACTGTACTGTCATAACACTAGCTCAGAGGTTGACAACCAAACTAACAATAAGATCCATTTTCCGAATTCTGTAAAAAAAACAAATATTTCAAGAGCATGCCTGTCAACCCCATTCGGTGTACAGGGAAATTGCGTTTTCAGGTGTATACGGCGTATAGCTGTTTCAATGTGGGCAAAACATATATTTGCGTGTCTCCCTTGTGATGGGGCTTTGTAGGATGAACGTTGAGATTTATAAGGGCACGGGGTGACCAATAAGGTCTGAATTGTTCTGGAGTAATGTAGACAGCATGTGAATACGAGACGGGCCTTAAAGAGCCGGATGCGCCCGGAGCCCGTAGGTTGCGGGGACCCCTGGTTCTAGCCAGATTAAGAGAGTCTCAAACTCTCACAATGATCTCCAGGAACAATCGAATCGCGATCGGTAGAATCGTAACGCAGAAATGGACAACCCCTGGCATCGACTGTAACTTCTTAACAGCCACCGCTTGAGCTAAGCTCGTCGATTCTGTCATCGATTCACTTCACACGTGTGTTGTTGTTGTCGTCCCGGTCCTATTGATTATCTCTAAACAGCTTGACGATGTCTGTCGATGCGTGCACTAACGCGTCTTGGCGCAAGACTTCTCAGTTGGACATTCGGCGATTCATTTGATTGACGTCTGCCCCACGCCGCACGAGTCGCGTGTCGGTGAAGCGTTCGCGGCGGCCATGTTGCTCGGGGTGGGGGTCAGGGTGCAGGGAGCTCATTGAGAGTCATGGGGAGGCGGTGGAAGGGGCGGCGACGGGGGGGGAGGGAGATGCTTTTTATATGAACGACTACGGCGATACCCCTACCTAAGATGGCCGCCCCCAAGGCCTCCTTCCACGTGGTCGCCGCGCATATGCCCTCCCCCCCCGGCGCGCGCGTGATTTTGCGCCGCCGGTTATAACCACAAGCGAGCACGTGTTTGGCGCGCCGCGCTTTTCCAGCCACGCTGCGGCTTTCGTTAAGTCCCGAGCCTGCTGTTTAGCTCGGGGCTAGCCCGTGGCCCGCCCGCCCGCGCCCCAAATCGCGCCGACTCGACTCGCTCGCCTTCCTCTCCCGCCTGTTGTAGGATGGCCGACTTTCTCATCAGCGGAGGCACCGGATACGTTCCAGACGACGGCATGACCGCGCAGCAGCTGTTCGCCGGTGCGGATGGACTCACGTACAAGTAAGTGGCGCCCCACGCGCTCTCACTCGCTCTCATCATCACTCGTATACCCGAGTACCCGCACGAGCGATTAAAGTCACGGTCGTATTAGTGGACGTATCAGAATCTTATTTTGTTTTTAGTTATGAAGCTCTTTTTCACAGATGTCCCCATGACTAGTATGATCACAGCACAGACTGAGCAAATGCAACGATCCTAATTTGGCGGCTGATGATGATGATTGTGATGGAAATGCGAAGCATGGAGCCGCCGCTGGCTAGGAACGTGGAATTCGCTAACCACTCAAGTCCGTCTAGTACTGTAATGCATTTTAAACAGGGCGGGTGACGCTCTGCTGACTTTGGAAAAGTCGAGCTGCAGTGATGCAACCGCGCATCAGACGCCTCCACAACATTTCTCCCCGTGTCTTGCGAGCTCACGTGAGCAGGCGCGGATCATCGACGCGGTTATTAGATTGATGGAGCGTTTTTTTCCGGCTTTGGGCAAACAAAAGATCCCCCCCCTCTGGCCTCGCCAGTTCAAATGCCACGCGTGCCGGTGCCGTCGTCCTGTGCCACAGACAAAGACGCGCACAATCCACTCCTGGTGGTTGATTAGAGCTTTCACCACGTCGGTCTGTGCGTCTTGGTGAAGACGATGGGGGGAGGCGGGGAGCATGGATATTCCGAACGGTGGATTTTCTTTTAAACTGCCCCGACGAGAGACATTCACCACTCTAACCGCTCCCTATCGCCATGCCACCACTCTTCGTAGAGATGTTATGCGGTCGCAGTTATACAGTCGATCGAAAACATGGTTGATGTGATTATAATCAGATAAGTGACGATTCCCGTCCACGACTAACATCGGTGGAGAGTGATCTGTGAACCGGTTCTGTTCCCCCTTTGACCCAACATGACATGGGGAGGGCATTCATCCAGCAGGCAGTTTGATATAAAGGATTTTTTTTTATTATTATATCTGCACTGGTCCTAGCTACTTCCCTTAACTAACCTGTGCTGACTAGCATGGTCAAACATGCCCCGCGATCAACCGACATGGCGTTGATGGCATGAAAAACAACTCCTGACTTATTTTTTATTAACGAACCGGGACGGCATCCAATTGAATTTGAAGCGCTGCTCGAGTCTGAGAAAGTCACAGCGAGCGGTTGCGAGCTGGTTATTTGCGTCCTGTGATGATTGACCTGGAACCTTTGAATGGATGACACCGTGGAAGTCTGCATTTCACGGACCCCAAAGGAACAGGACAAAGGAGGTGCCTGTCCCACAGCCCAAATGTTCTTGCGTGTCGGCCAAAAGCCAAAAATCAAAAGCCCCGTCCCCTTTCTGTCCCGAGCCGTCACGGTGTTGGGCCCTCATTTTCATAGTTTTTCATTTTTTTGGCATAGCCCTGTGAGCCATTCGGGTGAGGGCGCATGCTGAAGATTTCACGGCCATCGTCCCAGACCGCCGCTTATAGCTCGTGATCGACCACGGTGATTATCCACGTACTCGCGGATGTTAACGGAAAATAACTTTATGATTCAGCGGAAAGTCAAATAAAGACTTGGCAGATTTTTTTTCTCCGAATTTTATTCCCTCCCGCCGCCTCGCGGCTGTCGCGTTTGTTCATTCATAAAGGCCGCGTGAACTTTGCACCGCGTCACGGTTAGTAGACCATTTAAATTCACGATGTCCATTTCGCCCCAATGATGGTGTCATAGTTGTGTTGAAGGTAGCATGAAAACACATGGGACCACCGCGAGAAGGCGACCATCTCCCACCCACATCAGCAAATAGATGCGCACATCTCCGTCATGAATGGAAAGTTAAAGACAAGCTAGAGTAGTGCAATTGTGGCCATACTAAATGAAACTCAACTCTTTATTTTACCAGATCAGGCCCACTGAACGATATATATAGCTCTTTCAGAAGCGACCTGGCCACATGATAGTTCAATGAAGTGGCTTTTCAATGTGGATATATATAGCAGCCAAATACTTTAAATGTATGTTTCTTAATGTGGAGAAAAATCGACGCGACCACGGGGAGAACATGCAACGCCACATATACAGACATCAGGGTCGGGATCGAATCCATGACCTGTAAACTGGGCGAGGTAGTTAACATCTTGCCGCCATGCAACTCAGACTATGAACCATATAGTAAACTCCTTCAACAAAGGAGAAAAATAAAATAGCACGAACTCTGTCTCTCTGTTGAAGCCCTCTTCATCATGCCCAGCAAACCTCGACGTTGCCATTTAGCTCCTGAGCCATATTGCCATCGTGCGCAAGGGTAGAATAGAACCGCTAATTAGGAACACCCCGCAGCAGTGTTGGCTCAATTACAAATTACGTTCTGGTCACACTTAATTTTAAAAGGTGGTAAAAATGCAGCCCGGAAATGTCATGGCCATGCTGCTGTTGACAGTGGCCTCAACTCTAGGGGAACACTCAGCATATGGAAGTGCCCACACTTTACCCCACCACTCGCGATATGCCAGCCAACTTAACTGCGGTGAACCCATTTACACCGCTGGGTAAACAAGAGGTCGGGGGGGGGGGGATATAATAAACTTTCCTCATTGCGACAACTCACGCCGGGAGTTCTAACCGATGCCCTCTGCGTTGTCAACCCCAGTGTCCCCGTCACCACTCGCACTGGCCAGCGCTCCCTATAGCCTTAATAGGTGCTCGCTATCAGAACTTTCCCCAACAGTCTATGGAGGCTATACGGGGTTGGGGGTGGGGATCGCGCTGCTTTGTGCGCGTGCGTAATGTGTATATTTAGCATCCAAGTCTCATGGTGCTCGTGTAACCGATCGGCTCGCGCGTGTGTGTGTACGCGCGTGTGTGTGTACGCGCGTGTATGTGTACGCGCGTGTGTGTGTACGCGTGTATGTGTACGCGCGTGTGTGTGTACGCGTGTGTGTGTACGCGTGTGTGTGTACGCGTGTGTGTGTACGCGTGTGTATGTACATGTGTGTGTGGCCTGGCACAAGCTGTCGTGGTGACGTCACCGCCACTTAGTGGCGAATGGCGGTTGTTGTGTGTATGTGTACGTGTGTGTGTATGTGCGCGCGTATGCACGTGTGTGCATGTATGCACGTGTGTGTGTACGCGTGGGAAGCGGTAGCGTGGCAGTTAGTGTGCTGTGCTACGAACCGGGCGACCTGAGTTCGATTCCTGCTGAAGGCCAACACCGCTGACGATTATCTGAACTGGTGCTGGATCTCCCCTAGGTCGACTAAGCGTCAAACGAGTACCTAATGCAATGTGTAAAAAAACAACGCTACTGGGGAGACTAATGCGGTCGGGTGTGGTGCTGGCCATGGACCCCCTCATGTACCCTTCCAGCCTTCAAAGGTGCTCGCAAACAGCACTTGCCCTAACAGTATGTTAAAGGCTTTATAGGGAATCTTTGTCTTTGTGTGTATTTTCAGTGACTTCCTCATCCTTCCCGGCTTCATCGACTTCAGTGCGGATGAAGTGGTGAGTCTCGGCAGCGTCTGCGCGTCGAGCGGAGGAGGGGCACATGTGGGGCATTTCCACCACGAGCCGTTTCACGACTACATGAACACACGTGTCAATTACTCTGTGGCATTAAAAGCAAAAAAACACATTTGTTAAGAGGTGACATTTTGGGAAATGGCCCTTGTTCATCGCACGTGAAGGGCCATTGCAGGACACGTTTCCCAAGGCCACATGATGTTATCGACCAACGTATTTAGGTTTTTGTTAACTCTCTTGTATGTCTACATGTGTTCAATTCACAGCCAATAGCAGTGACCATTATCCGAACGGGTCATGGACCTTCCCCCTAGGTCGACTCGGCCTCAAATGAGTACCTGGTGCGGTGTGTAAATATCGGCACTAGGGAGACAAAGGTGGCCGGGTGTGGTGCTGGCCACCCACCCCCTCGTGTGCCGTGCCGGCCTTCATAGGTGCTCGCTAACAGCACTTGCCCCTACAGTCTGTTAAGTCCGTAGAGGGGATCTTTGTACGTGGACGTTCCTCTGTGTCTGTACTCGACACGTGCGTGTACTCGTATGCACGCGTTTGCGTGTGTGTGTGTTCATGGCGGTTTGTGTGTGCATCACAGGACCTGGCATCGGCGCTCACCAAACAGATCACCCTCAAGACCCCGCTCGTCTCCTCCCCCATGGACACGGTCACCGAGTCCAGCATGGCCATCGCCATGGCGGTGAGGGCCGCGACCGGCACACGGCCTCCTAACCACGTGCTAGTAACCAAGCGCTTGTCCTCATTGGCTTATTCTCAGGGCGAACCGTGGGCTCGTAGTTATGTTTGTGGTTGTGGTGTGTGTGTTGTTCTGGTTGTGGTTATATTTGTGGTTGTGATCGTACCGCCCCCACAGCTCATGGGAGGTGTGGGTGTGATCCACCACAACTGCACTCCTGAGTTCCAAGCCAACGAAGTCCGGAAAGTGAAGGTTCGATCCACACCCATGCACCCACCCACCCATTTACTGACCTACTCACCTGCTCATCCACACACTCGCCAGATTATGCCCAGCCAACCCACCCGCCCACCTGTCTGCCCAACCGCCCACCCACTGACCGACTCATCCACCCACCTGCCCACCCACTCACCCACTCGCTCACCCACCTACCCCCCTGCTCATCCACCCGCCCATTGTCCTACTCACATGCCCACCCACCTCTGCACTCATGTCCCCACCGCCCTTCCTCCGCGGGCGCCGCCGTGCAGAAGTACAAGCAGGGCTTCATCACGGACCCCGTGGTGCTGAGCCCAGCCCACTCGGTGGGCGACGTGTTCGAGGCCAAGGCGCGCCACGGCTTCTCGGGGATCCCCATCACCGAAACGGGGCGAATGGGCGGCCGCCTCGTGGGTATCATCACCTCGCGCGACATCGACTTCCTCACCGAGAAGGACTACAGCATGGAGCTCTCGGAGGTAGTGCAGCACCGCACTGCACTACAGCATGGAACTCTTGGATGTAGCACTGCACCGCACTACAGCATGGAGCTCTGGGAGGTAGCGCCGCACTACAGCACGCTCATCACACCTCAACGGTTCCATACTGTAGCGTCCGAGAGCATGAAGCTCTCGGACGTAGCACTGCACCGCACCACACTACAGCATGGAGCTCTCGGACGTAGCACCGCACCACACTACAGCATGGAGCTCTCGGACGTAGCACCGCACCACACTACAGCATGGAGCTCTCGGACGTAGCACCGCACCACACGACAGCATGGAGCTCTCGGACGTAGCACTGCATCGCACCACACTACATCATGGAGCTCTGGGAGGTAGCGCCGCACTACAGCATGGAGCTCTCGGACGTAGCACCGCACCACACGATAGCATGGAGCTCTCGGACGTAGCACTGCACCGCACCACACGACAGCACAGAGCTCTCGGACGTAGGACTGCATCGCACCACACGACAGCATGGAGCTCTCAGACGTAGCACTGCATCGCACCACACGACAGCATGGAGCTCTCGGACATAGCGCCGCACCACACTACGCTACAGTATGGAACCGTTGAGGTGTGATGAGCGTGTAACAGTGCCGCGAGTGTGGTGCGTTGAGCGAGTGGCGGGGCCGGTGGTGCGGTGAGCGAGTGACGGCGTGCCTCCGCAGGTGATGACCAAGCGGGAGGACCTGGTGGTGGCGCCGTCAGGGGTGACGCTCACGGAAGCCAACGAGCTCCTGCAGAGGAGCAAGAAAGGTGTGCGGAGCAGCAAACCACCACCACCGGCAGATCGTAGCTATCGTCATGACAACATCGTTATCGGCATCGTCATGACAGCATAATCTTAGCCATCGTCATGACAGCATCGTTATCGTCATGCCAACATTGTCTTAACCATCATTAGAGGAAGAGATTGAAGAGGTGGCCAGGAGAAGTTATTATCTGGGTTGGGGCTGGAGTCTGGTTTGGGGTCGGAGTTGTCGGTGAAACTGCACCCGCTCCACCATCCGGCACTCGGCTCGCTTTGTGCCGTGGGCCGGTGAGAGGAGGTGCCACAGCAAACCACGAGGCAGACGAAATCCGGACGGGCGCTCTCGATCAGTGGCGCTCGTCTCTGCAAACTCTGCCACAGGAAAAAAATGCGATGAGGAGGGGGGAGGTGGAGGAGGTCCGGGGGGGGGGGGGGGGGGGGGGGGGGGGGTTGGGGGTGTGTACGCATGTCTGCGTGTATAAGTGTGCGTGTGTGTATGTATGACTTGTGACCGTGTGTAGGCAAGCTGCCCATCGTGAACGAGAAGGACGAGCTGGTGTCCATCATCGCGCGCACCGACCTCAGGAAGAGCCGCGAATACCCGCTCGCCTCCAAGGACGAGCGCAAGCAGCTGCTTTGCGGCGCCGCCATCGGCACCCGCGAGGACGACAAGTACCGCATCGACCTGCTCGCCCAGGCCGGGGTCGACCTCGTCGTGCTGGCACGTGCCTCGCTCGCCCATCCTTCTTGCCCGCCCACTCGCTCGCTCAGTCGCTCGCCCATCTGTCCGCTCGCCCGGTCACCCATCCGCTCGCCCGGTCACCCATCCGCTCGCCCGCTCCCCCATCCGCTTGCTTACTCACCCGCTCGCTCAGTCATTCACCTGCATGCTCACCTTCTCGGTCGCTCAGTCATCGACAAAGTTGTCTACTCGCCCGCTCGCTCATTCGCTCAATTAACCCGCTCGCTCACCTGCATGGCCATTTGGTCACTCACCCGCTTCCCCAAACAAGCTGGCTGTGAAACACCAGCTCACTTTCACCCATTCGCCTGCCTGCTCGCTCGCTCGCTCGCTCACTCGCTCACTCGCTCGCCTGTACTCTCAGACAAATGCGTGAACACTCGCCTGCTTGCATGTCGGGCCTCCTCGCCTGCTCACACACGCACTCGTGCAATGGCCTGGAAGATGGTTTAGGTTTTTTTTGTTGAAACTAGATTTCCCTCGGCTGCGTGACGTTGGCAGGACTCCTCCCAAGGCAACTCCATCTTCCAGATCCAGATGATCCGGTACATCAAGCAGAAGTTTCCGGACCTGCAGGTGGTGGGCGGCAACGGTGGGCACCTCCACAATGCCACCTGCGCAGACTTTGGAGAGATGCACCCCCGCCGGTGGCATCCTCTAGGCAAAGATTCCCCCGTATAGCCTGAACAGACTCTTAGAGCAAGAGCTGTTAGCTTGCACCTATGAAGGCCGGCACGGCACACGGGGTGGGTGGGTGGCCAACACCACGTCTGGCCGAACTCTGGTCACCGGGTTCGTAGCGCTGCGCATTGACCGCTCGACCACCAACCGTTGCACCGCCGCTCTCCACATCTAGACACGCGCACGTTCGGACGACACGCGACACCTTTGTGGGGGGGCGGGGGGAGTGTGCCAAATTTGGAACGTCATACCTGCAGCTTACTCAATATGGATCATGCACACAGCAGCAATCATCGTCGGTAAAACTGCACCCGCTCCACCATCCGGTGCTTGGCTGGCTTGTGCCGTGGCCGGTGAGAGGAGGTGCTACAGCAAACCACGAGGCAGACGAAATCCGGACAGGCGCTCTCGATCAGTGGCGCTCGTCTCTGCAAACGCTGCCACAGAAAAAATGCGGCACGCCAACAACACCAAATCAGTACGACACACACGGCACGCCTACACCACACCAGTACGGCACACACGGCACGCCTACACCACACCAGTACGACACACGCGGCACGCCTACACCACACCAGTACGGCACGCCTACACCACACCAGTATGGCACGCCTACACCACACCAGTACGACACACACGGCACGCCAACACCAAATCAGTACGACACACGCGGCACGCCTACACCACACCAGTACGACACACGCGGCACGCCTACACCACACCAGTACGACACACGCGGCACACCTACACCACACCAGTACGGCACACACGGTACGCCTACACCACACCAGTACGGCACACACGGCACGCCTACACCACACCAGTACGACGAGACGCGGCACGCCGAAGCGCACCGGAACTTGCCGCAACGGTCCTGACTGCCACCGTGGTGCCCCCCCGTCCTTGCTGCCCACCCCCCTCCTCTCTTCCTCCAGTGGTGACGGCGGCGCAGGCGAAGAACCTCATTGATGCCGGCGTGGACGCTCTGCGCGTGGGCATGGGCAGCGGCTCCATCTGCATCACGCAAGAGGGTGAGTGGTGCGGGAGGGCACGAGGGAGGGTGAGGTGGTTGGGCGAGGGGCGAGGGGGAGGGCGACGGGGGGGGGGGGCGTGGGGGTGCGGGGGAGGGTGAAGGGCGCGGACTCGCCAGAGTGCGCGATGATTAAAGGGGCCATGGACAGAAGGATGGGCAGGCTAAGGGGGATGTGTGCGTGTGTATGACGCGGTTGGGCTGCGCGTGCCTCTGCGCAGTGATGTACGTGTCTGTGCTTCTTCACGTGTGCTCGCGTGCCCGTACGTGCGTGCAGTGATGGCGGTGGGGCGCCCCCAGGGCACGGCCGTGTACAAGGTGGCGGAGTACGCGCGCCGCTTTGGCGTGCCCGTCATCGCCGACGGCGGCATCCAGACGGTGGGGCACATCATCAAGGCGCTCGCGCTGGGGGCCTCCACCGGTGAGATGTCCCCCCCCCGCTCGCCGCCTCGCCACCGTTACGACATCATCCGCACCGCCGTCTCGTCGACATTGTCATCATTCATAGATTACCTCCATCCTCCTCAACTTCGTCTCTGCTCATCCTACTCCGTCCTTCCTCCCCCACCTATTCTCCACTATTATCTCTCCTCGTTCTTTTCCTCCTGGTTTCCGCCTCCACCCTTCTTCCCCACTCTTCTCTGCCCTCTCTTCGCTGTCTCCCTATTCCCCCCCTCCTATTCTTCCTCTTCCCTCCCTCCCACCTGCCTCCCACCCCCCCAGTGATGATGGGCTCCCTGCTGGCCGCCACCACGGAGGCCCCGGGCGAGTACTTCTTCTCGGACGGGGTGCGGCTCAAGAAGTACCGTGGCATGGGCTCGCTGGACGCCATGGAGAAGAACAAGGGCAGCCAGAGCCGCTACTTCAGGTGGGCGGCAGCGGCCTTCATCCGGCAGTGGCTGGATCCGCCACCTCATGTGACCGATCCGTGACGCTAGAAGGGCGATGGCGCGAGGAGGGGAGGGGTTGAGGCTGACGGCGGAGTGGTAGGCAGGGAAGCGACGTTCGTCTGTCCGACGCGGTTTTGTGAGAACTGACGGTGATCGTGAGCTAAGGGGGAAATCGTCGAGCACGGCGATGACCGCGACGGCTGCCCCGCCAGAGAGCAGAGCGAGGGGCGGGCGGGGAGGTGACGAAGGTGATGAAGTGGATGATTGCGATAATGATCACACGATGTTGGTTGGTTGTGGTCGCCGTGGTTGTAATTGTGAAGGTCGTGTGCGGTGTCTTTGGCGATGAGTGACAATGTCAAGGTAGCTGTGTAAAAGTCATGGCGGGAGTTCACGGGACAGGCCCAAGTACTGTGATGATGATGATGATGAGGCCGTGTCTTGCAGTGAGAACGACAACATCAAGGTGGCACAGGGCGTGTCCGGCTTGGTGCAGGACAAGGGCTCCATCCAGAAGTTTGTGCCGTATCTCCTCGCCGGCGTGCAGCACGGCTGCCAGGACATCGGATCAAAGTCCCTCTCCATGCTGCGGTCAGTGACTGTCGCCGCCATGATGTCTCCGTGTGTGTCTCTGTGTGGAGCGGGAGTGTAGCGGTTAGTGCGCTGCGCTACGGACCCGGACACCCGAGTTGTATTCCCGCTCGTGGCCAACACCAATGACGATTATCTGAACTGGTCCTGGGCTTCCCCTAGGTCGATTCGGCCTCAAATTAGTACCTGGTGCAATGTGTAAAATCATTGCCACTGCTGGCCACCCACCCCCTCATGGTACCGTTGGTGCTTGCTAACAGCACTTGCCCCTACAGTCTGTTAAGGCTACACAAGGGATATTTGTCTTTGTGCTTCCTACTATGAGGAGCGGTGGTGCAACGGTTAGCGCGCTGTGCTGTGAACCCGGTGACCTGAGTTCGATTCCCATTCGCGGCCACCAACAACATCGGTGACGAATATCTGAACCGGTCCTGGGCCCTCCGAAAGGTCGACTCGGCCATCGATGAGCACCTGGGGTGTTGTGTGTAAACATCAGCACTGGGGAGACGGCCTTCATCGATGCACGCTTAGCGACACTTGCCCCAACAACAGCCTGTTTAGGCCACATGGCGGGGGGGACCACCTTCGTCTTTGTTGTAGGCCATCGTGACTCCTGCGCCTCGCCGACCCCCACGAGACAAGCTTGCGCCTCACAGCCGTTTTATTCAATCAACATCTAACAATTCCGACTTAGCCAGTAGTGCAGATTTCGGCGGCGACGGCGCCTCCACGTCCTTGTCTTGTGGATCGGAGCTTAAGTTTATTTCGGCACACCACGTCCACCGTACCTCTCGCTCCGGTCGTGGCGGCTGCGGCCCACCGAGCCACTTCGCCACCGGCGACCCAGAAAAGACAGCGCCACATCCACTGTGACTCTCGCTCCGGCCGTGGTGGTGGCGAATTCGTCAAGCCATTGGCAGCGAGCCGAAACCATTATATATTTTTCACACACCCGGCACACCACGTCCGCCCACTACTGTCATCAAAAGGACGATACCACTTACATTAACCCAATTCTTCACTTCAAAGAATTATCATCCTTTGTACAATGTTATAATTGCTGTAAAGGGCCTTGGTCAAGGTGCTTTATAATCTTGTGACAAGATAAGAAGGCCCAGGTAGTGATGGCCCAACTAACCCTGGTGGCTGCTACTGTTGTTACTGTTTTGGGCCCTTGTGTTCTGTGTCGCTGAATTTGTGACGGTTGTGGTATCCCGTGTGTGTGTGACGGTGGTTGTGGTGTCCGTGTGTGTGTGTGACAGTGGTTGTGGTGTCCCGTGTGTGTGTGTGTGACGGTGGTTGTGGTATCCGTGTGTGTGTGTGACGGTGGTTGTGGTGTCCGTGTGTGACGGTTGTGGTGTCCGTGTCCGTGTGTGACGGTTGTGGTGTCCGTGTGTGTGTGTGACGGTGGTTGTGGTGTCCGTGTGTGTGTGTGTGACGGTGGTTGTGGTGTCCGTGTGTGTGTGTGTGACGGTGGTTGTGGTGTCCTGTGTGTGTGTGCGTGCCGCTGGTTGGCGGATGATGTTGTGCCGGTGGTTGTGGTGTCCCACAGCTCCATGATGTACTCTGGGGAGCTCAAGTTTGAGAAGAGGACCATGTCGGCACAGGTGGAGGGGGGAGTGCACGGACTCTACTCGTGAGTGTTGCTCCACGCCTGCCGCTCCACCCCCGCGACTCCACCCTAACCCTCTCCACCCTAACCCTCTCCACCCTCGCCATCCCACACTTGCTGTACCCTCCCTCGCTCCACCGCGTCACTCCAACCCTCGCTCCACCCTCAGTCAATGAGGGTGGGGGTGGCTTTTTACTGTACTTGACCACGCTGGTGAATGCGCGCACAGCGTCGCGTGGCCTCAAAGTGCACCTAGCCTGGCACTTGTCGTTGGTGGGTGCGGCGGCGGCTGCGTTGGCCCGCACGGCCAGTGCAGCTGCGTGTTCCGGGCACGGCAAGCACGCCACTCACGCTGCTTCTCCTGCTGCTTCTGCTTCTGTTGCAGCTATGAGAAGCGCCTCTACTGAGTCGGATGGGGAGCAGAAGCATCAGCAGCAGCAGCAGGAGGTGACACCGTGGTCGCCCGGTTCCTACTGCCGTCCCCCCCCCCCTCTCCCTGCCCCCACCCCCTCCCCGGCCTCTGACCTTGGCATGGGTCGTCTTGACGCACAAGAAGAAAATAAATAAATGCAACTTTAAAAAAAAAGGTAACGTGGTAAAAACGCAACGAAGAGGTTGAGAAATACCGCGTCCGAACGGAGGGGGTTCCTGACTGCCCCCCCCCCCGTCCCGCTTGCTGTGCTGCCCCCCCACCCCCCGTGTAAGTGCCTGCCGCTTGGCGGAACCGCCGAGGGACTGGCGGAGCGGCCATGACAGAGAAGCCCAGAGGGGAGCGGTCGCCAAGCGTTGCCATCCCCCCTCTGTGTCGTCGTCACGTGCAGCTCCGGTGCCGGTATCGATCGCCACTGACTGTAGCCGTGGCCGGGAATCGACCTTCGGCAATAACGAGCGATGTAACCACGGTACTTGACCACCCAGGCAAGCATCGGCGAGTACCAAGACCCTCTTATGAAGAGGTTCTTGCTCGAGACGTTTGGCCAATTTACTTTTTTCCAGTGTTTTTGCTTCATGAGCTCAGTGAGATGTGGAGGAGTTGGCCTAATACACACCGTACCGTATGGGGGGCCCTCCACAGTGGAGGCCCTTCTGCCAGCAGCAGTGCGAGCCAGCGGTTAACGCAGGGCTGCGCCAAACAACCCAAGGGGATGCCCCCATGTGTGCGATGAGGTTAGCACTCAACGCTCGGTCTGTTATTATAAACCTACTTGCTCTTCTGCCCTCCTTGCTCGAAGTCGGCAAAACACTGCCGGTGGTGGTGGCGGTGGCGGCGGTGTCGTCGCGTAAACGTGCCAACGGTGAACGTCGCCGGCGCACGGAAAAGTTCCGTGGGACCCCGGCGGTGTTTTGTAATTTTTTTAGGCCTCGAATCCGCGGGCCCCGCGTGCGGTTTTTGGGCTCGCGCCAATTGCGAGGCCGCGATTTTAAATCCCGCTTGGGCACGGAGGTCGACACCGGCCCAGCCATCGGTCCCTCCCTCCGAAGCCGATTCCAACCAGCACCGCTTTGTGTGCAAAGTCAACAGCGGTTTGTCCTGTGGATAGACTCGCACCCACCCCCACAGACCGCCGCCAGAGGAATGTGGAATTTCCACCGCAGGCTCTGCAGAGCTGTTAACAGTTGAGCCACCGATGCCTCGATGCTCCTTCGAGCAGGAGGTCACTTTGAGCATTTATTTTGTGAAAGTCCAGTGCACAGGCACGCTTACTGCGTGCACGTACAGACCGCCCTGCAGCTACCCGAGAACAGCTCGCATCACAGCTGTTTTAATTATTCAAAATCGGACAAATCCAACTTGGCCAGCGGCGCATATCTCGTCGGCGGTGGCATTCGACGGCGCCTCAACGTCCCTTGTCTTGTGATCCGGAGCTTAAATAAATTTCGGCACACCACGTCCACCGTACCTTTCGCTCCGACCGTGGCGATGGCTGTCGCCGAGCCACGTCGCCAACGGCGACCCGAAGACACGCACGCCAGGCACACCGCATCCAACATGAACTCTCGCTCCGACCGTGGCGATGGCGGCTTCGTCAAGCCGTCGCCAACGAGCCGGAGCCACTTTTTTCACGCACCCGGCGGCACACCGCGTGCGTCCATAGCTCTCGCTCCCGGCCGCGGCGGCTGCCGCTTGTCGCGTTGCCGCCTGCGCCGGTCGATGGCAGCAACCCACGAAAAACACCCGGTGAGAAATGAAGCTCTCTTCGTAACTTTGTAGTTTTTTTTTTATATAAACAAACAAGTGGGAGACCGCGTGCTGGTGGTGCGTCGTTACTGCCGGCTCGCCCCTGCGTGTACGGCGACCGGTGCCGTGGGAGGGCATCCACACGAAGTGTGGATTCTTCCTCCGCCCGTTATTTTTTTGCCGAAGCCTCGCCAACAGCCAATTTGTGTCGCAGTGGAATCCTAGCCGCTCTCGCGCTCTGCTTCGCCACGACGACGTCGAATTTGTACCGCGCGGCAAACCAGAGGCGCGCGACGCAAGGCTGCAAGAACCAACTCCACGCCAACAGTTGCCCAAGTTCTGTGGACCTACATTGGGACGAGTGTACGCGCGGGAGGAAACCGGAGTGTCCAGAGAAATCAAACACCGGCCGGGGGGAGGGGGGGTTAGGGGCGGGCGGTGGTAATGCTCAGTACCCCCCCCCCCCCCCCATCATACACGCGGCGTTTAATCCACTTTCTAAACTGCCACGTGTGATGGGACGTCACGGTGATGAGGTGCCACGGTGACGAGGTGTTGGCTGCGTCGATTTTGCGCTTGGCGCCGGCAGTGGCCGTGTCCGTTGGTCGTCGCCAAGGCCCGGCACCACCGGCGTGAGCGTTGGGGGGTGATGATGGAGGTGACGACGATGATGGCAGTGTTGGTAACGATGGTGGTGATGGAATGGTGGTGATTTTGGTCGTGTCCCGCTGTTGTTGAGCTGTAGATGCTAATGATAATGCTGGTGAAGATGTTTCATTGTTGGGCTGTCGGTGGTGGTGATGATCAGGGCTTGATATTTCGCTCGGCATTTCCGGAACGCTGCCGTGCTGGCATGTAATGTGGATTCGGGCACTACCACGAGAGGACAAGGTATGCCTCTCATTAATATTCCGACCAACCAATGGGCTTAGGACAAACCACAAGGAGGGGGATGGCTTGTGGCAGGGCCAAAATAATTCCCGGACGCGGCGTTCCAGACTGTCCTGGCTAAAGTCAAGCACAAGGTGGTGATTATGATGGCGATGGTTGTGTTTTTCCGTTGGACTGTAGGCGACGATGAAACAATGGCCTCGACAATGTCTGGCTGTTGGGCTCGTGACGACGATGATAAGCTGACCGCCGTTTCAGTGTCTTAGGCATCCGCGTGAACACGCGCGTAACTTTTTGCGAGGGCCTTGTGCGGAACCGCGCCAGCAGTCGGACCTCCCCCCCCCCCCCCCATGCAGCTCCGCTTTCGGCCGTGAATTCCCTGGGCCGTGCCCCGTCTGTCGCTGATCCCCCCCCATTGTAGCCAACACCCCCCCCCCCTCCCCTCTAGTCTAACCCTAAAGCTGTCCGCTTTAACGCACAGCCCCGCAAACCCCCGCCGTCGCCCATCCGCCTGTAGCCCAAGCTGCCAATACTCAAACCGCTAGCCCCTCGCCCCCCCCCACACAAAAACCATCCCTAGGCCTAGCTCTGACGTAAACTCTGGCCCCCCGAACCCAGACCCCATGGACTTTGGACCCCAGGGTCAAAACACTACCCCGGCGATACGACGCCCTCCGTGTGGACAGATGACCTCCCCTGGGGAGGGCAGGCGGGGGTCAAAATATATTACTTTGACCTGCGGGGGTACAAACTCTGCTTGAGCGCCGCGATGGCCCGTGGGAAAATGATTTCCGTAGAGGCAGAATTAGGCCGAGGGGTTAAACTACCGTGGTAGGTGGGGTGGGTTGCCGTGGAGGGGTGAATAATGTGGAGGCGTCTAACCCTAGGATTATTAATTCTATGGTGGGGGTCGAGGTGGTGTCTCCTGGCGATCCTGAACCCCCCAGTGCCGTGGCCCGGCAGCCGTGAAGCCCCGTGGCCGATGTGGTTTTTTCGATCCGGCAAACTCCCGTGGATCCAACGTCGCCCCTGTCGCCGCCACCCGGACTCCGTTTCCAACCCAGGATTGGGTGGACGGAGTCGGCGGAGCGGGAGCGCCGCGGTTCGGATGGCTCTGCTCTGCTCGTGCCGCCGCCGCTGCTGCGGCCACTCCGGTTCTGTGGAGAATCGGATGAGATTGAGATCACAATCGGATAACGGGGGGGAGGGGGGTTAGGGTTTGAATGCACGTGGCGGGCACTCGCTCGAACGCGTCGGCATCTCAGAGCGCTTTGCGTGGCATCTCAACCGATCCATTGTCCAGCGACATTCTTAATCTAGAGGGGATGGGGGAGGGGGACCCCCAGTGTCAGCCGCCCCTACGCGACACAGGGCATGAAGCAGCACCGGCCTGCGAATGGCTGTCGTCTGCCGGCAGGGGGCGACGTTGCCACTCCGTTTTTTTTGTTTCTCTCGCACGATTCAATTCCCTCTCGGGGTCGGCTTGCACCATACACGGTTGGCAGTGATGGGCACAGGGAGGGGGGCCCGCTGATTTTTTTTCTAATCCCTTCGGAAACGTGTTGGGCCCGGTCCGCGCATCGATGAACGTGGTGGTTCACTTGTATTTTTTTTTGTCTGTTTAAAGCCCGCTCCAAACTTCTGCGATTCGCTTGCGCGCGCGCCTTTGGTCGCATGCAACTTGAGGAATCCCTTGCACGTGGGCGTCTCTGCAAACGGTTGCTGCTCGCAGTGATCGCTCGGTCGACCCCATACCCGAGTCCGTGCCCTACCTAATGTCCTCTGGGCGAGCAGTTGCGCAACGATGTGGACAAAGCGGTTGCATGAGATTTTTTTTTTAAGTTGCAGGCGATGTTTGTTACGAGCCGTCCCGGTTAAAGCGGAGACCACTTGCTGGCGTTATGGCCGGTGCCTCAGAATTGACTAGCTGAGGAAGCGAGGCACCGGTCCAAAGTATTGCGCACCGCCGTGTGGTCTGTATGGCGGTTTTTTTTCTGAACGATTCTGATTCGTGTTTTATTTTGTTTAAATCTTGTGAAAGTGTTTTGTTTGGTTTAGTGATGCAATGTCAGCCGATGGTTCCTGTGTGGAGCTGTGTGGGTCTGTTTGCTTGCGTGTGAGCGCACGTGGGTCCGTGTGGGCGCACGTGGGTCCGTGAGAACGCACGTGGGTCCGTGAGAGCGCACGTGGGTCCGTGTGAGCGCACGTGGGTGCGTGTGAGCGCACGTGGGTGCGTGTGAGCGCACGTGGGTCCGTGTGAGCGCACGTGGGTCCGTGTGAGCGCACGTGGGTCCGTGTGAGCGCACGTGGGTCCGTGTGAGTGTGGGTGTCTGTGCGTGTGGGGAGTGGTGGCGCAGCGATTGGGGCACTGCGCAACGCAACCGGCCACCAAGAGTTCGATTCCCGCTCACGGCCAGTAACGGTGGACAGCGATTATTTGAACTGGTCCTGGGCCCTCCCCTAGGTCTGCTCAGCCTTAAATGAGTACCTGGTGCCGTGTGCAAAACATCAGCCACTGGGGAGACAAAGGTGGCCGGCCGTGGTACTGTGGTTGGCCACAGCCTCCTATAGGTGCTCGCTAACGGCACTTGTGCCCCCCTTACAGTCTGCTAAAGGCTACACGAGAGAGGGGATCTTTGTTTTTTTGTACGTGCGCGTGTGTGCCGCTCGTAAAACTCCCAAAGTCACTGCCCTCCCCCCCCACCTTCACGGCCGGCAGCTTTCGTTTGCTTTGCGCCGCGCTCTGGCGACCTCGCAAATAAATAAAAAGTTCGTACGTGAGCCTCGAGATCCCTTCTTACCCCCCCCCCTCTCCCATCAGCGAGCGGTCCACCTCGAGATCCCTTCTTACCCCCCCTCCCTCTCCCATCAGCGAGCGGTCCACCAACCCTCGCCCGCCGCTCTTTGCCTCCTACCCCTTGCGCAGGTTACAAAATCCACCACGACCTTCTTCCTGGTCCCGAATGTAATTCTAGCCATGCCCCCCCGTCTGGGGTTTTATTCAGTTGCGTACCTCTGGTTGCGTGCAACTAAATCGCGTGCAGGCGACGTCTGCAACCGGTTGCGGGCAGTTGCGCCACCGTTTGCTGCTCGCAGCAGAGACCGTGTCTGCTCTAAAGCGACGATCTGCTAAGATATCTGTAGCGCGCACGTGTGCCAGGCCTTCGTAGAAAAAAATATAATAGACGACGCTTCGGGCAATGGCCCTTTTTTTTACATAGCGCTTGAATAACAGAGGGCAGAGAAAAGAGCGAGAGATCTGTGGATAAGAGTTGGGGGAGACCGCAGTCGTCTGCACCGCGGGGGGGACCTGATAAGAATCGCATTTTAAAACGGGACGGCTGTTGCGTGGCACGTGGATCAGATATCGACGCGGACATTTGACGAAGCGAGCGAGTGGGACGTCTGAACGAACGGAGCTCCGTGCCCTGCAGCAAGGTAGGGTTGGGGGAGAGCTTTTGGGATCGACGCTGGCAGGCGGAGAAGGACAATCCCATGGGCTGCATTAGAGAACAGAAGACACTCGGTAGAAAGACAGACGGAGAGGGACAATCCCATGGGCTGCTAAGAAAAGGCAAGTGGACTAATGGTTAAAATGCGTTACGGCTCAGAAGCTGACGATAATGATGCTGGGTCATGGCAATAACCGCGGCAGCAGCAGCATTAACAGCAACGGGAGCAAAAACAAATTATAGCATCCGCAGGAATAGCAGTAGCAGCGGCGGCAGCAGCTACAGTAGAATAAATAATAGCAGCAGCATTAACAGTAACAGCAGCACTAGTAGTAACAGCAGTACTGTGAGTGCTGCCATTACTTGAAAGTGCGGGGCCCGTAGCATATGTAGCTGCTTGTGCTACTCGGATAATCCGGCACTGCGTGCCCTTGCCTCGGCCCTAACCCGCAACCTTTACCCTGATCCTTCACCCTGCCGCTAATAGTGAGCCGACCTGTTTTTCTGACCACAACGCCCGACCTTACCTTTAACCCAGACCTGATGGAAAGCCCTTGTCCCGAATCCTATCCAGGGCTATGACGACCTATAAGCCCGATCTATAATCCTACCCCTACTACGCCCTCCACCCTTAGTCCTATTACTACCTCCACCCTAATTCCTAACTATACCCCTGTTACTACCTCCACCCTAATCTCGAACCCTACCCGTTACTACCTCCACCCTTAACCCTATCACAACATCCACCCCTAATCATAACCACTCCTACCGCTCACTCTACCCTACTTCTATCCCCGTCCGTGTCCCCTAACTCTACCCAAACCCTGAACCCAACCCTATCCCTACCCATAAACATTGTCGCTCAGCCTGACCCTGCCTGACCCGTGGGGGTTGTTTGACCGTGCTTCCACCACAATGGTCGGTGCGGGTTCATGAAGTCTGGAGGAGGCCGCATAGAAGTGCAGTACAACAGTAGCTCGGGCAGTGTGCGACAGGGGTTACTGGAGTCCCCATCCTCTGGGTCCCCCTTTCAATGAGTGCCCTCCTCGTCGCTCACCTCGTCGCTCACCTCGTCCCCTCGGCGCTCACTCCTCTCGCTGCCGCCACCGCCGCCCGGCACCAGAGACCCCCTCGGCGGGGTGGAACCCCCTCGCGGACCCCGGAGGGAGACCCCCCCGCTCTCGGTCCCTGGCTTATCCTCTCCTGCGAGACCCCGCGGGGACGAGGGGGTGCGGGCAGACGGGGTCCCCTGACCCACATCACCCACCCCCGCACACTGCTGCTGATGATGGTCGTGGTGGTTTAGCTGCTGCTGATGATGATGTTCAAGATGATGGTAGTGGTGGTTTAGCTGCTGCTGATGTTGAGGATGGTGGTGGTGGTTTAGCTGCTGCTGATATTGAGGATGATGGTGGTGGTTTAGCTGCTGATGATGTTGAGGATGATGATGGTGGTTTAGCTGCTGCTGATATTGAGGATGATGGTGGTGGTTTAGCTGATGATGTTGAAGATGATAGTGGTGGTGGTTTAGCTGCTGCTGATGATGATATTGAGGATGATGGTTGTGGAGGTTTAGCTGCTGCTGCTGCTGCTGTTGATACTGATGCTCATAATGCTGATGGTGATATTGAAGACGGCTATGTTGAGAGTGATGATCCGGCTGCTGATGCTGATGATTGTGATGATGCTGATGATCCAGCTGCTGATGATAATTCCGATGCTGACAAATATCCTCCAGTTTCTGCTGCTGATACAGATGGTGTTCAACCTGCTGCTGATGCCACAGGTGATGCGGCCGTTGCACCGTCTGCTGAGTCTGCTGATGTTTTATTTGCTGGTGATGCTGCTGCTGATGATGATCCTGCTGCTGATCATGATGCTGCTGATTCTGCTGCTGCTGGTGATGATCATTCTGCTGCTGGTGACGCTGCTGCTGATGATGATCCTGCTGCTGATCATGCTGCTGCTGATTCTGCTGCTGCTGGTGATGATCATTCTGCTGCTGCACCAGCTGCACTCTCGCCCTGCACTTGTCGCACGCGGGCGAGTCGCAGGCCAGGTAGACGTAGGGGACCCAGTGTCTCAGGGGCTCTTTCACTTCGGGGTCCACGCTCTTGCCGATGCCACTACTGTGGCTGCCGTGAGTCGGGGGGTCGACCCCCTGGGTGGAGAGCCCCCCCGGCAGGCGAGGGGATAAGGGATGAGAGAGAGCCCGGCACGGGGCTCGGAGAAGCTCCACTTGGGCCCAGAGCCACGCGAGGGACTCGTCGTCGCTTCGCGTTGATGCCAGGCCCCGGCCTGCGGGGCCCCGGCTCACAGGGCCTCGACTTGCTGGGCCCCGGCTCACAGGGCCTCGACTTGCGGGGCCCTCGCCCTCGTTTGCAGGGCCTCCTCCACTCTCTGAAATTCAAGAATTCCTTCAATTCGTTCCTTTCCGATAATTATCGGTGAATTCAAGTGTCGCATTTGGCATTGAAATATTTCATCAGCGTTGTGTTTGTGCGTTCATTAAGGTCGATGGTGGGTGGGTGGCGACGCGATGGATTGAGAGGGAGAAGATGGATGGATGCGTGGGTGGATTCGTGGTTGGGTGGGGTGATTGATGGATGGATACATCGAGAGGCAATTCATTGATAGAGATGATGGGTGGGTGGGTATAGGAGTGGGTGAGTAGATGGGTGGGTGGGTGGATGCGGGCACGGAAATGACCCTGAGGCCTCACCTTTTAACTGATGTCGCCATTTCCATGGCCGGGGCTCAGGATGACTTCTTCCCTCCATGCTCCAACTTTGTATCTCCCCGTGTCAGCCCGTGTCGGCGTCACGCACCCCGCCTGTAGATTTTTAACAACGCAAGCTGGTGTCCGGACTACACGTTGGTCGACTAAGCCTAGAATCAACACGGTGCATAACCATAGCAATGTGATTTGTTTACCCTCGAGTGGAGGAGAACCTCCCGCCAGCAGCGGCGTGAGCGAGCAATTGCAGGGGCTGCGCCTTTGCCTTCTAACTGACACACGAGGAGCAAACGGTGACTTACGCCGGCCACAACTTTCCAAACCTTCATGAGCCGGGAAGCGATGTGTAAACGATTGCCGGTTTTCGCGTTTGTCGTTCAAAAATCGTAAAACACACACACACACAAAGATCCCCCCGTATGGCCTTAACAGATACTGTTGGGGCAAGTGCTGTTAGCTAGGACCTATGAAGGACGGCACGGCACACGAAGGTGTGGGTGGTCAGCAGTACGCCCGGCCGCCTTTGTCTCCCTAGTGGTACAGCACGTTCCCCAGCAGTCTGTCAAAAGTTATACGGCGGATATTTGTTTTTTACGTCTATGTACGTGCATTTCGTGCGTATGTACGACGTGTATACACATATACACACCTCCGATTAACACGGTTGGCTAGGTACGGCGCGAAAGAAATTCGACATACAGTTACACGCGTGTGGCACCAACCTTAACAATAGGTGCTCGCTAACAGCACTTGTCCCAATAGCCTAATAAGGCTATTTTTTTCCGAGGTGTGGCGGGAGGGAGCACACACACCATGTGTGTACCACGTCGACCCTTAATAGGTGCTCGCTGACAAACAGCATCTGCTGCCCCCGACGGTGAACGCGGCCTCTCGTCCGTTAGGGCCGTTAGGAAGAGGAGCGCGAGACGCGCACAGAGAGAATTCCGTTCCGTCTCTCATCCGAGACGTCCCCTCCACAACACCCGCCCACCCAACCGTTAAATCTCCCCCCTCCTCCTCCGCCTCCCACGTCTCGCCCCACCCTCGTCTCCGCCAGATCCTTCATCTCCGCTATCTCACATCCCCCCCCCCACTCCACCCTTGTCGCCCTGTCTGCCTCCAGCATTCACGGCGGGTGGGAAGGGAGCGGAACGGATCGGCGACTGTCCTCTGATAACCCCGCGTTGGGGGGTGGCGGTGTTCGGACATCGGCACTGGGGGGAGGAGGGGGGGACAAAGGCGGCCGGGCGCGCGGAGCTGCCCGGACCACCCCCGTCGTGTCGGCCTTAATAGGCGCTCGCTCACAGCCCTTGCCCCACAAAGGTCCGTTCGAGGCTACATGGGGGATCTTGGCCTTTGTTTGGATGGCACAGGTGACCTAATGTGTTCAGAACATCTTGTGTGTCCCGTGTCACTTCGTAATCGGATCATGCGTGTAGGTGTCGGTGTGTGTACGTCTCCGAGGGGTGTGTACGTGTCCGTGTGTGTCAGCAGTTCCTGTGGGGAGCGGTAGTGTAGCGGTTAGCGCACTGCACTACGAACCTGCCGCCACCCAAGTTCGATTCCCGCTCACGGACAACGCCAGTGACGATTATCTGAACCGGTCCTGGGCCTCCCCTAGGTCGACTCAGCCTCATATGAGTACCCGATGCGGTGTGTAAACATCGCCACTTGGGAGACAAAGGCGGTCGGGCGTGGCGCTGGCCACCCACCCCCTCGTGTACCTTTCCGGCCTCCATAAGTGCTCGCTAACAGCACTTGCCTCTACAGTCTGTTAAGGCTATCTAGGGGATCTTTGTCTTTTTTGCGTCTCTGAGGGGTATGTACGTGTCCGTGTGTCAGCAGTTCCTGTGGGGAGCGGTAGTGTAGCGGTTAGCGCACTGCACTACGAACCCTCCGCCACCCGAGTTCGATTCCCGCTCACGGCCAACGTCGTTGACTATAACATCTGAACCTATTATGGCCCCCCCCATTTCAACTCAGCCTTTTGAAAAAAAATGATTACTTTGTGCGGTGTGTTAACTTCATCATCATCGACCGTGGTCAATCCACTGCTGGATGAAGCAATGCCTGCCCAAGCCGCTGCCGACATCTCACGATCCTGCGACGTAACAATCCAACCCCGCTAGCAACCACCCACGCACGAACTCGTTCCACGCGCTCCATCTCCACGGCAGGGCGCTCCTCGCGGACGAATTCCATTCGCTTCTATGGGAGCTGCAACTCCACTGGTGTCGACCCGCTCGTCGCTATACCTCCCTTGCCGGCATCAGAATGTAAGAATATCGGAGCTCACCCTTTCTGGCAGTAAAACGGTGGCGTTAAGACGTTTAAACACCGAACGGAAACCTTTTTTTTGGCAGGGAATGATGTCACTGAATTAGTCACACGTACTTGTGGCGAACATGCATGCACACGCAAAAAAACATGCTCTGATAGTATATGATGCATTGGCTTTGAAACTGATTGGTCCACACCAGAGACAACTTTCTTTAGTGCGTCGTCTCAAACGGTGCTAGACCAGAGGACAACGCCAAAAGGCGAACAGCATCCTCTGATCTCGCACTGTTTGAGACTAAGCTCTAAATAAATCTGTCTTTGATGTTTACCAATCACTTTCAAAGACAATGCACCATGTACTATCAGAGCATGTCTTTCTGTGTGTGTGCATGTTCGCCACAAGTACATGTGGTGACTGCAGTGACATGATTCCTTGCAAAACAGTTTCTGTTTGGTGTTTAAACATCTTAGGAGCCGTCCATAAATGACGTCACGCAACTAAGGGGGGGGGGGGGGGGGTCAGACATTTGTGACGATGTGTGACGAGGGGGGGAGGGGTTTGAGACATGTGACGTCACATCAAAATGCGCAACTTTAAATAAATATAGACAATACGTTCTTAATTAAATAGACTTTTTAATAAATGTTTTCTCCTACAACATCAAAGTGCAGCGCCACATTAAATACGCACTACAATGACAATAGTTTAAAGCGATTTGAAGCATGTTTTATATATATTTTTTGGGGGGGGGGTCTGACTTTTTGTGACGCCGTGTGACGAGGGGAGGGGGTCAAAAATGGTCCAAAATCGCGTGGCGTCATTTATGGTCGGCCCCTTAGCACAACTGTTTCATTGCCAGAAAGGGTAACACCTACTCTTATATCCCCGCTCGCCCTGACGCCGTGCCCCTTTGCTGCCCAGGGGACCGCTCTGTACATGTACAGCAGCTCCGGCGCTCATCTTACCGGGCCGGGGATTCCACTTGCGGCCCGCTCACCCCACACACCTGCCACACGTGGCTCTCCGATCACCAGGTACGGCCACGGCGCACCTGATTGGTCGAAATGAGATTGGACACACGCCCCCATACACTCATCTGACCCCCCTCTCTCACAGCTCTCACTCTCATTGGCTCTTTCTTTGCCTGAGTCACCCCCCCCCAACCCCACCGGATCCAATCGCTTTTGCAAAGTGCACCCCAACGAGATGCAAAGGTAAAAGTGCATCCAGCCCTGAAATTCCTCACTCAGGCCGCTGCCGGAGGAAGAACCTTCACCACAAGAGGGGGGGGGGGGTTTGGCCTCCTCGTTCACGCTGGCATCTTGGAAGAGGTGGGAGTAACCACGTTTGACGATGATGATGAGGACGTCACCTTAAATATGTTCATAACATGTTGGACAGTGCTAACCGCAGTGCCACAGCTCAACTTCCAACCCCTCAATAATGATGCAAAAGCAGCAAAACCGACAATGTATCTGCACAAATCTCTCGACATAAAACATATATATATTTTCGTTTATACATCTCATCAGCCGCATTAAATTATGGGAGTGCATACATTCAGCAGCATTGATTCAACACAAGCAAAACATCTGCACCAGTTTCCACATTCAGTGTGTCATCAGCAGAGTTCGGCTCGCTCGAACCGGCGCTCGTGAACTGCCAGATGGTTTACAAGCAAGGGGACTCTCTCCGTCAGAATATGGGTCCCAGTAAGCCGCAAAATTTCATGAACATTCGTAAAATCCGCTTAACCAATCGTGCGCGAGTGGGCATGGCCAGCTGTCGTGGTTGTTTTTTGGGTACCCTTTGTAAAATAGCTCACCCCCCCCCCGCACCCCTCGTTCACAACACGCGCGCGCGCGCCCCACACGCACGCGCGCACTGGACGCTGGCAAGCGGCGGACAGCGCCGTCTCCTCTCGCTCGCTCGCCCGTCCCGGGCGGAATAGGAATGAGAGAGGAAGCCGCTCGCTCGCTCCTTCCGGCATTCATTCATTCATTCGTTCGTCCGCACGGCCGAGGCCGAGGGAGCCAGGTGAGTTAAACACGGTCCGGTGGTGAGGCAATCGCGGACGGACAGCGATTGGGAGGGAGAGATGGAGAGAGGAGAGGGGGTGACATGGAGAGAGAGAGAGATGGAGAGGTAGGAGAAAGATAGAAAAAAAAGAGATGGAGGGAGGAGAGATGGAAACATGTGAGAGAGATATAGAGAGAGGATAGACGGAAAGGATATAGAGAGAGGATAGACGGAAAGGATATAGAGAGAGAGCAGATATTTTAAGGGAGGAGAAAGATGGAAAGAGATGGAGGGGAGATGGAGAGAGAGGGCAGAGAGGAGAAATGGAGAGATAGAGAGGGGAGAGATGTAGAGGAGAGAGAGAGGAGATGGTAGCGATGGAGACGGGGTGAGAGGAATATGATCGAGGGATGGATATGGGGCGTGAGTCGATAACAGATGGAGAGGGGGAGACGTGAGGGATGGCGATGAGATAAGAGGGGGGATGGAGATGGATGAGTTGGAAATGCGGAGTAGATGGGAGAGGAGGGGGAAGAGAAGGGAGACGGGGGGGGTAGAGAGGTGATATGAGGTGTCGAGATAGACTGGAGATTGTGGGGTGAGAGTGAAGGGGGAGGTGAGGAAGAGAGATGGAGAGGGGAGATACAGGATGCGAGGGAGCGTTCATGCGTGCGCGAACCCAGCTGTGCGGGGTGAGGGGATGCGGGGTGAGGAGGCGGAGGATGCGGGGTGAGAGGTGAAGGTGAGCAAAGCTCGGTGCGGTGAGGGGTATAGGGTGCTGGTGAGTAACGATTGCTTGATCGCAATATCACCCATTAGCTGATGATGATTGCGTTGATGATTTCAAGATAAGATGATGGCTTGATGATGATGATGATGACGGTTTCTGGATTGTGGTGCGGGTGGTAATGAATGGCTGCGTGGTCATGATTATAATCTGTTTCTCATGATGATGATGGTGGTGATGATTACTTGATGAACTGGGGTCGATTCCCAAGCACGGCTAACGTCAGTGGCGAGTGATATCTGAACCGGCCCTGGTGCCTCCACGCCAAAGTGACCACCGTGGTGAAGTATGGTCAAAAACAACCCCCACGACCTACACGGCGTGGGGTGGTCCTCATCCAGCAGTGGATTGAACAAGGACCTATTATGGTGGCTAGGAGATGTTAACTACCTCGCCTGGTATACAGGAGGGCGTGGGTTCGATCCTGACCCAGAATCCTGTAGTATATTTTGAGATTAGAAGCGTTTTGAGTATTTATCTGCGACAAATTTGCACGCGAAGAGCCATTTCATTGCGCTATCATTTGTGGTCAGGCCGCGTCTGAAAAAAAAATAGCTTCATAGCTCAGTGGGAATAAGCTGGTAATATAAAAAAATAGTTTTTAAATAGTGAAATGTACGATCAGTATATGTACAATCACAAATTGAGCGGCGAGCAATCTGTAAGGTGGGATGGCTGTCAGAGTCCTTGGCAGTGGCGACAAGAGGCAGCCATCATGTGCCGGGGTCGTCAGGGAAAATGTGAGGGTAAGGAATAAGGTGATGGTGTGAGGGGTGAGTGTGAGGGGTGATGGTGTGAGGGGTGATGGTGTGAGGGGTGATGGTGTGAGGGGTGATGGTGTGAGGGGTGATGGTGTGAGGGGTGATGGTGTGAGGGGTGATGGTGTGAGGGGTGATGGTGTGAGGGGTGATGGTGTGAGGGGTGATGGTGTGAGGGGTGGGGGATTAGTGTGTGGGGTGAGTGTGAGGGGTAAGGGGTGAGTGTGAGGGGTAAGGAGTGAGGGGTGAGTGTGAGGGGTGAGTATGTGGGGTGAGGAGTGAGGGGTGAGCGGTGAGGAGTGAGCGGTGAGGGGTGAGGAGTAAGGAGTGAGGGGTGAGCGGTGAGGGGTGATGAGTGAGGGGTGAGCGGTGAGGGGTGAGGAGTGAGGAGTGAGGGGTGAGGGGTGACCGGTGAGGGGTGAGGAGTGAGCGCTCACCCCTCACCGGTGAGGAGTGAGGGGTGAGTGTGAGAGGTGAGGAGTGAGGGGTGAGGGGTGTTGGTGAATAATTGATGGCGACGGTAAATGACTCGAATTTCTCGCGCCTCTCTCAACCGCCCAGGCCTCACGGCCTCCACCCAGGGGTCACCTCGTGATTGTGTTTATTTGTTTACTTTCTTATTCGTTAATTTCGCTCGGTTGTTTAATCGCCTGTGTGTTTGTTCGTTTGTTGTGGAATCGGCCGGTCTCGTTCCCTTTCTCCCCTCACGCTGGTCCTGTCGCCACCTTCTCCTCCAGTACTCCACGGTCCTTCACCATCCCTCTACCTCCTCTCCCCTGCGTTTACCTCCCCCTCCCTGCGTCTCCCTCCTCTCCTCACCCCTCCATCTCCCTCATCTCCCTCCCCCACTCCGCGTCTTCCTCCTCTCCTCTCCGCATCTCCCGACTCCTCCGCTTCCTTCCTCCTCACTCCGGACCGGGTTTTGACCGTCTGGCTCTCAATGCTCAGAGCCAGGCTGCCTAAACCCCAATGCTGATGGAATCGCCAGATGCTATTGGCAATAGCGCTGTCCATCTCGACTCCGTTCAACGTTAAGCCGGTCCAGAGTTGTCCTGCTGACGCACACGTGCCACTGAAACGTCTTCTCCTTACGCGTGGGAGATGAGCCCGCATCTTCGCTTCACGCCATCCTCCTGGCACAGCGACGGGCACGGCTCTTCTTCCTCGTCGCCCACACACGGGAGAAGGGAGTTTCACAACATTTAGTGCGGTGATCCAACAACCCTTGCTGCTGCTGCTGCCTCCACAGCGCTACCGAGATAGAGGCAGAGCCACGTGCAGCAGCGTAGCCAGACAGCACCACAGCGTAGCCAGCCAGCACCACAGCGTAGCAGCCAGCCAGCACCACAGCGTAGCAGCCAGCCATCACCACATCGTAGCCAGCTAGCACCACAGCGTAGCCAGCCATCACCACATCGTAGCCAGCCATCACCACATCGTAGCCAGCCAGCCATCACCACATCGTAGCCAGCCAGCACCACAGCGTATCCAGCCAGCACCACAGCGTAGCAGCCAACCAGCACCACAGCGTAGCAGCCAGCCAGCACCACATCGTAGCCAGCCAGCACCACAGCGTAGCAGGCAGCCAGCACCACATCGTAGCCAAACATCACCACATCGTAGCCAGCCAGCCAGCCAGCACCACAGCGTAGCCAGCCAGCACCACAGCGTAGCAGCCAGCCAGCACCACAGCGTAGCCAGCCAGCACCACATCGTAGCCAGCCAGCACCACATCGTAGCCAGCCAGCACCACAGCGTAGCCAGCCATCACCACATCGTAGCCAGCCAGCACCACATCGTAGCCAGCCAGCACCACATCGTAGCCAGCCATCACCACAGCGTAGCCAGCCATCACCACATCGTAGCCAGCCATCACCACATCGTAGGCAGCCAGCACCACATCGTAGCCAGCCATCACCACATCGTATCCAGCCATCACCACAGCGTAGGCAGCCATCACCACATCGTAGCCAGCCAGCCATCACCACATCGTAGCCAGCCAGCACCACAGCGTAGCCAGCCATCATCACAGCGTAGCCAGCCATCACCACATCGTAGCTAGCCATCACCACATCGTAGCCAACCAGCACCACAGCGTAGCCAGCCATCACCACATCGTAGCCAGCCAGCACCACATCGTAGCCAGCCAGCACCACATCGTAGCCAACCAGCACCACAGCGTAGCCAGCCAGCACCACATCGTAGCCAGCCAGCACCACAGCGTAGCCAGCCAGCACCACAGCGTAGCCAGCCATCATCACAGCGTAGCCAGCCAGCACCACATCGTAGCCAGCCAGCACCACATCGTAGCCAACCAGCACCACATCGTAGCCAGCCAGCACCACATCGTAGCCAGCCAGCACCACATCGTAGCCAGCCAGCACCACAGCGTAGCCAGCCAGCACCACATCGTAGCCAGCCAGCACCACAGCGTAGCCAGCCAGCACCACAGCGTAGCCAGCCCGGGTGATGCAGCGCGACAGATCATTATTGGGGGTTCGATGAGGCGCTGTATTATTGATGGCATACAAAGGGGGGCGTGACGCGATTCGCAGGTGGCTGTGTGGCGGTGGCGGTGTCATTTTTTTTGTGTCAGACGAGACGAGGCCCGCAGTGTCCGGTGTTCTCTATCCCCCTGCTCGCGTCACGACACCCATTGTAGTCTCACAAAGACAAAGGTCCCCCGCGTAGCCCGCACGGCAGGCTGTTGGGGCAAGGGCTCGTGGCGAGCACCGATAAAGGCTGGCGCGGTGCGCCCCGCCCAATGAGGAGGGGCAGGGGGTTGGTGTGACCAGCATCACGCCCGGCCGCCTTTGTCTCCCCAGTGCCGTCCCAAGTACACACACACACGAGGCTGAGTTGACCTTGCGGAGTCCCTTGGCCGGTTGATTTATTCGCGACCGCGACATACTGGATGTGGTGTGCCGGGTGTGCGAACATATGTTCCCAGGCCATTGGTCGACTGGAGTTGGCGGCACGTGACGAGTATTCCAGCCTCAATCCACAGCGATAGAGATGTATACTGGATGTGGTGTTCCGGGTGGGGGGGACGTGCACTGTTTACGTGTCCAGTCCCATTGGACAGAGCCGGCTGAGGGTGAGCCCTGGGCGCTGTGGCGGTGTCTCACCTGAGGAGGCAGTGGACGACTCGCAGCCCCGCCCCTCCACCCGGCCTTTCCCCCCACACTCGGCCCCCCGTGCATACCTGAGCCCTCACCTGCCGAGAGACGAGAGGAACGAACGCCAAACGCCGGTTGGCCGTGACGGCGGCGCGTGTTGACAGAGCGCGTGTGCTCGCGCACCCTCATGGGGTACCCCCCCCCTCCACATACCCAGTCCCCCCTCCGCCCCCCCCCCCCCCAAAATAAATATTTTTAAGCCAGCTCACCTGGGCAGGTGGGGCGCACAGGTGGGAGTGGAGGTGAGCGGTACGCCTGTCGCAAAGTTGCAACCATGAGTCTGTCTATGAGTCT